TCCTGGTTTTCTCTAAATAGACTTCCTTGGCTAATCCAAACCTTCATTTAATCTGTGAGGAAATGTGTCTTAAATAACCATCTGTATGGTTTTAAGATAAATCACCACTTCAGTAATTAGATTGTTTGCTACAGACCCAAAAGAACTAGACTGTTTATACCCATAACCGGAAAGGATTTTTACATATTATTTTTTGTAAATATAAACAGTATATGTTTTGTAAATATGAAATAAAAAGACAGCTAACATTTAGAATGTATGGTAACAAAGGAAAAAAGAAATCATCACTACCATTTATTTCCTTATAATCTTTTCTTTGTGGAGACAGACAATTATCATTTATAAATCTACCAATCCGTGTAAGTATGAATATATTCTGCTACTGCTAAATTTGCTACTGGCATATGGATTTCAGCTTAGGTCACTACCAGTTGGTATTCTGGGACTCTCCATTGAGTGCTTTAATTGAAGAGCAAGAAGGGACATGTGGGGTGGTGGTGGTTTGTAACCGTGACAGTTTGGAAATCCCCAGATAGGTGTGTTTGGATGGTGCCCTGGCGATCTGAAGCGGCAGAGCATTGGCACTGCAGAGGACTGACTGAGCTGGAAGAAGCCTGAAGCCCTTGGTGAAAGGTGTTAAGACAAGAAAAAGAGCGGGTTGAATGTTGAATTTCATTCATGGTGAAGGTGTTAAGGGTGGCAACTCAGCTCTACTGTGGCATTTGGAAGTAGGGTTTGGGGGAGACAAGAAGGTAAAATGAGGCCAATAGGTACTAATCCAGTGTGTGTGTGTGTGTGTTTGCATTGCAACCAGGGCCTGGAGCTTACAAGGCAAGCTCTTTACTACTCAGTGAAGTCCCCAGCCTGATAACCGTGGTTTTTCTAAGAACAGGTAGAAAGAGCCAACCTAGGCCATTGCTGTCTTTCCTGATGCTCTGAGCTGTGGTGGAATTCTCCACAGTCCCTCCACCAGCAAGAAAGACCTCACTAGGGGCAGCTGTTTGACTTCAGATTTCCCAGCCTTCATAATCTTTTTTTTTTGTCAGTGATGGGGCTTGAACTCTGAGCTTGGGCACTGTCCCTCAGTTCTTCAGCTCAAGGCTAGTGCTATACCACTTGAGCCACAGCGCCACTTCTGGTTTTCTGGTGGTTAATTGAAGAGTCTTATGGACTTACCTGCCTGGGCTGGCTTTAAACCGCGATCCTCAAGACCTCAGCCTCCTGAGTAGCAAGGATTAAAGGCGCTCGGCTTCAAGCTCCATTCTTTATGTGTAACTCAGTCTATGGAAATCAGCCATAGAAACTGGGCAATTATGTATTGAAACCACTGGTGAAAATTCCTGCTCTCGTTTCTGGAGAGACAATGGAAGTTTTATGATTTCTTATAATAAGTAACACAGCACAGTGTGCAGCAGTAAGCAGGTGGTCGGAACTCGGAGTAAGCCTCGCTGGAGGCTCTCGTTTAGTTTTTCTGCTCTAGTCTGGCACTCTACCATGTGTGCCACAGCACCGCTTCCAGCTTTGTGCTGGTTAATTCGAGTTGAGTCTCCTGGACTTTTCTGCCTTGGCTGGGGAGTTCTTCATAGTCAGCTTCCTGAGTAGCTAGGATTACAAGCGTAAGCCCCCCACACCCCAGCTAAGAGGTACATTTTCAATCCTTATAAGATTTGTGATCAAAAGATGTAGGAGACAGTGGCACAGCTGAGTATGAATATTTAGAAATCTGAATAACTACCAGAATCTGTTCCAGAGTGCCATTGTGGATGAGTGTACCTTTTCATGCACTCACCCCTCTCAGCCTCTTTCTACCCTTCTCCTCTACTGCCAAGCCCAAATCACAGATCTGGTGATGTTAGGGGAATTTTCCCCAACAGCGTTTTATTTTATTCTTTATTTAGTCTGTCATGGACTTGAACTCAGGGCCTGGGCGCTGTCTCTCAGCTTTTGTGTTCAAGGCTAGTGCTCTATTACTTTTAAACACAGCATCACTTCCAGTTTTCTGGTAGTTAATTGGAGATAAGAGACTCATGAACTTTCTTTCCCAGGCTGGCTTCAAACCACGTCTCCCCAGATGTCAGCCTCCTGAGTAGCTAGGATGACAGGTGTGAGCCACCAGCACCTGAGCCAATAGCGTTTTAAATGCCAGTGAGCTGACTGATCAATGCTCACTCAAACAAGCCTTCCAGGGGAAACCATAATTACCGCCCACTGCTAGAACTGGAGTTACAAATGTGGTTGTTTATGAACGACCATTTTACACTTGATCTCATGCATTTGACTCCTGGTGATGAGAATTCCCCATGACATTTCTTGGGAACATTTACTCGAAGAAAAATCCTTACATGAATGCCACTGTAAGTAACTACTGGCATTAAAAAGAGGCTTGTTAAACACAGATTGCCACAAGGAGAAAAGTGTTTATCACTTATACAAAAGAAAATATATTTCTGTTTTTAAAAATGCTTTCTTTCAGTTAATTCATGTACAAGGCTGGGAATCAAGTTTTAAGTGCTAAGACAAGGGATTTGATTTCTAAAAGTAATATGAAGTAATTTGGTTACACTTTAGAGGTAATTGTAACAGGATTTTATTTATTCAAAAGCTCCCAAATCTGACTCTAGTACCTTAACAAAATCTTATCTTGTCCAGAACTGGGTGCTCAGGTCTGTAATCATAGCTACTCAGAAGGCTGAGATCTGAGAATCATGGTTCAAAGACAGTCCAGGCAGAAAAGTCTGTTATCTCCAGTGAACTACCACAAAGCTGGAAGTGGAGCTGTGGCTCGAGTTGTAGTAACACCAGTCTTGAGCAAAAAAGCTAAAGGACAGTGCCCAGGCCCTAGTACCATGCTAATGTCACTGAAATGTTTTGATTCTGTACTGATGTTGTTCTCATGCATTGGTTCCAGAAGCCCCTAGACAGCTGTTCCACGTTATTCTGATTTAGCCTAGGGAGTCCTGCTGGGGAAAATCTCATGTTCACTTCCTGGTCCTTAAAAGGAAGGCAATGACTGAATTGATGCTTTTAACAAAAAGCTAATAGGCTGGTGGTGGTGGTGTAGAGCTAGGTGAATAGCTCCAGCCTTACTCTATCTATGAAATGAACGTGGAGGAGTGGGGAAGTACTGAGCGTAGATCAGAGGTACTTAACCTTGACATCATATTAGAATTTTCTGGGAATGTTTTAAAAGCCATAAGGCCCAAGACCACACCTGAGACCAATTAAGTTAGAATTTGTGAAGTTAAATCACATCAATCATTTTTAAATCTTCCCAGCTGATTACACTACACCACCAAGATTAAAACTGCGAGGACCATTCAACTAAAAACTTCAATGACTCTAAATATTTGATAGTATTTTTAAAAAAAGGACATGTTCATGTTATTGTAGTCACTAGTCTACAAAATTCCAATCCAAGGATTACAGTATTTCCCAAAGGAAGAGAATGTTAGAGATGGACACAGAGGGTTATGAAATGGTTATATTCTTCAAAGTCTCCAAATCTACTTGAATTACTGATCATCTGAGTTATAAAGAAGTCTATGATAAAGTCTGCAGGTACCAAGGTGTGGCTCCGGGCAGTCAATCTCATCTTACCCCTGATATGCTCTGTTACATGGGGTATTGGACAAGTTATGCAACTTAATTGGTCTGTTCTTGTTTTATCCTGCAGAGATTTTAGTGGTGTTTTTGCTTATGTTAGGGGATTAAATGTTTGTGCCACTAACGGTTTTATCTATCACTATTATTATCAATGTGGCAGAGTCTTGCTATGTAGCCCAAGGCTGGTGTAGAACTCCTAGTCCTCTGGCCTCATTTTCTGTTAAGTCTAGGCTTTTAAGTATGTAGCACCATGGTTCTCCTAGAGAGAAGTTCCAACAAGAAATTTTATTTTGTACATTTAGAGAGGGATATTTATTATTTTAGTCAAAGTAGCCAGCTGCCTTAGAGATAATTATTGTATATATGGCTTTTACACTTTAAAAAGTTATTGTCTACACCAATTAGCCCTAGTTTTATGTTGCATTTTCAGCGCAGCACAGTTGTAGAGTGGCCTGGGTTCAAGCTCAAGCACCACAAAGGCACAAAAGAAATACAAATAAGTGAGTCAGGAGGCTGAGATCTGAGGATTGAGGTTCAAAGCCAGCCTTGGCAGGCAAGTCCTGTGAGACTCATCTCCAATTAACTACCACAAAACTGGAAGTGGTGCTGTGATTCTAAGTGGTAGAGTGCAAGCCTTAAACGAAGAAGCCTCCAGGCCCTAAATTCAAGCCCCACGACCGACAAAACAAAATGAAAAACAAAAAATAAAAACCAAATACGTGAATAAGGAAGGGAAGGAAGGAGGGGAAGGAGAATAGAGGAGAAGCAAGGAGAAGGAGGAGGGAAAGGAAGGAAAAGATGAGACCAGGGAGGGGGAATGGGGAAAAAAAGTGGGAAAACACAAGCTCTCTTGAGGATGTGAGTAGATCCGTTAGCAAGCCAGGGTCAGCGTGAAGGTTCTGACTAGTCAGGAAAAAACAGCCAAAGATTGGAGTAGCGAAGGTGAGGAAACAGACTCTACTCCTAGGAAAAGAGACACTGTAGCATGTGGAAGAACAGGAGAGCCAGTGCTCTGAGACACAGAATTTTTCCATGTCTAATCTGGAGAAAAAGCCAAAGTATTTATTCTATCTAAGCATGTTTGTTTATTGAGTTTTTGAATTTCTACAGGTCACTTTTAATCAGCTATGTTCCATAATTGTCCAAAGTCTAAGAAGCATTTTTATGCCATCAAGAAAAAAAAAAAGGCATTTTGATTGGATCACCCTATAGAGCTCAGTTTGGAAGCAATCATGGTGACCAACTTAGGTGGCTAATTAGCTGTCGACCCCTGTCCCTGACGTCAGCAAGGGCAGAGCCAGAGTCTGGAATCCACATTTGCTTGTGCAAGGAGCCGTAACTGCCAAAAGGTTCTTTTGTTGAAGCGTGAAACGAAACCAGGGTGAGATAAAAGGAGCTCAGCTTTTATTTAAAAAACAGTATTGTTTTTCATTAATGAGCTCTTTTTAATCAAGCTCTCTCAATCAAGGAACTGTTTCTAAGCTAAAGTTTTAAATTTCAATTTCAGGTGAGAACCTTTCTTTGCCAAATGGAAGTTATCTAAGGAGGCTCAATATCTTTTACTTGAATGCCAAAGGGAGCTTGCCATTTTAATTGCTTTTGTCTAATTAATAAAAAAATACAAATTTTATGCCAAAGATTAAATTTCATTTTTTTTCAAAATTTCCAAAGGCTAGAAAGATTTATCTAGTGAAAAAATATTTATTACCTACCATGATCCCAGGCATTGTGCCTGACACGAGATATTAAAACAGCAAGACAACCTTTATGAAGCCTTTAGGGAAGGAGTACCATAGCAAAATATTTATGCAATGTAAGAAGTACAAAAACTTTGAGTTTGCATGGGAAGAATTAGCACTGTCTGAGCACATTCAAAACAATCATCTGGTACAAAGCCAAACAATTATTTATAATTGCATAAAAGAAACCAATGGAGGATAATGGTAATAAACAACAATCAGTAGTATACCAGGTAGATAATAGAAATTTAATAATACAAAATAAACATATAAAAATCAAATGTTTAGGATATTAGAAATAATATACATAATAAATCCAACATAGTACCCATAGTGCTGCAAGGTTAGATTTTATTTTTAAATTATTTGCCAATCAGGCTGCTTTTGTAGAGATTCAAAATTTTTCTTTTTAGTCTAAAAACATCTGTACTGTAGACATCTCTAATGAAACCATGTAATAGTTGGCATACTGTAAGTGGAGCTATGTGACTGTCATCTTAATGACCTAACTACATCTTCTTGTAATGGAAGTAAAAGAGGCAAATATTCTTCCATAGTAGTTAACCTGACATTGCCACTAAAGCACATACATACAAGGAAGTGAAAAATCAAAGGGAAATTTTATGATCTAGGCTAGGTCATTGTTAAAATTCACAGCATACTTTTTAGATATAATATTCCCAGTTCCAGTACTTAAGGAGAAACAGAAGAAATTTACCAACTTCTTAAATACTGAGAAATACAACTTTGCTATTCTTCGTAACCAAATCTCTGGGTGATTTCTAAGACTGTCCACAGCCTGTTTCCTCTGAGCTACTTCAGAGACACAATGGTTGAAAAATGACTTGAGAATATAAATTTCAAAGCTAAAAATTCCACTTCAGATGTAAAGAGAGCCCTTGACAAGAATTACTTAATGCAGAACTGCAGTTTAGAATGAAAACACTAGACAGAATAAAAGGTCATGCTTAAATACTTCAATGAAAAACCATAGGCAAGTCTTTCATGACAGAGGTAGTTCCTTCAATCTAAAGACATTTGTTGAAAGTCAAAGTACCTGATTGCATGGTAAATCTTCAAACCCATTAAGACTAGTTCTGTGTCAATCAATGCCTCTTATACTTTGTTAGGACAAAGTATATATTCTATAGGACTGAACTATGGAATTCAATAAAATAGGTAATATGCTAGAGTCTTAACTGAAAAAAACCTCTATGTTTCTCCATCTTTTTCATGTAAAAAGCATCCTAGCTTATTCTTTATATTCTCCAATGAAGCTTGTTATTCTTATAAGCCAAATTCAAATTCTTCATACAATAAATAAACATCTTGAAGATTATTCATCATTATCTGTAGAAGAAAGAAAAACAATTAATTCCTTCATTTCTAATAAAAAATCCTTTTCATATTAAAGGAAAGTGCTTTGATATAGTTTAAACAGTTATTTTTTTACTGCGAAATATAACAGTAAAGTTGGAAGCAAAAAAATCATCAGAGAAAGACAACCAATGTTACTGTAATATGCATGTATAGCCTCTCTTTTCTAGCAAAAGTATCTTTATAAAAACTATACTTCCAGGAGCTGCTGGCTCATGTCTGTAGTCCTAGTTATTCAGCAAGCTGAGATCTGAGGGCTACAGTTCAAAGCCAGCCCAGGCAGGAAAGTCTGTTAAGACTCTTATCTCCAATAAACCAGCAGAAAACTGGAAGTGACGCTGTGGTTCAAGTGGTAGAGCGTTTGCTTTGAGATGAAGAGCTGAGGAACAACGCCCAGGCACAAAGTTCAAGTACCACCACTGACAAAAAAAGAAACAAACAAAAAAACTATACTAAATGCAGTACCAAACAAGGTTTTCACTTTAAAACATAAAAAAAAAATGAGGGTATTGCTCAGAGTGGTAGAATGTTTGCCTAACAAGTATGAGACCCTGAGTTCAAACCGCAGTACTGTTTTTTTTTTGTCATTCGTGGGGCTTGAACTCTAGGCCTGGGCACTGTCCCTGCACTCTTCAGCTCAAGGCGAGTGCTCTACCGCTTGAGCCACAGCGCCACTTCTGGTTTTCTAGTGGTTTATTGGAGATAAGAGTCTCATGGACTTTCCTGCCCAGGCTGGCTTTGAACCACAATCCTCAGATCTCAGCCTCCTGAGTAGCTAGGATTACAGGCGTGAGCCACCAGCACCCGGCTCAAACCGCAGTACTGACAGAAAAATCTTCAACAAATAAGTGGAAAGATGATACATGAATGCAAGTAAGATGATAAATATAAGATATAAAATGCTGATAGTAAAATCATGTGTTGGGTATACATATACACATGATCACTGTAAAGTTCTTTCAAACTTTTCTATATGATAAAAATTTCGCAATAAATGTGGTAACAAAAAATAAAACAGTCAAAAACCATGTGCTCGTGGCTCACACCTGTAATCCTAGCTAACTCAGCATGTTGAGATCTGAGGATCACAGTTTAAAACTAGTCCAGGCTGAAAGGTCCATGAGGCTCTTATCTCCAATTAACCACACAAAAAATCCACTACCCTTCCAAACAAACATATAAAAAAGCTAGAAGTAGAGCTAGCTCAAGTGTTTAGACTTCTAACCTTGAGCAAGAAAGCTCAGGGACAGCACCCGGGGCCTGAGTTCAAGCCCTAGGACTGACACAAAACAAAAACAGAAAAAAACCCCAGCAAGTTATTTAGTACATATTTTACAGTAAGTCTATTTAAAGGCTCTCTTATTAGTTAAAATATTTATTAAAAACAATTTTTATACTCTTTAAAAATTTGTAAAAGGATTGTCGGACTTCCTTTTTTGTTTTTGTTATTATTATTATTATTGTCGGTTATGGGGCTTGAACTCTGGGCCTGGGCACTGTCCCTCAGCTCTTCAGCTCGAGGCTAGCACACATTACTGCTTGAGCCACAGTGTCACTTCTGGTTTTCTGGTGGTTAATTGGAGGTAAGAGTCTCATGGACTTTTCCTGTCTGGGCTGGCTTTGAACTGTGATCCTCAGATCTCAGCCTCCTGAGTAGCTAGGATTACAGGCGTGAGCCACCAACACCCGGCTGTTTTTATTTTTAAAGGTAGTCAGTTACTGGCTTTAGTTGCTACGCTTATTTTTCTATTAAAGAAATCACAGACTCTAAAAACAGAGCTTTGGGGTCCTTGTCTCTTTTTTTCATTTGCATGCAGAGAAAATCTGATCTTGCTGCTTGAGAGATGCACTAGCCTGATCAGCCGGCAGCACAGGGAAGGACCTCGTTTGTACATGCAGATACTTTGGAAACCACTCGGCTCTCTGAAGAGGGTGTCAGTTTTACCTTGTGGCTCCTCTGTTATAGTTCTCCACTGAAGGGGCAAAGCAAAACAAAAGCTCTCCATATACTTGTCCAGCAAAACTGAAGCCTAAGCACACTGCTACCAATTACTGTGAAAAGCTCTATTGAAACAATACTGAGGAGAACAGCCTGAAGAATCAACAACTTGAATATGAATAGAATTACTCTGATTCCCTCCATGGATTTACTTGAATGGAGTCCTTCTCTGGCCTCATGCCATTAGCTTACAATATAACTGTATTATTAGAAACAGTCACATGAGAAATCCAAATATTGTAAATATAACCAAGGATATTTTCATTTTATTATTATATTGTGTTATAAGATCAAATCCAAGACCTAAAAAAAAATCAGATTCTACCAGTTTCAGATAATGTTTAAATCTTAAGATTTTCATTTTGATGATAAAGTCATTGTTTACTACTTAGAAAAAGAAAACATCTATTTTACATTAATAATGTATAATGACATTTTCACAGTATGTACTGGGGTCTATGGGTCTTTAGCTTCTTGTGCATGTAAAAAACCCAAAATGCCATTTTCCTATAAAGGAACTTCTATGTTACTAAATTTTAAGGAACACCATAGGAGAGTTCCTTTTTAAAAAAAGTATGAGCTCTGAGTAGGTGGCTCACTACCACAATCCTATCTGCTTATGAAGCTGAGACCCGAGATTGTGGTTTAAAGCTAGCCAGGGCAGAAAACTATGAAACTCAGAGTCAATGAACCAGCAAAAAATCAGTAGAGGTGTGGCTCAAGTGATTAGAGTGCTAGCCTTGAGCATGAGGCCTGAAATTCAAGCTCTAATACCCACACTGAAAGCAAAAACAATGTACAAAGGGTCTAAAGGCATGGCTTAAGTGGTAAGAGCACCTGCTTATTGAGTTAGGTGCCCTAAGGTAACTGAGTTAAAACTTTTGGTTCTGCCAAAAGAGAGAGAGAGAGACAGAGAGAGAGATACAGAGAGAGAAAGAGAAAGAGAGAGAGAGACAGAGAGACACAGAGAGAGAGAGAGAGACAGAGAGCACAGAAACTTTTGAAGATGAATTTTGTATTCTTCATTTCTTGCTTAATATTGTATTATTTGTACTCATTTGCCCAGTGTGCTGAATTTCCCAACTACTTAAAACACACTTATTTTTAATCTTACACTTAAATATATTTTAAAATTTAACTTTAAAAGGTTTTGGTAAGAAGATGGAATACAAATAAACTTTATAAAAATTTCTATTACTAAAATTAACCATCAACATTTAAAACTCTCAATCTTAGACTGTGAATTAGGCATTTAATTCATGAATTAAGCCTTAATTTTTGGGCAAACATTCTAGAAATTCTTTTTCAGAAGTTTACATATTTCTTTTCTTTTCTTTCGTCAGGCATAGGTCTTGAACTCTGGGCCTGGGTACTGTCCCTCAGCTCTTCAGCTCAAGGTAAGTGCTCTACCACTTGAGCCACAATGCCACTTCTGGTTTTCTGGTGGTTAACTGAAGATAAGAATCACATGAACATTCCTGTCCAGGATGGCTTTGAACTGTGATCCTCTGATCTCAGCCTACTGAGTAGCTAGGATTACAGGTGTGAGCCACTGGCGCCTGGCATTACATATTTCTTTATGGGTATGAAAGTTTAATATCAGGTTCTTGAAAACCGTTCTCATTTCTAGAAATGTACAATGAGGAAGCTTAAAATACTCAAAAAAATCTAAATCAATTACAGTACATGACAGCTTATTTTATAATTGCTTAAAAGTAGTAGACATGAGCTGGGAAGGTGGCTCAGTGGTAGAGTGCTTGCCTCACATGCATGAGGCCCTGGGTTCGATTCCTCAGCACCACATAAGCAAAAAAAAGCCAGAAGTGGTGCTGTGGCTCAAGTGGTAGAATGCTAGCCTTGAGCTTAGGCCCAGAGTTCAGCTCCCACAACCGATTAAAAAAAAAAGTAGACATAACTAAAATATAAACTTTACCAAAAGGCTTATAATATATCTTATCACTTCAGATTGTCATCTTGTTCTTCTCACTGTTATTTAAATTAAAATTGTACCTTCTTCATAGGCTCCATCTCCCATGACTAGATGAAGAATCTTGGCATAAAGGTGCCTATGCTCATGTCCCAAAATATTCTGAACCATTGTTGAACAAATCTCAATATTTTCATCTTCATCTCCATGAATAGCCTATACAGAATTTCCACATGTAAATTAATATTTGAATACTAAACTTCTGGTAAATGAAGACTTCAATTATTACATATTTGTAATAAATCTAGTGACTAGCAAAGATAATCAACATTGCCCAGTATTCAAACAGAGCATGTTTGCTTACCTTTACTTTCTCATAAACCTCAAAGAACTTTTCAAAGCCCATTTCTTGCTCCAGTTGAAGTCTTAGTTCTTCTAAGTGGTTAAAGAGACTATCGTAATCACATCCACTAGTATTCTCACCATCACTGTTATCTAAAAGAAATAAGTAAACAGATAAATATTTTATGATCCAATAATAATAATTCTTATACTAACAGACTAAAATCCTCTTAAAAGTAAATCCTAACAACGAAATGGTGAGACAAAGGACAAAGGGGGACCCAATGCAACAGCGATACTCACAAGACACTAGGTTGGAAATGAACTGTACAACTTGGGGGAGGAGCTTGGAGGAGGGAAAGAGGGAGAAAAATGAGGGAGGGGTAACAAGTTAGACAAGAAAAGTATTCACTACCTGACTTATGTAACTGTAACCCCTCTGTATATCACCTTGACAATAAAATTTTAAAAAGTGAATACTGTCACTAAAAATAGATTACTTCTATTTCAGTATAATCAATTGTTACTATAATATTTGTCAGTTATATAGGTAACCAAAGCATATATCAACTGTTTTAACTAGAATGTCACTTTGGGAATCTTTGCTTTTATAGAAATCACAGGAATCTTGTTATTAAATGTTAATTTAGTAAAAACGTTACAAGCATATTCCTATGATCTTATTAACTAACTTATTAACGAACCAAAACTTACTACTACAAAAGCTGATAGTGAGAATGGTGCATAACACAACAGGGTGTGGGGAAGGCAAATGACTGAAGACGGAAATTTATCACAATAATTATTTTTAACACTAGAAAAGTAAATTAAGAAATAATGAACAAGCTGGGTGCTGGTGCTTGTAATCCTAACCACTCAGGAGGCTGAGATCTAAGGATTGTGACTGGAAGCCAGCCTGGGCAGGAAAGTCCATGAGATTCTTCTTTCTAGCAAGCAAAAAGCTGTCAGTGCAGCTATGGCTCAAATTGTAGAGTGCCAGCCTTGACTGGAGAAGCTAAATGAGGAGAGACCCTGAAAGGACTGAGAACCGTGCCCAGTCACACACCGGAGTGCCATTCTTCGTTCAGAGCGCTTTCGCTGCTGGGATTGTCTTCTTCTTCTTGCGGATCTGCCCCATTGGTGGTCTTCTCTGCATCACTGTTCTTTAAGACTGACTCTTCCTCCTCACTGTATTCCTCACCAGGCTGCTCCCTAAGTAGCTGCTCCATCGAGGCCTGGAGCTCTTGTAAATCCGTGTCCGTTTCTTCAAACACACTGAAATTTAAAAAAAAAATTAAACATTACTAAAATTTTATCTTATTTTGAAATGCTACTTCAATAAGTACATATGTATTCCCTTCAACATGGAAGTACTGATTTTAGATAAAATAAGGTATAAGCTGGGCACTGTGGCTCCTATCTGTAATCCTAGCTACTCAAGAGGCTAAGAGCTGAGGATTGTAGTTCGAAGCCAGCCCAGGCAGGAAAGTCTGGGAAACTTTTTTTTTTTGAGTATTTTTTATTGTAAAAATATTGTACAGAGGCGTTACAGTTACATGAGCAAGTAAATTAATCCATTTCCTGTCTCGCATTGTTACCCCCTCCTTTGTTTTTCCCCTACTACCCCTTTCTTCCCCATCTCACCACCCCCTGCAAAGTTGGGAGACTCATCTCCAATTAATCACCAGAAAACAGGTAGTGGAGAGCTGTGTCTCAAATTGGTAGAGTTTTATCCTTGATCACAAATCTCAAGGACAGCGCTAAAGCTCTGAGTTCAAGCCCGAGGACTGGCACGCGCACACACGTATACATGTGTGCACACACATATACACGTATACATGTGTACACACACACACACACACACACACACACACACGGTCTAAATAAGCTTATTTAGGTTTTAGCCATGGAAATAAGGATGCAAATCATTGATAAATGTAACACAACACAAATTTTGCAATTCATAAGGTAGAAGATGATTTAGTTGAAATGTTCCTGATTTGCCAAATAGAATCATATAGCTGTATGCATTATTTATTTATTTTAATTTTTTTATTATTACTAGTTTTTTTCAGTCATGGGGCTTGATCTCAGGGTCTGGGTGCTTCCCTGAGCTCATTTGCTCAGGGCTAGTCCTCTACCACTTTGAGCCATGGTTCCAATTCCATTTTTTTTTGGTGGTTAATTGGAGACAAGTCTCCCAAGGGCTTTTCTGCCTGGGCTGGCTTTAAACCTCAGTCCTCAGATTTCAACCGCCTGAATAGCTAGGATTATAGGCATGAACCACCAGCGCCCAACTATAGTACTATTTAGGCTTAAATTCTTAAAACTATTGTGTGTGTGTGTGTGTGTGTGTGTGTGTGTGTGTGTGTGTGTGTGTTGTGTGGTGCTAGGAATTGTGTGTGTGTGTGTGTGTGTGTATTGTGTGGTGCTAGGAATTGAGCCCAGGCAGGGCTCTGCACATGTTATACCATACTCTACCACTGAGGGATGCTAATAATGCTTTTCACTTGCTTCATAAACTCATTACTTAATATTCAAGTATTTTTATGTAATTCTGAAATTCCATCAAAACCTTTGTGTGGATGTACAGTATATGAAGGTAAATAAAATGGTTACTGGAAATTTTATCTTTAGGTACATATTCTTGAAGAATATTTCAAAAATATGTAAGTAGTCTTTCCTATGTAATTAGGAAACTACCATAATCTTCACTGGACAATCTTGATATAAATTCCATTTCCATTGGACTATAAATGCTGAAATGAAATAATTTTTATTTAAATTTGATCAATATCAAACTCATATTAGACCTGGAAACTATGGATCAAAGTATTTAAATGACTTGTTTAAGGTAATACCATCAAAATGGTAAAAACAGGATTAAACCTGGGTCTTTGACACTTCTACAATACAAAAGAAATACAGGCTTGTACAAATTACTTCTTTCTTCTAAAGTGGCATACATTTAGAGGATAGGGTTAAATGAAATTTTAGTCATGGAGACATCTGAGAGGACAAATCAAGAATTTCATCTACTAATAAAGCGATGGCACAAGGACTGATAATGGGCATTTCTGGAAGTTTAAACTCAAATATTTAAACTAAAACATACACAGTATTATGTAAGACCCTGAGTGTAATTTACATTTACAGAAAAAGAAAACAATCTTTTATTTGGAGATAACTGTATTTTGTACTTATGTACACAAACTCCTACAATTTGACTTTGTGGCAACTATCAGAAAAGCCAAGCGCCTAATCAGAATGAGGGAGTCTAATTTTGGGATCAACCCACCGGAAGCATTTAACTTAATATTCAATTACAGGCTTCACTCACCATGCACACCTGCTATGAATCATTACCATGATGACTCAACACTGCCCTGTGGACAGCATCTGCTGGTACCTAGTCTAGAAAGACTGATGCCCAAGGCACATGGAAGTCAAAGAGCATTGCTGCTAAGTCTGCCATTGTAGGAAAAGTATGAGAAGACTACATCATTTTATGAAATGAACACTCAAAACAAAAAGCCTCTTTAAGATCATTTTCCCCCTTCCCTCCTCTTCCCTCTCCTTTCTTCCCTTCTCTTCCTTCCTTCATACCAGCAGTAGAGTTTGAACTCAGAGCCTCATGATCTCACTTAGCTTTTTCTGCTCAAGGCTGGGCTCTAACACTTGAGCCATAGCTCCATATCTGGCTTTTTGCTAGCTAATTGGTAATAATAATGTTGTATATTGACCAGTGGAGTTATTAAAAGCCAAAGTGAAAGTAGCCAGGCACTGGTGACTTATGCCAGTAATCCTAACTACTTAGGAGGCTGAGATCTGAGGATCACAGTTCAAAGCCAGCCTGGGCAGGAAAAGTCCGTGAGACTCTTATTTCCAATAAACCACTCTGAAAACTGGAAGTGGTGCTGTGACTCAAGTGGTAGAGAGCTAGCCTTGAGCTGAAGAGCTCTGAGAGACAGCACCCAGGCCCAGAGTTCAGGGCCCATGACTACCACCAACAAAAAAAAGTGAAAGTACGAATGATCACGATCAAGTAGAAGATCAAAGATAACAAGATAATTTTTCCTCCAAATTATGAGATCAAAATTTGTGAGATAAAAATTCACAGAACAGGGACTGGGAATGTGGCTTAGTGGCCCTTGCCTAGCATGCATGAAGCCCTATGTTCGATTCCTCAATACCACATAAACAGAAAAACACTGGAAGTGGCACTATGGCTCAAGTGATAGAGTACTAGCCTGGAGCAAAGGAAGCTCAGGGCCTTGAGTTCAAGCCCCAGACTGGCCAAAAAAAAAAAATTATCAGAACATTCAGGGGCTAGGGTGTGGCACAGTGGTAGTGTGCCCACTAAGCAAATGTAAGACTGAGTTAAAACCCCACATTGCCCAAAAGACAAAACACCATGACAGCAAACAAACAAGTAAAAGAAAACTAGTGGGAAGCTTGAGAAACAAGCAGAAAATTAAATGTGTCCAACAGTGACCCTGGCTCATGCACTATAGCTTAAGAAATTATTAAACTGATTAAATGAAGTTAATCAGATAAATATATAAGTTCCAGGTTTTTCTATTTAAAGGAAGAGGTAAAAAAGAAACAAGTTAGAAAATAATCATGAAATAAATCATACAAATTCCACTGTATTTTTGCAACTACTCATTTCCAGGGTATTCTACTTTTGTTTTATTCAAAAGTTTGTAACAGCCCAGGAGCTAGAGATTAAAGAGAGTCTTATCTTAGAGGCCATTCTTCACCACAACTTTCAGAAATGTTGTTCATTTAATTTACCACTGAATTCTGAATTCCTCAGTACTCATGTAGAAAGGAGTCTTGTGAAAGCAATCAAACTGCATATGAGACAGGGACAGACAGACACACGCATGTACACGTGTTCTGCATATAGTACATCCCTCTCTCCCACTTTATACAAATGAACAAAATTCTGCCTCCTTATGGTCATGGCCCCAAAATCAAACATGGCAGATGACAGATGTGGATTTTCTGGTTATTTTCCTGGTGAAGTGAAGGTTCTATCTAATTCACAATTCCTGATTACAATCCTAGTGTCATGTGGTATTCCAGTATTAAATGGTCATTAGCTTACTAAAATTCATTCGGAACCAATACTACTAGGCATTTCTTACAAGCAAACCAGTGTGTCTGGTATTCAATGGTAATAAGCCAGTGAATAAAAGTCAAGACTTTTTAAACTATTTAGAGGTAGATTTACACACCAAAATTTGCATGAGTATAGCTAAGTTGTAAGAAGTCCTTAGAAGTAGTGAAAAGTTAGTTACAGATCATTTTTTTTTATAACTGTCTAGATAAATCACCCTTTCTGGACCTTTTAGAATATATCATTTCACAGAGGTTAACAGTATTTGTTAATGACAGGATGCTTACATGTCTTCGGAATCAGAAGGCTCTTCTTTAATGTGCTCATCTTCAATTTCATCTACTTCAAGATTGTCCTGATGGACATCTCCTACAGTGGGAACATCCATCAGAGTTCTGAACAGCTTTGATAGATCTGGAAGTGAACATGTCCTCAACATCTAAGAAAAAATGTTGACAGGTTACCTATTAGGAGCAAGAGAATTAAACATGAAAATGTGGGAGAAGATAAGAGCTGATAATCATTATTAGGTGACATGTCCAAAATTAGGACATAATTCCCTTAATCTCTTTTCAACATTTTTTTTCCACTGAGGAAACTATGTTTGTGAGCTATGACTGGGTTTAAACACATTGAAGGTGACTCGACTTAAAAGGCAGAGAGAGCTATGTATTTATGTATACAGGTGATTTGGGATTAGAAATCTGTCAATGCTAAAATCTGCCCATTCTTTCCTTCTCACTCACCTCTAGTAATCCTAGGCGGTCCTCTATTCCTGTGAATACTACCCTTCCCATACAATCTAGCTGATATACTGTGGTAAATGCTTTCGGCTTGTGAAGCACAGTCATACGTGATGTGGAATCCTTTTTATCACTGAATCACTCATAGGAGCTGCTGCTGGCTCACCTGGGTTGAACAAGAGGCCTGAAATCACTGTGAAGAGAAGCCTAACATTGCTTTCTGTGGCCTGAGACTGTGAGTAGAACCTTCCCACCCCAATCAAATACTGGAAGGACAAGCATTTGGATATCAAACCGCAGGCTAATATGTTGGGAAAAGAACCAACAGCCAGGCACCAGTGGTTCATGCATGTAATACCATCTACTCAGGAGGCTGAGATCTGAAGAATGTGGATCAAAGCCAGCTGGGGCAGTAAAGTCCCTGAGACTTTTATCTCCAATTAACCATCAGAAAACCAGCAATGGCCCTGCCCAGAGTTCAAGCCCCTGACAGGAAAAAAAAAAAAAAACCAACCCCAAAAACCAAAGAAACAAAGAACCAAAAACCAACCAACAAACCACAGTCAAGGTGTTGACAATTTAAATTTGTGTTGGATAATACCAGGGATAATGCGGATTAATTTCTATTTGCCAACCTTTCAATGTTGTAAGTTCGTTAAATCTCTATGTAAATTCAATCCCCATGTTACTGGATTACAAATGAGAACCACCAGTCCCACTGTATTGTTTGAGAAGGGGATCCTGCTAATGTTTTGGCTGGGCTGGTCTCATCACCTTTACCTCCTCAGTAGTTGTGCCCAACAAGAATACTCTTTAAAGTCACTGAAGGAATGAAGTTGAAAAGCTGATAATTGCTCTACTAGTGTCTTTTGCATATATGAAAGTAGCATGTCCTGACTTAGTAATTTTCCAGCCAGGTGACCATGATGATCACATCTAACACTCACTGAACACAAACTTAATGGTAAGTATGATCTGCTTCATTTGTATTATCTCATTGCATTCTTTCATTAATTCTATGGAAAAGAGACAGACAATACCCTTATACCTTAGTATGAAACATTAAGGTGCTTAAAAGTTATGACTTAAAATCTTTAATTAGAATATGAACTCAGCAGTCTACTTCCTTACTCTATAAATTATGTACATATTTAATACTCAATTCTTTCATTAATTATTCAACAAGTATTTATTGACAACCTACTCCTCTCTAGGCAGGGGCTATACATACACATATTTGTAGTTCTAAGTTCTTAACCTGAAGTAGATCATATTCTAGTAGAGAAGGGCAGACAATAAACAAAAGAATAAAGAAAATAAACCATCTCCTTTGAAACAGCCATGAAATGAATAAATAAGGAAATTAGTGGGGATGGAAATAGAGCTGAGACTTCGCTGAGAAAGATATATTTGAAAGGTGATAGTTGAAGGGCAAGAGTGAGTCAGAATTGAAAAGAACAAAGAGAAGCTTATTCCAGGCCATGGTAGCAGTGCTGCAAAGGGCTAATGCAGGAAAGGAGAAAAAAGGAGAAGGGAATGAGAGAAGCTTTGAAATGAGACTGAGGTGATCCATGCCAGAGCAAGCCATTTAGATTTTGCTAAAGAAGCTGAATGTAATTCTAAGAGCAGTGGAAAACCTCTAACATGTTAAGCCAGTCAGTGATTAGATAGAATGTATAATATTTGGACAATGAATTTCACACCAGCAAGGGCTGAGGGAGTTACAGAACTGAAAAGCTTAGAGTATGGAATAGACAAGTGATCTTCCAGAAAGAAATACTGAAATAGCATTATTTGAATTTAAATGATGTTTACAATCTCAGATTACTTGGGAAGCAAAGGTAAATAGAGAAGCTCAGGACAGAGCTCTGAAACACCATGGACACTTAGCTACTAAGGATTCCCTGGTTGGCCATGATGGAGTAACAGGCTCACCTTCTACCCAAATTGGAAAACTGGACAAAATACACAAAACTGAGTTGAGACACTGAACAAAAGGCAGCCAGGACTGATCCCTGAGTAAACCCTGTCACTCAACCCTCTGTCCAGAAGAAAACATCTGAATTCTGTGTTGGCCTTTGATACATTAATATCAGGGATAAAGATTTCAGAGAGACAGCAGCAGAAAGGAGATCATTTCCTTTCATTTTTAAAAAAAAGAAGCTGCAGAAAACTGCAAGTAAGTTTGTTGAGTTGCTTATTTGTATTAGGCCATGTGTTCTAACTCAGAAAGAATAAAGACTATAATAAAAACAACAATATTTCTGAGTCTCTACCTTTCTGAGACACTACTCCTATTTCTTGCAAGGAAGAGTAGGAAATGTTTCTCTTTCCATTTTTCTCTCTCCTTTTCTCTCTCTCTGTCTCTCTCTCCATTTTTCCCTTATCTATTCTTGCTAAACTTAAAAAGAGCAAGTGAGCTGGGAGCCAGTGGCTCACGCCTGTAATCTTAGCCACTCAGGAGGCTGAGATCTGAGGATGGCGGCTCAAAGCCAGCCTGGGGAAGAATGTCCATGAGACTCTTATCTCCAATAAACCACTAGAAAACTAGAAGTGGTGCTGTGGCTCAAGTGGTAGAGTACTAGCCTTGAGCTGAAGAGCTGAGGGACAGCACCCAGGCCCAGAGTTCAAGCCTCATGACCAAACAAAAAAACAAAAAAAAGCAAGTGAGAAAAGGTTAGCTGTCTGAAAAACCTTTACAAGATGAATATGAATGCCAATTAATCTTTCTAACAACAAATTAGACAATATGGTACTTCTACCTATTTAAGATTCATTGCTTAAACTTGGTTCCATATAAAAAAGGAAGTCAGGTTGGGCAGTAAGAAAGAGAGATGTTATCAGAAGTATGATGTTATCAGAGGTCTCGTCTCCTCAAATTAAAAGTAGAGCCTATAAAAATAATGTGACCTAATGAAATAGTCTTTGTTTTTGTTTTTTTATAATAATGAAACAGTCTTTAACCCAGTTTGCTCTCAATATCAATTTCTCTTTGGTATCACAGAATAAAGAACTGAGACTGTATTTTGATATATATACTTATGTGCTTTTGTATATCTATGTTTTTAAGAGATTAAAACTCAATGTTATGTTTTTTCAAAGAAGAGTAATCACAAGAAATGCTATCAAATGGGTAATATTTTCCATTTAAGTACGGTACTTGCCTTTGGATTGTTTGCATCAAATAGACCAGTTGAAAGTCCAATCAGCAAAGAATTCTTGTTTTTACTTTTTGGCGGTGAATCAGAATGAGATCGAGGTGGAATGGATTCTTCTGTTAAACACTGAACTGATTGAATCTGGGAGAGTAAATTCAAGTGCTCAGAATGAATCACTTTATGGAACAATGGCTCCGGCTGCACTGATTTGTCTACATCACCTTTACAGGGCTGACAATCGTCTATTCCAGGTTCTGTGGTTAGTACAAAAGAAAGTTCATATGGTAAGTCTATATAGTGCTTGAAAACGCTAAGCGATATTTACAAGTCATGGTATCTAATATAAGTTCAATCAAAAAACCCTTACACTTATCAGGAACACAAAATCAAAATATGTGTGTAAATATACTACTGTAAAAATAATCTTTAAGAGTACATTGTTTTATTTTCAGAAGTATTTAATTTAATGTAAACTTCCATTATATTAGAATTTGAAAATGGACAAATCCAAGGCAATGTGAAAAAATCTCACTGTCCTGACATTCATTTTTTCCAGCTAACATCCGTACTATAGAGTCGAAAAACTTATTTCTTATGTACTAATTGTACTATTAAAAGAGGACTATTTAGTGTCTTTACAACATTAGGTAAGTAATTCTCACTCTAAACACTCAATAAAATAAATGATAAAAAATTTTAGTATCTTAATCCAATCATAGACATGTATTTCATTTTGAAAGGATTATGATGACTGACAAATAATGTTCTATCTATATGTTGCCCAAATAAAATAAATAGATGTTAACAAACCTTCCAAAAAGAAATCAGACTTATTCAGTGATGCTTACCCATATGTACTTCACTAAATTGGTCCACATTCTGTGGGATTCCATCTTGAGAAATTTCATTTTGCTCACTGGCAGCCCTATCCTCCAATCTGCATATAGATATGTCAGTAAAAAAACATTCCAACGTAAGGAAAGACAGACATGTTCACTAGTATCATCTAAGTATTTTTCTCACTTTTATATACTTTATAAGCACACTGCATTTTTTTACTTTGACCAAAAAGAAACTCTCACCAATCATTAATTATAAATCACATCTTTCACATGTTCTTTTCTCAGAGTTTAAATTTTACAAACCCTTGGAAGAAAAACTGAGTTACAAATGAACTTTGTACAAATGCAACAGACTCAGCAATTCCTGTTTTGTTTCTTTCTTATAAATACAAGTAAATACCACCTAATGTAAAATGTTCCTCATTACAGCATCATCTGTAATGTTGCTAAGTGTCCATCAAGTAGACTTACTGGGTTGAGGTGTATCTATACAATGCAATACAAATAAAAAAAGGATAGCCTTTGTGAATTAATAAGCTAAATGTGTCCCAGAAAATAAGAAAGGTGGAAAACATTATGTGTATTATACTAACAATTATATTTTAAAACAGATGAAAATGATAACATTTCTCTAATTATTTTGAAGGAGGAGGGAATGGAAACCAGTTGGAAAGAGGAGGCAGGAAAAATATCTTATTCTAATCTTCATATTATTTATATAGTAGTGGATTTCTGAACCAAGTGAATATCTATTAAGGAATGAAATTATATCATAGTTGCCATATTAGGATCTTAAGCTAAAATGTTAGTTTATGATAGTATTATTTTTAAAAAGAATTACAAAGGGAAATTGATTTTCAAATCAGGAATAAAGGTACAGCATACTCAGGTTCATTTGGTTCTTTGTCCTCATTAAGCCACACATTGGTAACAGTACATGGCAAGCTCCCATCATTTATTTTCTCACAGGACTCTTGGAGAACTTCTGTTTCCAAATCTTCAGATTCTGCAGAGCAAAAACAGAACAGAAAACAGGTCAAAGCAAAGTATGTTAAGAAAAAAAACAACAACTGAGTAAACTTTCTATCAATGATCATTACTCAGTTTAGACTCATATACTGATAATAGAGAAAGCAAACGTTTTACATATTGGCTTTCATCTTTTTATGTGTTATTATTCTCCAATCATTTTGAAATGACAGAGTAATCCTTTTACATTTTCACTGTAATAAAAATACTCAAAGGAAATACTGTAAATTATATTTTTTATTATATGACATTTTCTCTTTATTAAAATTTTATTTCTGTTAAGTTGATTTAAAGTATAAAGATGGATTAAAAAATAAAGATATCTGTTGTAACAAATATGGAATAGGATATTACTGACTAGTAAAGGAAAATTTATCTTTAAAATCCATATTCCAGTAACTTAAAAAGAAAAAATTAGAAATATTACTGGACTTTCTCAATGTTATTGATCACATAAATACAGTGTGGTAAATCTATGATCTTAAATAATTAATAGCTGGAGAATTATGTCTTTCTGGTAGTGTCTTATATTTTAGCTAACTGATGGTAAGTACTGATGATATCTTTCTTCATTAATGACAATTTGTGTGAGTGTGTGTGTTTGTGTTTGTACCAGGCTTACATGCAGGGCTCAGCTTTCTTGCTCATGGATAGTGCCCAATCACTGGAGGCATACATCTAGCCTGACATTTTGCTGGTTAGTTGAAGATCTGCTTTGCCTGGACTGGCTTCCAACCTCACTTCTCCAGGTGTCAACTTCTGAATAGCTAGGAGTACACTGTATACCTGTGAGTACAGGTGCTCAGCAATATTTTCTAAGAAACAGTCTACATAATCTTATTTAAATCAACACTGTCCTTCCTTTTCCTAAGATCCAGACACGCTTCCTCCTATGTCTATAAAGATCCACATTCTCTGATCTGTTCTAAAAGGTATTTGATATTGTAAAGATTCTTACAGTTATTGTCTTTTAGTTATATTTTTGGTCACTGAAATGATAAATGCTTAAGAGTGAAATCCTTTATTTTATTTTTAAATAAATATTTTAAATAACTATTCTCCAATATGTTAAGCCATGTATCAACACTTCTTCTGCCAGAGGCTAAAATACTTACTAGATGGGTCTTCACAGAAAGTCTGTCACCCCTGCAGGAGGCTACAGAGCCCAACTCTATGAGTTGTCTCTTTCCTTTCCTTTCCTTCTCTTCTCTCTCTGCCTTTCCCCCTTTTCCTTTTTCTCTTCCTCCTCTTTACTTTCCCTTTTCTTATTTTCTATTCTTTCTTATTTCTCTTCCTCCTTGTTTTCTTTTTTTTTTTTTGGGTCCGGTCATGGGGCCTGAACTCTGGGCCTGGGCGCTGTCCCTCAGCTCTTCAGCTCAAGGCTAGTGCTCTACCACTTGAGCCACAGCGCCACTTCTGGCTTTTTTCTTTTTTCTTATGTGGTGCTGAGGAATCGAACCCAGGGCCTTGAGCATGCAAGGCAAATGCTCTACCACTGAGCCACCTTCCCAGCCCCCCTTGTTTTCTTTTTGGAAGGTATAATACAGTATTTTAATTCAGGCTGCAGAGTATCATAGACTGAGTAGCTTAAGCAGAAATGTATTTTTCACAGTCCTCATATTAACTCAAGACAGAGAAAAACTTGCCTTAAAGGAAACAAAAATAAGAGTGGCTTTTGTTAAATAAAGTGAATGTCAGTAACATTGACATATGAAATTAACAAAGTTATGTACAATTTCCTCTGGGAAAAGCACCACCAGCTTGGATGGAAAGGGACAGATATGGTTCAAAAGAGAAGAGCCCTTGAGTGCAAAATGAGTGAGGCTCCTCTGGCCTTTGCCAGAGCTCTTATGGATCAATGACAGTTATATTCCTGGCATCTTCTGCTTGTGAAAAGTACTCTCCAGGTCTGTTTTGTTGTATATTTTGGTGTGGAAAGCAAGTAACTCATTTTGTTCACTCATAGATTTAGATTAGATTTTTTTTTGAGGGGCTTTAACTTTGAGCCTTTTGCTTGCTAGTCAAATTCAAGTAGCCCTAGTCTACCTTTTGAACCATTCATGTCTCTAATTCTTATTGCTTTTATTGTTGATCAGGTCTTCCGCTTTTGGATAGACTGGTCTTGGACTGTGATCTTCTTACCTTTGCCTCCTGAATAGCTGGGGTTACAGGTGTGTTCTATACCACCTGGTTCCTGATGTTCAGATGAAGAATTCTCAAAGAACAAGAAAACTGATTTGGATAAGATCATCTTAAGACTAGTAGCTAATGAGGGAGAAATAATGTCTTCTCTGTGGGTAGGCTATGACGGATTAAAGATAGCTGAGAATTATTTAACACTTTTCCCTTTGAGAGGTAGGCCTTGTATAACTTCCTTTGGATCCAGCTGAGTTAACACAATAGAAGTCAGATTACTCTACTAGAAAGAATACTTAAGAGTGTCACTGAGACTTTACAAAGAGGAGAGAGGCCCGTTTTAACTTAGCTTCCTCGATGAACCTTCTACTTGATCATAGTTAAGCATAGTTAAGTGATGTACTGGGGTTTGAACTCAGAGCCTTGCACTTGTTAGGAAGGTTTTCTATCAATTGAGCCATGTCCTCAGTGCTTTTTGCTCATTATTTTTCAGATAGGATCTTATATTATTTTGCCTAGGCTAAGCTGGACTGTGATTTTCATATTTACAAATTTGGCTGATAATAGGTATGAACTACCAATCCAGCTTTTTGTGCTGAGATTGGGGTCTTACTAATCTTTTGCTCAAGCTAGCTGTGATCCTCCTGGTTTCTTTTTTTTTTTTTGGGGTCCGGTCGTGGGGCCTGAGCTCTGGGCTTGGGCACTGTCTCTCAGCTCTTCAGCTCAAGGTAGTGCTCTACCACTTGAGCCACAGCGCCACTTCCGGCTTTTTTCTTTTTGCTTACGTGGTGCTGAGGAATCGAACCCAGGGCCTCAGGCATGCAAGGCAAGCGCTCTACCACTGAGCCACCTTCCCAGCCCTCCTGGTTTCTATCTCCCAATCAAGCAATCTCTGAGATCATGGCACATTAGTTGGGAAAAAAGCATATCAACCAACCCTTGGCTGATAAAAATAATAAAATATAGCCCAATAAGGTGGTATACTCCTATAATTCCAGCTATTTGGGAGGCAAACAGGAAGATTACATGTTTGGGGCTTGGGAAAGTCAGGAACATCCTATGTGAAAGGACACACGGACACACACACACACGAAAATAACAAAAAAGTATTGGATATGTGGCTCAAGTGGGAAAACTCTTGCCTACAACGCATAAGGCACTTGGTTCAATCCCCAGTACTAGTATAAAAAAAAAAATAAGCCAGGTATTAATTGGGCTTGGTGATGGGGATCTATAATACTGTTACTTGGGAAGAGGCAAGAGGATTGCAAATTCCAGGCCTGCATGAGCTACATAACGCGATCCGTCTTAAAACAGCCCTCCCTCAAAGGGGAAGAGTAAAGTTAGTAAAACTATAATAGTAGTAATAATAGTATAATATTGAACTTAATTTGAGATGAGTTATTTAAAAATATACACAAATTCTGATAATTTCTTTATAAAGGTATATTTATAAAAAAGAAACTTAAGTGCTATTAAATCAAATTTAGGTTGTTTTGTTCCATTAAAACATACCTGCCACATTTCCCTCTGGCCTTAATGATGTATGGGGAGATACCTCACCAATGTTTGGACTTTCTGTCTCAACAGAACAATCACCAAGAGCTGATGGGGTTATATCTTGTGAAATATAATGTATTTCTTCTTCTTCTCCTCCAGTGATTAAAGGTTCGAGGTTTTCCTCTTCAGGAGAAATCTCTGAAAACACAAAAAATGAAAAATCATGTTAGTTTTCAAATTGACTTTTACAATTGTTATATGTTGTGCATGTGCGTGCGCATGTGCGCACATGCACGTGGATACATACACATACACACACACACACACACACACACATGTGCACTGCTTCTGGTACTTGAACTCAGGACCTGTGTGCTATATCTGAACTTTTATGCTCAAGGCTAGTGCTCCTTTTATTGTTTTTGTGATGTCTGATTCTTAATCCTCAACTGGTTATCTGCTTACCCCGTGAGATTTATTCACCTGAATTTTCATGGTTGTGTTTAACCCCTTCTCATCTGTAAAGAAAATTATTATTTCTCCTTCAAACATGTGTTTTGGGTTTAGGGAAAGTCAGGAAACCCTATGTGAAAGGTTAAAAAAAGACAAACTAACAAACAAGTGCTGTGGCTCAAGTGAGAGAACACTTGCCTAGAACGCATGAAGCACTTGGTTCAATCCCCAGTACTAGGAAAAAAAAGGCATGGTGGTGGGTGTCTACAATCGCATCACTTGGGAAGTTAAGACAAGAGGATTGCGAATGCCAGGGCTGCGTGAATTGGGTACTCTGTCTACTGGTTTCAGGGTCTTTGAGACCCTGCCTGGCAGTTAAACATCCTATGGGAAGGAGGAGGCTTGTGGTAATCATATGAGCTATGGTACTGGGCTCAGAGCTCAGTTCTAACAGGATGTGGCTACTCACTACTGTACCCATTACTGTCCCAGCTCCCTCCCACTTATTTAAACTACTCAGTGGGTCCACATCAGACCTCCCTTTCCATATCCTTTTTGTGGTCATCAACCACCCACACTGTGACAAGGTGTACCCAGAGTCTCTGAGCCATAATTATTCCTTGTTTTCAGGTAGCCACAATAGTTTAATCTCAAACAATAGGCATCTCTCTCAAGATACAGAACTGTGGGCTGGGAAGGTGACTCAGTGGTAGAGTGCTTCCCTTGCATGCCTGAGGCCCTGGGTTCGATTCCTCAGCACGTAAGCAAAAGGAAAAAGCCAGAAGTGGCACTTTGGCTCAAGTGGTAGAGTGCTAGCCTTGAGCTGAAGAGCTGAGGGACAGCGCCCAGGCCCAGAGGTCAGGCCTCACGACCGGACCCAAAAAAAAAAAAAAAAAGATACAGAACTGTGAGATATGGGGTATGAGAAAATGCCTTATTCTGCACTGCAGAATAAGGAACGGTCATGTCACACCAAATCCCTGAACCAGGGTTAAGGCTTGGAAAAAATGTGGGCGTCCTCTGTGGCTAGGTCTGTCAGTCTTGGACAGGGGTGGTGGCTTACCTGGTTACCTGGTAGTTGGGGCTCTGGCCTCCCTGTCTCTGCAGGGATCCAGGATTGCACCTGCAAACTTTTAACTATCACCTTTCTGTTTCTCCATGCTTTACAGGTATCCTGTCACCCCTTTCATCATTACTGATGCTTTTCCTAGCTCTCTCTTCAGAATATAGTGATTCCCAATGTTTTTACACCCTGTCTTCAGAATACAGTCTCTCCTTTTATTAGGCTGACTCTTCATATTCATTGCGTCAAATGGAGGAAGTGCTCAGACTATCACTGAAGATCTGGTGCAACTTCCTCATCATTATTTTTTAAAAGTTTGGAGCCTGCAAGCATTTTTGTCCTGAATAAAGCCAGAGGCATTTTAAAAATGAGCTCTGACTAAAGCGTAATATTAGGTTACTAGTATTTTTGCTTTTGGTTAGTGTTTCGCATACAACTTCAAAATTTAGGATATGAGTGTGCAAATGATATACATATTTATAGATTGTGCTTTTGCCCTTTTTACAAACAAATGAGTGCATTACTTCTTTAGTCAAATTATGTTTCTTTGTTATTAGATAAGCGACTGGTTTGTGGTTAGGAAATTCACTCTTAATGAGGAAACAGAAACCCACTTTTGCTCTTTCATTAGAGAACCTGTCAATACCTTTACCTCCTATGTTATTTTTCTACTAGCTTCAGGAGGTGGAGAGACAGCAGGATCTGGAATTTGAAGCTCTACTCTAAGCTTTAAGAAGAGACAAAGAAAAAGAGCAACAGAAGGAGAGAGTAAAAAGTTAAATACATATATATTCTCCATTACTTTCCTAAGTAAGAAAACTATGCTCCATGTTTTTTTTTCCTTCCTTCCTTCCTTGCTTCCTTCCTTCCTTCTTTTTTTGTCAGTCATGAAAATTGAACTCTGGGACTGGGCACTCTTCTTGAACTTTTTTTGCTCAAGATTAGTGCTCTACCACTTTGAACCACAGCCCCAATTCCTGTTCCATGTTTTTATCATGTGCTCAAACTCTTTAGTGTAAAAGGCCTGTCCGACACTTGGCCACTTTTCCTTATGTATGCATAGTTAATATAGCAATAACCATAAGACTCAGAGATAAAGAATGTTTTTCTTTCTTTCTTTTCTTTTCTTTCTTTTTTTTTTTTTGGTGCTGGTCCTGGGGCTTGAACTCAGGATTTAGAAGCTGTCTCTGAGTTTCTTTTGCTCAAGGCTAGCACTCTACCACTTGAGCCACAATTCCACTTCCAGCTTTTTTAGTAGGTTATTGGAAATAAGAGTCTCACAAACGACGACAACAACAACAAAAAGAGTCTCAGGGACTGCCTGGGCTGGCTTTGAAACACAGTCCTCAAATCTCAGTCTCCTGAGTAGCTAGGATTACAGGCATGAGACACGGCATATCTTTTTCCTCTTGCCTTATAACAACTATCCATCTCCTATTCCAGAATAATGTTTATATTTGCCTACTGGAGATTTCTTTTACTCAATTTAATTCCTGAATTTACTTCAGAAGATACAATACCAGCTAGGTGTAGTGGTATACATCTGTAATCCTATTTATTCAGGAGGTAGAGACAGCAGGATTATGAATTTGAGGCTGCCCAGGGAAGTTAGTGAGATTCTATCTTAAAACAAAATGTAAACAGGCTTGGGCATGGCTTAAAAGGTAAAGTGTGTATCTAGTACTTAAGAGTTCCCATGTCAATCCCCAGTATCAGAGAAACAAAACACCAAACACAAAACACACAGGCAGATACAAATACACCTGTAATAAACACTGTTCTGACTTTTCCAAATCCCTAATAGGTATCCCCCTTTCTCTTATTTTTAGATTCATCTAGGTCATATCAAGATCAAAATTCAATGCTACCATTTAGGTCAACTCCCCAGAAAACAGAAGTATTCTCTATCTTATAAGAAATTATAAAAACAATCAAATAATTCACTTTTTAAATAATATTCTATTATAAACAATTAGTTTTTGCTTACCAGTTTTAATGGTTGTGTTTTCCAATAGTTCTGTCTGAAGCTGGAGTTCAGCTTCTCCAAGTATCTTTAGAACTGAATCTGCAGGGCTCTTCCCCCAGACTTTTCTTGGAGATCCAATAGGATCTAACTTAATAACCTCTCCCACTGTACGTTCTAAAAGAAAAAATACAAAGAAATAATTTTCAATGATAGAACATAATAGTACATTGTTCAGCAAGATTTTTGTCTTTTGTCCAAGTGAATGCTTCATGAGAAAAAATTTATTAAAAAGAAAACAGATTCGAGCTACTCAGGAGGCTGAGATCTGAGTAACATAGTTCAAAGCCAGCCTGGACAGAAAAGTGTGTGAGACTCTGATCTCCAATAAACCACTAGAAAACTGGAAGTGGCACTGTGGCTCAAGAGGTAGAGCACTCGCCTTGAGCTGAAGAGCGCAGGGACAGCGCCCAGGCCCAGAGTTCAACACGACCAACAGAAAAAAACAAAAACCAAAAACAGATTCTAAGATAAATATGAGTTTAAAAAGCCAAAAAAATACATCTAAGGAAGTGTGTATTGTTCTAGCTTACACATGATAAGTACACAAATTTCCTTTTAACAATGATGATAATAATAATAATTCTAAGTAAACTATTTTAATAAAACTTAGCAAAGCTAAGAATTGCCTATTGAGGTTTTAAGTTTCTAGAACATTGGGTAGTAAAACTTGAAGCATATAGGTACCAAGCAGCAATACATAGGATTTAATAGAGTATTTGAGTAATATAGACTTATCAGTGGTAATCTATACAATTTGATAGTTTTTTTCTTTTAACCATCTGAAAGAGGCTTTATTAGGATATAAGTAGCTACATGGACTGACTCCAAGTTAATAGTTTCATATATTAGTTCCATGAGAGCCAAGTGCATATACAGATAAGCAGGGGATATTTAGTTTTGTATAACTAATATGATTAAAACCAAATTTAAAAGGGATGGTTAAAAAGAGTAAAAAACCCAGAAAGAAATCCAAGAGACAGTCTTTTGATATTAGACAAACATTCCAAAGCAACACAATGGAAAATCTCTTCAACAGACAAAACTGGAATGACTCAATGTCCACAAGAAAAAAATAAAGTTCAATCTCTTCAATGTAGGCAGGAAAAACTTATGTGGTGCTGAAGAGACAGAACTGGGAGTCTGGGAAGCCAACGTGACTGGCATATAAGATAGATTACTGAAGATCAGAAACTCTCTCTTTCTCTCTCTCTCAAGAAAACTGGGATTTTACAATCTTTTTGTGCCACTTCAGGTCTTATTTGAGCAAAGCATACCATTATATCTAGCATAAAGCCATAACAAAAACAACAAAACCCTCTGGGATCTGGAGAAAAGATCACACAGTAATAATAGTTGGAATATTTTGTGTTGGAATAATAGTTGGAATATAGTTCTTAGTTCCATCAGAATACAAATACTCAAAATTCACAGGGCACTGGGTGGACTATTCTGAAAGGCTGTTGACTGAGTAAAGAGAAAAGATTAGCTACAGACTAAACACTGCTCTGAATCACTTAACAAAGCTTAAAATTCAACTGAAAAGGGTCAAGATATTCACAAGTGACTAAATTATGTCCTAGAACAAAAGTCTAGTTTATTTATAGGAATATAAAAATTCAATAAACTCACAAGGTCACAGTGTTTAGCCCTTAAACAAACATTATCCAAGCATGCACAGAGAAGCATAAGAATACAGCCTATAATAAATGGAGAAAGTCAACCAATCAAAACTAGCCTCCAAATAGAGAGATGATGAGATTAGTGGACAAAGAGATTTATAATTGTCATTAAAATGGAATTCTAAGCCAGGTGTCAGAGGTTCACACTTGCAATCTTAGCTACTCAGCAGGCCGATATCCAGAGGATGGTGATTTGGAGTCAGCCCACACAGAAAGTCTGATGGGGGGGGGGGGGTGAGGAGGGGGAGAGAGAAAGAGAGATCAAGAAAGAGAGAGAGACAGACAGACAGAGACAGAGACATTCCTCCAAAATAACTAGCAAAAACTGGGCTGGAGGTGTGGCTCAAGTTGTAGAGAGTCAGCTGAGCAAGCAAGCCAAGCAAGCACAAGGCTGGAGTTCCAAGTTCTTCCTCAGATAAACTCTTAGTTTCTTATGAAGCCTTACAAGTCTGCCACCTATTATCTCTTAAATATGACTTCTCTTCATTACCCTTCTATAAATTGGTTAAGGATTATTATCAACTTTTGATACTATCTAGTTCAAAAGCTTTTTAAAACTAGTCTTCTAACTAAGGTGGCATAAAGTAGTTATAGTTATTCCCTAAGTAATCATAGCAATTAGAAAACTATACAAACCTTCAAGACACTGGATAATAATAATGAACACAGAACCTTCAAGAGGAAAGAAATCAGTGTAACTTCCTCATTGACCATGATCAATCATGATTGCCATGATCACCCAGCTTGCTGCCCAGAATATTTCCAGGCCACAGGAGAGGGAAGCTAGGCCAAATTTAACAGGTTTACTTCAAAGGCAGGGCTTGAATTCCTAAAAACCTTGTGTAACTAGTAGAAGAATTTCAGAGATCTGTAGAGGGTAGTAAGCTTTGGTGATCAGTCTAAGAAAGATACTCAAGGTAGAAAAAGCACCACCTAAAACACTACAGGAAACATTGAGACATGAAATAGCCATTGCTATCACTAGTCAACCTGGGAAGCCTTGTAATTCCTAGTATAATATGTACTTACAAGGCTCTTATCTCTGTAGTAGAAGTAATTATCATGAATTAAACATGGTTCCAGTCTCATCTCACAAACAATAGGGAAAAAAAGCCCCAAATAATTATAGAAATACAAAAAAACTAACCCTAAATAAGGTAAAATTCATGATGTATGACAACCAATAAGAAATGTCACACATGCAAATAAGCACAAAAATGTAACCTTTAATAAGGAACAAAAAAATGCAAGGAAAAAAAATGGGCCCAGACTGAGACAGGTGTTAGAATAGTGTGCAAGGATTTTCCAGTTATATAACCAAATCAAACTATTAAAGATTATGAAAAACACATTGTCTGAGATAAAAAATATACTGCATAGAAGTAACAGAAAACGTATGGAAGAAAAAAGGATATAATATAGTGAAGACAGACTAACAGACCATCCAGAATCTTTAAAAAATGAAAGGAATATCAGACAGGTAATAAATGAAATTGGAATTCCTGTAGGAGGGAAGTAGGTGGAGGCATAAAAAATATTAGATTAAATAATGTCTAAAGAGCTGGGCGCCAGTGGCTTACACCTGTAATCCTAGCTACTCAGGAGGCTGAGCTCTGAGGATCACAGTTCAAAGCCAGCCCGGGCAGGAAACTCCGTGGAACTCTTATCTCCAATAAACCACCAGAAAACCAGAAGTGGTGCTATAACTCAAGTGGTAGAGTGCTAGCCTTGAGCTAAAGAGCTGAGGGACAGTGCCCAGGCCCAGAGTTCAAGCCCCACGACCGACAACAACAACAAAAAAGTATAAAGAATTTTTAATTTAGAAAAATAAGTAAACTCAACAATACAAGGAAAGAAAACAAAAAAATCACATCAAGGTTCTTCGTAATTGTATTGTTCAAAACCTGACATCTTAAAAATAGAGCCAGGTACTGGTGGTTCACCATTATAAATTTAGCATCTCAAGAGTCTGGAAGGATGGTGGTTTGAGGCCAGCCCAAGAAGAAAAGCTCACTGGACTCCATGTCTACAGCAGGGGTCAAGTGGTAGAGTGCCAGATGAACAAAAAAAAGGAAGTTCAAAGCTCTGAATTCAAACTGCAGTACCACCAAAAAAAAACACCCCAAGTCTTTCCATTTAAAAAATTATATTAAGTGAAGTAAGCCAGGCCCAAAGAAACATAGGTTCCATGGTCTCCCTTATTTGCAGTAACTAGTATATGTCTGAGTCAAGCAGAAAAGGTCAGATAAGTTGATGTTAGGGGAATGAACCCTAAGATATGTATTCAAATGTTTTTTTCTTTCATGTGATTGTTTCTATCACATTTATAAGATGATTTCTTTGTTGCTTTGTATGTCCCTCCCCCACAGTATAACCCCTGCTTTCACTGTATTTGATGTTGGTATAATTTGTGGAGGGGAAGGGAAAAAACAAATCATTTAAACAGGGATACAGGTGGACCCATTGCAACAATGAGATGTACAAGTCCTTATGTCGAAAACGAACTTTACAACTTTAGTGGAGAGGGGGAAGGTGGGGGGGAGGGAAGGGAGGATGGAATGGGAAGGGGAAACAAAGGAGGAGGCTACAATGCTTGGTAAGAAATGTACTCATTATCTTGCCCATGTAATTGTAACCCCTCTGTACAGTATTTTCACAATAAAAAAAACACCCCAAACCCACATTAACAAATAACAACAACAAAAAGATGATAAAAAAGCAGAGAAAAAATTATGTACAGAGGAACAAAGATAAGGACAAGACTTCTTCTCAGAAACAATGCATATGAGAAGACAATGCTAAGCAGATCCAAAGAGCACTGAGAAAGTGAAAAATGAGCTCATTCTACAACCATGAAAGCAGAGAAGACCTTAAATGGGTTCAATTGCTAGACAAACAAAAACATGAACATCCTTCATATGATTTACACAAGGCTCAAAATCTATAAGGTAAGATTCAAAATGTTCAGGATGGAATTAATCTTAATTATTATGAAAAAAGACAATATCAACACAAATGTAACACAGCTGTTGGAATTATGTAACAAAGATTTAAAAACAGTTATAAAAAATGTCACAGGAAGCAATCATAAGCATTCTTATGAACTCTTAGAAAAGAAACAGAACATATAAAGGACATTATGTCAAATTCAAATTTCAGTGTCAGTTAATACAATTTTACTGGAAACAAAGCCATTCTCATTGGTATTGATGCTTTGTACAGCTTTGCAACAGAGTTAGGCCTGCAGAACCTAAAATATTTACTATTGGTCATTTAGAGAAAACATTTGCTGACTCTCTTTTTAAAGTCTTCTCTCCACACTTAGAGTAAGTCTACTATTGGTTGGTATCATGATCTGGCTCTGCTCAGTTCTTCCAAGACCTCTTGCTTGCAAGGGCAAATTCTTTGTCACAAGTTTTGAACTTTATCCATGTTGAATTATATCTACTTCTCCAAGTTTCCTATGGTCTCTTACCCTTGAGCATGGGAGAGTGGCCATTCTTTTTCTTCTTTCCTTCAGCAAAATTGCATTGTCTAGAAATGACTTCTTTTGCTACTCAAGACTGGCATGCCTGCCGGGCACCAGTGGTTCACATCTATAAAATGCTAGCTACTCAGGAAGTTGAGATCTGAGGATCATGGTTCAAAGCCAGCCAGGGCAGGAAAGTCCATGAGACTCTTATCTCCAATTAACCACCAGAAAACCAGAACTGGTGCTGTGGATCAAAGTGGTAGAGCACAAAAGCTCAGGGACAGTGCTCAGGCCCTGAGTTCAAGGCCCATGCTTGACCAAAAAAAAAAAAAAAAGAGAAAAAGACTGTTATGTCCTCCTAAGCATTCTACTTCTAGGAGTAATCATAGGATACTGGAAGAATGCTTAGGAGGGCATCGCCACCTTTTTGTTAAATAAGTAAATAAAGTAAATGCGATCAAATCTTTGGAATTTTCTTCAATGCAAGAGAGAATTTGACAAAAAAATAGTCCATAAAAATTATTTTACACTGGCTCTTTTAGAATATAAGCTCTAGAAGAGCACATACTTTTCTGTTTTGCTTTTCTTTATATCTCTAGTATCCAGAACAATAAGAAAACAATGAATACTCAGGAATTCAATACTCAGGAATTCTTTCTGAGCAGATAACACATTAAGTCAGATCTCAGTAACCCTAGGAAATGCTTAAGGGATCTAAGATTTTAATCAAAGTTCACAACTCTGCTTCTCATGAAGAATTAACAGTATAAAGTGCAAAGTAACACAATTTAAAAATGCATTATAGTTCCCTCTCTCATACATTTTTGTGTAAAAAGAAAATCCTTGGTATTCTGAAGACTGAATTGTTTTCTACATTCTACATGTTACTAGAAGACAGCATTTCTCTTCTAGAAGGAAAATATATACAAGTTATGCAATTCCTTTAAGTGTTCTTCCTTCAGATTGCCATTTAGTCAGCCTACTAATTTACATGTGTAATAAATCAACATGGGCCATTAACACGCTTATACATACTTTCAGTCGCAGAGAAGGACATATCCAGTGTCACCTCATCCTGGGGAATCACAAGTTCACCTCCTACTTCCCACTTCTTGCGATCAGATGGGACAGATTTTTCTTTTTCATACTGTCTGGCATCCTCATGAACAATTATCTCAGACATATCGGAGTGATTCTCCTTTCCGTTCTCATCTTCTTGAGCTTTGAGATTTTCATTTAGTCTCCGTAGTATTTCACGTTTATTCTGCAATGGTTACAATGTTACATATTATATTGCACTTGCAGCTTTTTCACCAAAATTGGAAATAGGAATCTCATGGACTTTTCTGACTGGGTGGGCTTCAAACTGTGATCTTCAGATCTCAGCCTCCTGAGTAGTGAAGGTTACAGACACGAGCCACCAACCCCTGACTACAATGTTATAATATGCATATGATAAACTAAAATCACTGACAGACTAAAAATTACACTTACTGAAATAGCACTGTTGGTCTTTTGTATTTCTTCCAAAGGTTCTTGGGTATCAGTTAAACTTCTGTCCTTTAAACACAGATAATTATAAAGAAGTAATGTTATTTTAAAAGTCTACATGGAAACATCAGATAATATTAACTTTGCTTTTTCATGAAATTGCTCCTTATGAACTTTTTCTATTCCTGTAGAATGTAAAGAAAATACCTTTCATTATCAACAATGATAAACAATTAAATATTATCAACTAGTACACTTAACATATACAAGGGCCAATTCTCAATTATTTGTCATATTTCAACTTAACTATATCTTCTTCTTTTATATTTAATTTTGGTAACTGTAGAAATAAAGGAAAATTCACATATTTTGTTAGAGCTAAGGAACATTTTGTGAATAAAATAATTCAAGAGAGACTAAGCTGTTTGAAATTGTTTCATAAGTATGAATTTATACATATGTAATTTTATAAATGTAAAAAATACAAATTTGATAGTAGGCTTTGAATTCAGGCCTCACCTGTCCTTTCTTGCTTTATTTTTTAGGGAGGTAATCATGCTTTTGGCCTTGGGCTGGTCTTAAAACTTTGATGCTCTCAATTTTGGCTGTCAAAGTCGATAGGATTTTAAGTGTGCATCACCATGCCTGGTATGTATATATATTCTTGTTAAGCTATAGTCTTAAACACAATTGAAAATTGGCCTTCTTTAAAAGTAAAGAGAAAACCAAGTAATAATCACGAGTCATTTGTGCTATTAATAAGAATTTTAAGTATTTGCAACGAAGAAATTAGTAGTTTTGACAGAAAAGGTAACTAAAAGCAATTTTCAAAGTTTGAAATAAACAACATCTATCAATATAGTACAGTAAGTAAAACCACTTAGTTATACAACTTATGTCAAATTATAAAATGATTGAAAAATACAAAAGATCACAGTTAATTAGTTTTAAAGTTAACACATATATACAAGACAAGGAGCATTTTACCCAGTAAAGTAGTCGGAAATTAGCAGTCACTACAAGCACAGAGATGAACAGCTACTTGAGATGTGACACTGGATATCAGAGAGGAAACCATATACTGGTATCTAAAGTTGAAGTGAACAATGTAGCACATGTAAAGTTGTCATCAGAAAGGGAACAAGAAAAAACCTACTTCAAGAACAGTGGTTTCTTATATGAAGTTCTGGAGAGTGATCAAGAAGCTTAGATTTTCCTGTTCAGCCCTATTTTCTAGATGAATACAAAAGCTATAAAAAAATTAGTGTAATACTCAATAGTTCTTGTAGTTAGTTTTACAAAGCTTAATAAATCTCAGAAATAAAAGGTACAAACATTGATTATCAGGAAAGGAAAAAATTGAGGTTAATGTATTAAAGAAAAAAAACAGAGTATTTTCTTTTTGTTTATTAAAATCTAGTATGACACTTTGTATTATGAGCTCATTTTTCCTCACCATAGAACAGGTTTCACACATCACACCAAGGATACCTTGGTCCATACCGAATTTAAACTTTCTTTTTGTCAGTTGTGGGGTTTGAACTCAGGGCCTAGTTGCTGTTCCTGAGCCTTCTAGAAACTTTTTTTTTTTTTTGAAGTTTAAACTCTGCCCATAGTTTCTTGTTTTACTATCTGGATGGCATATACAGATTCAGAAATAGAAGGTAAAAGAAATAATTGTTGAGTTCAGTATAATTATACAGAATCCTCCACCATCTGCTATGTCACTAAATTTTGAATAAATGCAAACATACCTTGGACTTAATTCCTAGTGTTAGTTGCTTCAAGTACCAAAGATATATTAGTTTTAAAAACAAAAATATGAACATTTGTTAATCATGAAGGTGGGGGGTACAGAAGTATTTGTTGGACTATTTTTAGTAAATTTATTTCTATACAGTTTTGTTCAGTATCCCGTTAAAGTGAAAAAGAGGTCCTAGAATGTGTACCACCTAATACCAAAATCAACAGATGCTCAAGTTTTTTTTTCTCACATAAAGTAACACTGTATTTACGTACATGCTACGCACAAACTCCATATATATATGTGTGTATATATATATATATGTAAAATCATCTATAGATTAAATATTTAACAGTGAAATGATATATAAATAGCTATCCTAACATATTGCTTAGGGAATATTATGAGGAAAAATGTCTATACATGCTCAGGACAGATGCAATCACCTCAGGCCTACCCATATTCTACACATCAGCAATAATATTTTTTCCCCAAGTGTTTTTGATCTGAGGTTGGTTGACGCAGATGTAGGACCCTCAGAAACAGTTGGCTGAACATATTTATTGACCAAGTAGTCCTAGATACAAAAATCTATAAGTAGAAAGATTCCAGTATTCAAAGAGAGCCAAAACAATCTTAAGGAGTATATTTTTCTCCAGAAAAATCAAGGGGAACGTTAAGAATTAATGTAATTTGGGATGGGATGGAGTCTCTGGGAGGCAAGTAGACAAATGAAGAAGTGGGGGGCAGAATGCAGTAAAAAATTCAATGTGTATCCTACAAAATTAAGAAAAATGAGGGAAGAGTGGATTAGGAGGGTGGGTTAGAATGTTGAAAGGGGTGACCCTGATCAAGATGCATTGTCTTCATAAACTGCTTTGTTGAATGGCAACTCCTTTGTACACTTACTTGAAAATAATAATAATATAAAAATTAAGAATGAATGTATTTCATTAAATTTAATTTCTTTTAAATAATCGTTCAACTTTGAGGAGTTCTGAATTTTAAGAAACTTACAACCTTACCAGCTAGGGGCCAGTGACTCACACCTATAATCCTAGCTACTCAGGAGGCTGAGATCTGAGGATCACGGTTCAAAGCCAGCCCAGGCAGGAAAGTCTGTGAGACTCTGATCTCCAATAAACCACTAGAAAACCAGAAGTGGCACATAGCTCACGAGGTAGGGTGCTCACCTTGAGCTGAAGAGCACAAGGACAGCACCCAGGCCCAGAGTTCAAGCCCCACAACCAACAACAAAAACAAAAAAGAAACTTACCATACCCACTTCTTTCAAAGCTGACGTCACAGAAACAACTGGTAATATCTGTTGCTTTGATGGAGAGCCACCTGTTTCATGCTGTCCCAAAGGTGGAGAAACATTAGAACTCTTTATTCCTTTAGCTACCAACTATAGAGAAACAAGACTTGATCAAATACAATGGGAATTTTATAGCTGCATTAAGACATAAAAAGCTACATACAAACAATTCTTTCATTCTTCAATTATTTACTGAGCTTGCTCAGTGTGTGACAGGTGCTGGGAAAAGAACAGTGAGTAAAGAGGAAACCTATGGCCTGATATTAAACATATTTATAAACATGTCCTGTAGTCTAAAGAATTGGTTTCCATTGTGTTATTGTCTCATAAATGAGCCTAAAAAAGTCTTCTGAATGTTTATTTTTATTCAGCTTAATTCTAATCTACTATAACATTTGATATGAAAAATACTTATCAATCTTACATTTCAAAAAAGAAATACTTCTGTGATTTCTGTAAGTTTAGGTAAAATCTACTTATCATCAACCATCCAATTTAAGAGACCTTATTATAAAAAACATCAACATAAGTGAGAATGGAAGGACAGATAGAGAAAGTAAGATTTGCTTCATTGAAATGTTCATGATATTCATGTTTGTTTTTATCATGCTCTTGCCATTTAGACTTTAAACAGTATGAAGACTCTGAACTTTAACAAATAACAAGAAATGGTGTTCAAATTGCAGTTCTTGCTGTAATTTGAAAGTATGATGGCAGAAGTCTGATTCCCACTTCCAGTTTTCCTCAAATCAGTCAACAAAATTTTTTGAAGAGTATACATACAAACACCATATTTATTGCATATCCTCTAAGAATAAAGCAGTAATACTTTGTTCATTGAAAAAATATACTTATGATCAAAATTACAAATAACTTAAAAATACACAAATATGTCATCTCACCTTGAAAGATTGGGCTAGAATATTTTTGAATTCTTATGATTATTTTATATCACAGATATAGTCAAAGGATTCATAATTCTAAGGAAATAAAAGCAAGCTCCAAAGCAGTTCTGAACAATGGCAGCATTTTTAGAAAATATTAAAAGTCATTTCTAAAATTAAAAGTAATTTTAAGAAACTGGGCAGACACATAATAGAAGCACTAGATAAACTCTTAATAATGTATTATTGTTCAGAACAATAGCATTATTTTTAGAGCCTCAACTGCAGTACATGAATTTTCTTAAAGAAATTATTCCTATTTCAGTATCTGAATATGAAGTCATTCTTAAGAAAAACAAATTCACAATATTGTGATAAAATCAATTTGCCAACAAATTAAGACTTTAAAAAGTACCTATTAGTGCCAAACACAATACTAGATAATGAATACTTAAAATGAATTAAGACTCAATGCTTTCTTTTAAAGGGCTATAAAATACAGAATGAGAAATATATAAATTGGTATGTTATAGAGAAATAAAACCAGAGATATGTGTACGTGTGCTAATTGAACTGAGGAAAAATGCAACAAAACAAAAAAACAGAAAGCATGGTGTAAATGTAGGAATGGGGCTAATGAAACCAGCCTTCAAAAGAGTAGCCAGTGTTGTTGGTCGGAATGTAAACTTGTTCAACCACTCTGGAAAGCAGAGTGTTTACTCAAAAGACTAAATATAGAGTTTCCCTGTGACCCAGCAATCTCTCTCCTAGGCATTATCCAACTGACCACAAACCAGGCTGCACTAAAGCCACCAGCACAATCATGTTCACTGTAGCATTGTTTACCATAGCTAAGATATGGAATCAACCTACATGCCCCTCAATGGATAAATGGATTAAGAAAATGTGGTATATATACAAAATGGAATTCTAAGCTTCCATCAGAAAGAATGACATTATCCCATTCATAAGGAAATGGAAAGACTTGGAAAGAATTATCTTAAGCAAAGTAAGCCAGACCCAAAGAAACAAAAGTTGCATGGTTTCCCTCATTTGTAACATTAGAATGTGCCTATAAATCTACAAATAAACTCAGTGGAACTAAAAGACAAAAAATTGCATTTGGAGCCGGGCGCCGGTGGCTCATGCCTATAATTCTAGTTGCTCAGGAGGCTGAGATCTGAGGATCACGGTTCAAAGCCAGTCCAGGCAGGAAAGTCCGTGAAACTCTTATCTCCAATAAACCACCAGAAAACTGGAAGTGGAGCTGTGGCTCAAGTGGTAGAGTGCTAGCCTTGAGCTGAAGAGCTGAGGGACAGTGCTCAGGCCCAGAGTTCAAGCCCCACAACTGACAAAAAAAAAAAAAAATTACATTTGGACATAATAAATTAAAAGATATTCTAAACATTCTAAACAATGAGACCAAAGGAGGTTATTCTGATGACAAGGGCTCAACAACTATGTGCATATGATCATATAAAATGATGCTTATTGAAATGAACTCCAAGAAATGGAAACAAGAGGTTTTTTATTTTACTATTTGTGATGTTTTTTCTCTCTGTTTTCCTCTTTTGTCACTGTTTTTGATTTGTTCCTCCTTTCTTGTATATAAGTTTATCTGATTTGGGGAGGGGAAGAGGAAGCACAGAAACAGTGGGACAAAGCGTGTACTAATTCAGTAGTGACACTCAGTAGATACTATGCTGAAAATGAACTATACATCTTGTGGGAGAGGGAGGTCAGGAGGGAAAAAACTGGGAGAAAACAAAGGAAGAGGTGACACCGTTCAGAAAGAAATGCACTTAATACCTTACTTATGTAACTGTAACCCTTCTTTATATCACCTTTACAATAAAAATTCTAAAGAAGAGTAGCCAGTTTTTGAACAATCATTCATTGTTCAAGGAAACCAACACCACATAGCTGAAGTAGAACACATCCTGTACCTAAAAAAACCCAACTCACCCACTAGCCCTGTGAATACCTTTATTACTTTTTTTACCATCTCTAAACCTCATTTTCTTCTAAAACTGGAAGACTATATTCATTGTCTCCTTGCTGTAAATATTGAACAATTTGTGCAAAGAATTCACTCAGCTGTGGATCTAATAAAAGGTAGCAATTATTATTTACCTAGCTTCTATTAATAAAGCTATTTGGCTTAAACATCAAAAATCTGGTGGGTTTTTCTTATCTCTGATGAAATAATTCACAGAAAGTAAGTTTTTGATCTTTAGAATGTAGAATAAAACAAAGACCTCTCATATATTTGTGTGATCAGACTTTAAAATTTTGGTGTTGAATAAAGGAGGTTTCAGGACTTAGAAGTTGACAAGAGACTGAGATCTGAGGATTGTGATTTGAACCCAGCCTGGGCAGAAAAGTCCCTGTGAGACTCTTATCTCCAATTAACCACTCAAAAACTGGAATTGGCGCTGTGGCACAAGTGGTAGAACGCAAGCCTTGAACACAAAGAAGCTCAGGGACAGCACCCAGGCCTTGAGTTCAAGCCCTACAACTGACCAAAAAAATAAAGAAGTTGACAAGAAACAGAAACCCTCCGAGTCAAATGTTTCATATAAATTCAAAGAAAACTTGTATTTTTAAAAAGATAAAATATTTAATAAAATTGTATGAATAAACAGAGAATAACATGGATTTCACCAACTTCAGTAAACAAAGAATAGTACTAATTTCCCTTCATATCCTGTAATATAATTTTCATTCATCCTTTCAAAATTAGTTTAAAAGTTCTTTTTATTTTGTGGCACTTGGTATTGAACCCTGTACCTCACATTTGCCAGATAAGCACTCTGCTACTTGAGTCATTTGAGATGGAAGTCTTACTAATTTTGTCTAAGCTTGCCTTGAATGTGGATTCTCTTTTTTGGGGGGGTCCGTTGTGGGGCCTGAGCTCTGGGCCTGGGCGCTGTCCCTCAGTTCTTCAGCTCAAGGCCAGCGCTCTACCACTTGAGGAATGTGGATTCTCTTATCTCTGCTTCTCAAGTTGAAGAGGCATTTCTGAGGATCACAAGTTTAAGGGCAGCCTGGACAACACAGTGAGCTCCTGTCACACTCATACTCACATTCACACACTCACATTCACACAGAGAGTTTAAAAAGCTTGGTAGGTGATGCATATATGTAAACCTAGCACTGCGGGATGCTAGAAGGTCTTAAGTTCAAGGGTGGCCTGGCTTATATATTATATATCAAGTATAATTCTAGCCTTTGCTATATAATGAGACCCTATCTGAAGTTAGTAGGCAGATAACTGTAACAGGAACATAAAAAAAGTCACTCATATATATACTCATTGCTCCAATTAGATATAACCAGACTCTTTCAAAGATTTTTTTCAGGCTAGGGATAGATATATCCCTAGCTCAGTGGTAGACTGATATTTACTATACATGATGTCTTCAGTTTGCTCTGCAGAAATAACTTTCTGTCATATTTATATACATACATAGTTTATAAATAGTTTAAATAACCCTCTGAAATCATAGACAGATGGACTCAGAACAACTTTTTAAAATTTAGGCAGTACTTAGTGGATTTTGTTCTCAGTTTTAAAAAAATGGGAAAACTCACATAGGAGGCTCAGAATTCTTTGCCTAGACCTTATATTCTTAAGCTGTAAAGTACATTGAATAGAGGTATTCCTATATTAATCTTAATCATAAAGGAACCCAACACAAATTACTTATTGCTAAGATTGCTAAAGAGTTAAAGAGAGTGTATGACTAAAGATAATCAAGTTTAGTACAAGTGATTATATGAAGATAGGAAAGGTCATTTAAACTCTCTCCACACTATTCCTTTTAGCATTTATAAAAGCAAATATTTATAAAAGCAAAGATATTTTAAATGAAATATTCATATTGTTAATAATTTATATTGTATTTCATTAAATCCTATCTTCCTGTCACATATTGATAGTCATTAGCATATAGTTTAGAATCCAAGGTAAGATATCTGACCCAGTTTATAAGACTAATTTATGTGTACTTTATATTAATAATCTTCAGCAGCTTTCTGAAAATGTGTCCATTCTGACATATTTACACTGTTCTCTGTTTCAACTAAACAGAAGAACTTGATCACTGTTGTTATCAATGATTAACAACAAATAGATTAAGTTTTATAGCCAATAACAAAACTTACTGAAAATTTGAAAATAGTTCTGGACACTATCAATAACATCATAAGCAAGTTGATCAAATGACAAAAGAACACAAAAATTAATTTAAGAAATTAAAATAATGTTTCACAAAAACATAAAACTTTAAAACTGAAAAGACTTACTTTCTAAGTAAAATTGATCAGCTGAGTAAATTCTAAACAGAGTTTTCAAAATTTGATCATGATTCCACATATAAAAATTAGTAACCGAAATAAAATGTTGACTTGGAGGTTTCATATATCAGATATTATCTTTTAAAATGTTTAAAAGCTTTCTCCCTTACTCATTTTCTCAAAAGATTTCTAAACTTAATATATTTTTGCATTGCTTCCATCTCCATGAAATGTTTTAAATCCTGTTTAAATGGTTTCTAGTTTATGTGTCAATTTTACTATGTGCTGAAAAATTAACCAGCAATGCCACCAAATGATTTAAAAAAAAACCTTTCACCATCGCACACTGAGATTGGGTCTAGTGCACTTTTCTGTGTGTGCTGCCCTTCCTCATCTCCGCCTACCAAACAGTTAAGATTAGAGGTTTGAGCCACCATGCCCAGCCCAGTTTATCCACTTTTGAGGCACACACAATGTACTACGTCATTTCTATATGTTGATTAAGTAGTAAGGATTGTATATATGTTAGAAAAATATTACAGTGTACTGTATATTTTGAATACCAAATCATTTCACATGTTTTCTACAGTTTAAAGATCTAATTTGTAATATTATCAAATTTGTAAATATCTCAAAACCCTCTCTTTGAAGAACCAAACAGGTTGAAAAATCCCAATCCCAAAGCCAAATTCCAAATGCTTCAAATTCAAAAAGTTGTTTTTGTGCTGGTCCTGGGACTTGAACTCAAGGCCTACATGCTGTCCCTGAGCTTTTGTGCTCAAGGCTTGTGCTCTACCACTTAAGTCACATCTCCATTTGCACATTTTGCTGGTTAATTAAAAAGTCTTATGGACTTTCCTGCCTACACTGGCTTCTAACTGCAATTTTCAGGTTGCAGCCTCCTGAGTAGGTAGGATTACAGGTGTGAGCCACAGGTGCTCAGCTAGACATTCAAAACTTTTTGAGCACCGAAATGACACTACAAATAGAAAATTCCAAACCTGACCTCACATGATGGGTTGCAGTATAAAACTGCAATTAGGTATATATACAAGTTATATATAGCACATAAATTTTGTGTTCAGACATGGTATCTCATTTCATGTATGCAAACATTCCAAAATCCAGAAGAATCTGAAATATTTCAGGACATATGTATTTCAGATAAAAAATTCAAATGTATTCTTACTTTGTATGTGAAAAAATTTCCTGAATTACTATTTATAAAAATGTCTTAGAATAAGAACAGTCTAAGCCAGGCATTGGTAGGTCATACCTGTAATCCTAGTGACTCAGGAGGTTGAGATTTGAGGATCACAATTCTAAGCCAGTCCTGGAAGGAAAGTCCATGAGATTCTTATCTCCAATTAACCACCAAAAAAACCTGGAAGTAGGGCTGTGACTCAAACAGTAGAGCACTAGCTTTGAGCTTTTTGAAAAAGCTCAGGGCCAGCACCTAAGCACTGAGTTCAAACCCAGAACCAGAAAAAAAAAAAAAAGAAGAAAAATAAAAGGAAAACATTCTAAGTAGACAGAAGTGAGAACTGCATGTACTCTGAAGGAAGACTGATAGACAAAGAGAAATAGAAATAAACTACAGAAGAGGCAGAGGAATTAAAAAGGAACTCATAAAAAAAATAAAATAAAAAAAATAAAAAGGAACTCATCATATTCAAAATACTATTCCTGACTTAACCAAGATGAAATTTCCCTATTGTATTTTTCCCTGAATTTTTAAAAAATATATTGCTCTCCATTTATTTACTTATCTTTTGGTGCTAGTCCTAGGGCTTGAACTCTGAGCCTGGGTCCTGTCCCTGAGCTTTTGTGGTCAAGGCTAATGTTCTATCACTTGAACCTCAGCTTCACTTCTGGCTTCTTATTGGTTCGTTCCCTGGCTGGCCTGGAACTACAATCCTCAGATCTGAGCCACCTGTGCAACTAGGACAGGTGTAAGCCATTAGCAATTGGCTGTTCTTTTAAAAACTTCCTTACATGTTCCGCTTACAATATAAGTATATATGCTGGCTGAGAAACAACACTATATAATTTGTAATAAAAGACCTTTGATCATACACTATTCTCTACATTTAAATCTCATTCAATACCATAATTTTCATCATTACATGAGTCAGAGTGAAAATTATGTAAAATACAAAGAATAAAAATAATTATCGTAGTGATTTTTACCCTTTGTTAGATCAAATATACTTCTGAACAGCATATTTCAAATCAAATATCTTTCAATGAAAGGTATGAGAAATTGAACTATATAATTCATGTTATAAAAACTGTTAATTAAAATTTGATATGACACTTATTCCTTACTAGTTAATCTCATATAATGCTGTTAATAATGCATTTTTATCCAAAGGAAAACAAAATATTATTTCCATTATTATCTAATGTCCTAAAGTTCTGGTCAATGTGATAAAGAATAAAACTGTAATAAAAGATACATATTACAGATACAAGGAAAAACTGCAAAAGAATAAAGACTTTGACACTGGGCAGAATATCAGTTCTTGTTAAATTAATTTATAAGTTTAAGGCAAAATGAAAGACCTGGTTAAAATTAAAACAAATTCTAAAATCTGAAGTCTATTCAGTCTAGACTGATTAACAGCAGAGGAGAAAGCCCACAGAAAAATATGGCTTGATGCACATATTTGTATATCCATTTTTCTAGTATGTATAAGAATTTAATACCCCTTAAGGATAGCATTAACAATGAGTGGCAGAAGGAAGATATAGTTTGCTGCATGATACTGAGACTTTGGCTATTTGGCAATATGCAAATAAAGAATTAAAAAAGAAGTTCTTAAATCAAACCTCAAATAACTTCCTACATATTATCGCTCAATGAGAATGTGCAAACAAGTACACACAAAAAAGATGAGAAAAAATAGAAAAGAAAACTATGCTTGGTTGTGGTGGTAAGGATGTAGAGTACATGCCTAGCAACAGTGAGGCCATGAGGCCCTGAGTTCAAATTCCTGTACCATCTATCTCTCTATATAAATGCTGATTCCCTTAGTAAGAAATAGAATACCATTAGCAGGATTACGAATATGAGATATATCTTACATGCTCTTCCCACATCTTCTTTTCTCTCTCGTATGCTTCCTTTCTCTTACGTTCTAGCTGTTCTTTCAGTACAGCTGCTCGTGCATTTGTTTGGGCCTAAAAATAAAAACAGCCAATAATATCAGTTATTAGAGAGAGGCCATATGGTTTCTTTTCTCTATTAGGTCTCTAAAAGAACTGACTTTTTAGCCAATCAATAAGTATATATCTGGTCCAAAATAAAGTTGATGACTTTACTTTGTTGTTGTTTTTGTTTTGTTTTTTGTTTTTTTTTTTGCCAGTCCTGGGGCCCTAACTCTGGGCCTGGGCACTGTCCCTCAGCTTTTCAGCACTAGGTTAGAGCTCTACCAGTTGAACGACAGAACCACTTCAGCTTTTTCTGCTTATGTGGTGCTGAGGAATTGAACCCAGGGCCTCATGCATGCAAGGCAAGCACTCTACCACTGAGCCACCTTCCCAGACCTGTTTTTGTTTTTTGTCTTTTTTTCACCCCTATACTGATGTGTGAATTCAGGGCTTCATGTTTTCTAGGCAAGTGTTTTACCACTTTAACCATATCCCAGCACAGAATAAAAATTAAGCTTGCTCTAAAGCCCTCCTACCTTCAGTCAGTTTTCCAAATGAAGATAAATGTAGACACATTATACTGGAAAGTAAAATAGCCAGTAACATTCATTTTAAATGTTACTCATTTGTTTTGTAGGATTAAATATATTATGTATTCAGGTCTTGATTTCACCTAATTGTTCTTAATAAGTATGGCATAAAGAGAGAAAACTTTTTCACGAATCAAAAAGTGAAAAGGAAAAAAATTTAAAAAAGTGAATAGGCCAGGTGCTAGTGGCTCACGCCTGTAATCTTAGCTACTCAGAAGGCTGAGATCATGAGGATCATGGTTCCAAGCCAGCCTGGGCAATAAATTCCAATAAACTACTTAGAAAAAAGTCAGAAGTGGTGCTGTGGCTCAAGTGGTAGAGCCCTAGCCTCAACCACAAAGAGGATCAGGGACAGTGCACAGGCCCTGAATTCAAGCCCCAGGACTGGCCAAAAAAAAAAAAAAAAAAAAAAAGGACAAGAAGAGAACTATCCAATTACACAAAACTTCAAACACAATTTCAGCTTTTAATTTACTTGAAGAAACTAGTACTTTTAGCCCATACCTTAAATGATTCAATCTTTTTGTGTCTCCAGTCAGCCTCATTACTTCCTTCTTGTCCTTTGATACTGTCAGATTCTTTCTATAAAATAAGTACATAAACATACAAATTCGGGTGGGGGGGGGAAAGTGTTACATTTTAAGTGCAGTGTTCTGTAAAAGATAATCTGAATAAACTAGTATCTAAAAACATGAAATAGAATATTGCGTAATACACAGGAGGCTGAGATCTGAAGATCACAGCTCAAAGCCAGCCTGGGCAGGAAAGTCCATGAGACTCTTATCTCCAGTTAACCACCAGAAAACCAGAAGTGGCACTGTGGCTCAAGTGGTAGAGTGCTCGCCTTCAGTTGAAGAGCTCAGGGACAGCACCCAGGCCCAGAGTTCAAGCGCCACTATCGACAAAAAAAAGAATATCACTCAATACTATTAGTACCTCCCAAAGCTATAACTAAACTCTCAACAACCATCCACTCTGTAGACAATGGATTGAAACTATACAGTGATATAAAACACAGTTTAATCCTTTCATAGCCATTAGTTATATTTTCTTAGTTCCTCTGTAACAATGATCTTATCAAATTTCAATAATGTAAGTTAGATTTATTTTATCTTCTTGTGTAGTTTATTGGTCTTGACTTTCACTATTTTAACAGTTTTTACTATTTTGTTATTGGTATAATAGTTTTAATGTTTATTATATCAGTCAATTACTTTGTAAACAATTGCTTTTTAAATAATTTTTAATTGAGATTAAGTGATTATGTAACTTTCACAAATTTCACAGTATTGTGGGATAGTGATACTTAAAGTCACAAACACATTTTAACCTTCACAAGGCACATTGTCATTATCATGGTCTATAAAGTTTGTGAATTCTATGAGCTTTGACAAATACAACTATTTCTTCCAAATTGGGTGATATGTACATTCTTTTCTTTTGCTTAATGTAAGCTGTTCCCTCTTTCCCTCTTGTTCCCTCCCTCCCATTGCTGCTTTTGAGTTGCTTAGTTCATTTTCATCAATGTCCAGTGCAGCTGATGGGACCCTCTGTTGTATTTTTTTACCCTGTTTCCCTCTGATTCTGTGCCCTCCTCCTAGCTTCCCTCAGATGTGCATACATATATATATGTTTACCAGGACTCAAGAAAAAAGGACCTCTACTTATTTTGTCATATCATTTCTAGATCACTCCATGTTCTTGATTTCATATATGAGTCCTGGTAAACAATTGTTTTTCAACCCACCTTTTCCCCACGAAGTTTGGCTTTAATCTGAAGGCGCTCATTGAAATTCTGCAGTCGTATTTGCCTCAGCCTTGCCAGATAAATCTACAAAGAGGAAAAAAGACCTAACATTCATATAAAAACAAAAACAAAAACCCTACAAACAGTTTTACTGTAAAAAAAAACTTTTAAGGAAAAGTTAATCTGAATGAGAAATAAAAAAAATTTAAATTGGTTAATGGAAATGGGATATTAGCTTTCAAGTGTTTAAAGCAACTTATTTCTGAAAAGAAAATGTTATAATTATAAATTTTTATCAAAAGAAAAGAAATTAGAGCTTAGAAGACTTGAGGAACAGTTATGGGGCAAAATTATGACACATCAGTCACTATATTTAACAGGTCCCTGTAGACCCACAAAATATTCAAATAATTGTTAAGCATATAAACCATGCAAGAAAAGAAGGCAATAAACTCAAAAATGGCAGCACGGTGGAGGTATGGAGCATGCGGGAAGCATACCTCTTCCTCTTTGTTTCTTGGCTTCCCTCCTCTTGAAGAGCTGGACCTGCCTCCATACATAGCTGCCAGGTTTTGCAGGATTCCCTGTTTATCATTTAATGTACTAAGTTTAAAGAATGACGAAGGCTACCATGTCATCTTCCCCAGGGGTATCCGTGTGCCATTTTATTTCTTTTGGCAAATTCTGATGATTTCTAGTTGATAAACTATGATGATAAACCCCAGAATTTGCTACTTTAGCTGTATGTCTATTTGTGTATGTGGTGCTGGGGAACTGAACCCAGTGTCTCACATAAGCAAGTACTCTATCACTGAGTTACTTCCATAGCTTCTTCCTGTATTAATTTAGCAAATGTATTCAGTGAGAACAGAAGAAGAAATTATTCAGACAAAGAGAGCAGTTTTGTTTTTACTAGTCATTATGTAAAGAGGATTTAACAACTGCTTTAGAGGTGAAACTACAATTCAATTCGTTTGTCCCTATAAAAGGGCCAATCCATTTCTATACATGCCTGTTTACATAGCACATACACACAAATACCTGAGTTCACTGCTTCTGAATCCAGCAAATTATTTCATTATAAGCTCTAAATCAAGCTATATGCTAAAGAATGTCCTGGTGCAAATGATCATCTAATACAGAAACAAATTCACTTTTGAATGTAATTTATCACTAATACAAATTGCCAAATTAGATATAATAAACTTTAATAAAACTATGGTTGTCAAAACTATCTCTTCCTATACAAGCATGTTTCTAGTTCCTCTCAACTTAGAAAAAAAATTCTATTTTATTAATATCTCTTACCAGCTTGTTGAAGGTTACATTTTACACCATCATTGCCATTTTCCTGATTGCCATTAATTTTTAACATCTTATGATTTAGTTTCTTTTTTTCTTCTTTTTTTTTGGGGGGGGGGGTCCGGTCGTGGGGCCTGAACTCTGGGCCTGGTCGCTGTCCCTCAGCTCTTCAGCTCAAGGCTAGCACTCTACCACTTGAGCCACAGCGCCACTTCTGGCTTTTTTTCTTTTTTGCTTATGTGGTGCTGAGGAATCGAACCCAGGGCCTCAGGCATGCAAGGCAAGCACTCTACCACTGAGCCATCCTCTCAGCCCTATGGTTTAGTTTCTGATTCATTATACTTCTGAAAATTTTCTGAGGTAACCCACAGCCTCAAAAATGATTCAAATGCAGGTCTGTGGGGTCATGGATGAAGTGGTAGAGCACTTTGGCAGAAAGTGCAAGCCTCTGAGCTCAATTGGAGCCTTTTGTACCTCTTTCCACTTTTTTTTTTGTAACTAACATTAATAAAGAAAACTAGTTCTGGCTGAATTTGCTCTCTCTCTCTCTCTCTCTCTCTCTCTATGTATACACACACACATACACATAGATATGTGTTAATATACTATGTGTAAATCTATATTCACTGTATAAAATCTAAAAAACAAAACAGCAATCATTTATAGTCTTAACATTTGAAAAAGTTAAAACTTAAGCATGTCACTTTCCAAATGTACTTCTATTTTTATATATGGATACATACATGCTTATTTTTACTGAAAGTGAAAGTTTACAATTATCTTGATTTTTTTCAATTGATATCTTGAGTCTCTTCTCATGTTCATTAATATAGTTTAAGATAGAATAGGAGGAAGGGAGAAGATGTACCTCTTTGATAGAGTACTGCCTAAAATAAACAAGACTCTGAATCTGATTCCCAGCACAGAAGATAAATAAATGATGAATGGATATATGTAGAAGAATGTAAAACTAGGAAGTAATACATGTTAGGAAACTCTTGCAAATCCAGAAGTTAAAAAAAAAAACCCAAGATACAGTAGAAATTTAAAGGGATAAAGCATCAATCAGAGTTATTAGGAGATGGAACTGGTAAGTTGATAGTCACTTGTAGAAGTAGGTAAGAGACAGGCAAAGATAACTCCCAACTTGATGACTTAGGTGGCTGATTATGCTATGATTAATTCCTGAGCTAGGAATACAATTTAGAAACTGCTTGAGATAGCTTTGGTGCTTAAAAGTAGAGTTATTATATATATATATATATAAGTACAAAGTCTCAGTAAAAGATAAAAGAACTCTAAGGCTGGGGTTTGGGGTTGTAGTTCCTTCTGCCTCAGCCTCTGGAGCAGCTAAGTATGAGGTTAGCTTCACCTCTGCCCCATCATAAAATTGTCTGAGACTTTAAAGATATATATATATATATATATATATATATATGTATATATATGTATATATAAGTTGTCTGCAGAGTTACAACAACATGGATAGTGGTGAACTAAGTATTGTTATAGACTACTAGTCTTCCTTTCATTGTATGTAAAAACACAAGAATTGCAGTTATTCTGAAGTTTAAAATAACTTTTTAGTTTAAAATATTCTATATTCACAGAAAGGCAAAAAGACATGTACAGGTAGCTTCCATGCACCCTTCACTCAGCCTTTTTCCGTTTTATCATTTTAGTCTAACTATAGTACACTGTCAAAACCTGGAAACGGACAGTGGAACATGGAGGTTTCACTAGCTATACATGCATACATTTGTGTCTGTATACACTTATCTACTCAATTTTATTAGATGTAGTTTTAGATAACCTCATCATAACCAAGACATTTAATTCTATCTTCACCATAACATTTTTTAGCTTTTTTCTTTGCTATTTTTATTAGCATACATCAATAGCCCTTAATGTTCTACGCCACATTCAAACATATATCTGATCTCCATCTCCATATTCCATGGACTATATATATGTATACATATACAGCAGAGCCAGCATTCCTGGCTCTCCAGCTCCCGCATGGGAACTTTTCAGCTGCTGTGACTTTGGCAGTCAATCTAATAAATTTTCTCTTATATAAATAAGTATTCTATTGGTATTGTTTCTCTGGAGAACTCTAATATACCAGTGTGCATATTCTTGTCCAACATTAAATGATAAATTACTCTCTATAAACTACTTGATTAAGCTTTAAATCTCAAAATGCTTAAAATTTGCCTTGTTAAATTAGTGAATCAGCAAAACAATCTCTGATGCATACATCTAAATATATTGAAAAACGCATAGTCAATTTAAGGAAAGGTTTTATGTATATACTTTTAGTCAACAAGGGAATAAAGAAATTCAATATCGTTTTGCAGAATTAATCTTGGAAAACTCAAAGGCATTGTTGAAATGAAAACACAATAGTGAAATAGAATACATCCATTTCTGTAGCATCTGGAGGAATGTGTGAGCACAGTTCATTTTCAGAGAGACAGAGAAGACTGCAATTACTTGTCAGTCAGGAAAACACATGGGTGCCCTCCATTTTGTACTCAGCATCTAGCCCAAGGCACTGTGTGTGCTGCTGGTGATCAAACCAAAGATCTTATACATGTGAGGAAAACATTCTACCATGAAGTAACATTCCAGCCTGAAACATCAATTTCTGAGAGCAAGATAATAGAGTAAATGGTACAACACCCTTCTTCAAGTCTTAGAATAAAAAGGTTGTTCTTTTTTTGTTGTTGTTCAGTACTGGAGATCAAAAAAAGTTGCTCTTTTAAATGGATACATATTACCACTCAAAGGCAAGAACAACTCCTTGTATTCCTAGAACTAAAGGGAATTCAGGGACAAGGAAAGTGCACAGCATCAGTTTAAAATGTTTAAAACATCACAAGGAAAAGCATGTCAGAGACATTACCAGCATAAGATATCTGAGTGACAAGAAGCATGTGGTAGAAGCCAAGACCATGAGGTCAAATGCAGACAACAGTGGCTATGGTAAAGGGTTGCTTCCAGGACAGTATCCATCTCCACAAGCCAGGATGAAGCACCAGTTAGCGTGAGATAGATGTTGTGATAGAGATTAGAGTACTCTAATGCTCTAGATGCTCAGTAAAATGTAGGATAAATTAGTCTTTTGAGCCCAGAAAACCAGCTGTTGAAGTATTCCTACTGGTAAAATTTTCTACTCTTATTGAAAACGAGGCAAAAGACAGGTTACAGCCGAAATACATGTCCGTGTTCCCAGGAGGCCAAAGACAATGAACTATAAAACCAACAAATGAAACATGAACATACCATGAAGCCCAAGGAACACCTGCAATCACCAAAAACTGAGGAAACACAGACAACAGTACACCAAGAATGAGACTGTAACTATAGCACCAAGGGATCTGAAAACACAGAACCAAGTTTTTTGGTGGAAATAAATTTTGGAATTCACAAATGTAAAATATAACTTTTTGAAACAAAAAGAAATTTTCAGATAGACTGTATAGCTAAGTAAACAAAAGGGGGAAAATCGAATAGTGCTCTGGAATATCAAGCCTCTGAATCCTTTTGAAACAGAGTAAGAGGAAAGAAAAGGGTAAAAGAATACCAGGAAGTGGAAAATGTTTGTTCAGGGCAAATGAATGGAGTAGGAAGGGTGAGCAATGTACCTTATGTAAAAATTGAACTACACACTTGAGAGTAGGGATGGGCTGACTTATGGAATTGTAACCTCTTTGCACAACAACTTAATAGTAAAAATTTTAAATGCTGATCAAGTTCAACAACAGACCACCACTACAAATTATCATTCAAGTGTGAGGACAAAGTGAAGGTATAGTCTACAAATCTTAGAAAGTGTCTTTTCAAAAGAATTACTAGAACAAATGCAGTCACTATAGTCAATGTACATTATGTAAAAATTGAACTACATACCTTGAGGGTAGGGAAAGGAGGGGGAAAATGAAGGAGAATGATGGAAGACATTAGTCATGAAGCACTATACACATAACCTAACTTAAACAACTGTAACCTCTTTGTACAACTACATAATAATAGAGTAAAAAAACCAATTACTAGAGGGTATTCTCTGCCATGAAACAAGATTAATAGAGATAGAATAGTAGGATTTATAAGGAACAATGTTGATTAAGAAATGATTAAATCTTGATAGGTCTAATAATTACTTTAACATAGTTAAAATAAAATCTGTTAACAAGAGCCCAGCATGGTGATTCACACCTGTAATCTTAGCATTTAAGATGATGAGGTCAGACAGGATCCTGAGATCAAGGTCAGTTCAAGACTAACTTGAGGTACCCATCAAGAATCTGCATAAAAAATTCTGTAGTAAAAATTTTACATGCTATTACTAGGAAGATATGAAAAAAGAAAAGGCAAGAGAGTCTCTTCTGCTATTTAGAAGGGCATACAGAAATTCCAGATGTTAGGAAAACAATTGAAGTTTATGTTAAAAATTTAAAGGTCAACCATTAAATATGTCATAGATATGACATAATTAAAAAAAAATCTTATAGCCAGGTGCTAGTGGCTCATGCCTGTAATACTAGCTATTCAGGAGGCTGAGGATTTCAGATTGAAGCCTGCCTGGCCAGGAAAGTTCATGAGACTCTTATCTCCAATTAACCACCTGAAAACCAGAAGTAAAGCTATGGCTCAAAGTAGTAGAGTACCAGCCTTGAGCAAAAAAGCTCAGGGACAGTACCCAGGCCCTGTGTTCAAGCCTCATGACCAAGAAAAAAACATCTTATATACTGAACAACTATATTAATAAACTCACAAAGTTACAACTTGTGAAATTACACATAAATAACTAATAATGTCTAGTAAATATATATTTCCTCTAATTGACAAAAATATCTGATATAAGCAGGATGTGGTGCTAAGCTGACAAAAATAATCTTCAATTGTTTTGTGAACAAAAAAATCTAAAGACATTTGGGCATTTCTACTAGTAAAAAAAATAGTAAGTTTTAAGTATTGAAATTATTACCTAAAAACTTATTGTTTTGATATATGACTTAATTTTGGTAACTGGAATAACTAGAGCACTTAAAATAATTTTTCTGTTAGCATGCTTTTGAGCAAATATAGAATTACCCATTTCTACCCTGGTATTTTCCATTTTTCTTCCTATCTTTGCTCCTTGTAAATATTAGACACCATGGAGGAGAACAATGGAAGGAATGGCACTGATCAAGATGTATCGTACTCATAAACTCATTTAGTGAGTTGACACTTCGTACTACTACCTAATGATAATCATTTTAAAAAACATTAAAAACCAAAGTTTAGCAGTTTTAGAACTTGTTTTTCTAATTATTAATAAGTGGATTGCCACACCTATTTCACTGTTCAACAACACACTTTCACCTTTGGTGTAAAAGATAAAGACAACTTAGTAAGATATATCAGAACTATGTATTTTGAAAAGTCCTTTTAATTATCTTTATTACACATAAATTGCTAGATTATAATTTTTATATATACTTACATTACTGTAGTCATTAGAATATTAATATGTTCAAAATATTTTTTTAAAAGACAGTCATACCATATGGCCTTCAGCTCGTGCTTTATTCTGCATAGCTTCTCGTTTTCGCTGTAAGAACTCTTCCACTTGTTTAGCTCTTTCTGCATCAAGGTGCCCCCTTTGCCTATTTTGGATAAATCACAAAGTCAGCAACTTTGAGTTTTAAATATTTCCTATGGTTTAAGATTAAAGTTTAAACACATTTTTCCCCATTGCAGAACATGAAGGAAGGCAATATAAAATAAAAGCTTTCGTGTCCATATGTATTGGTATTTATTACCTCAGCCCATTCCTTGCTATTTTAAGAAGTCTATAATATTCCTCCAAATCTTTTTTTTTTTTTTGGGTCCGGTTGTGGGGCCTGAACTTTGGGCCTTTGCGCTGTCCCTCAGCTCTTCAGCTCAAGGCTAGCGCTTTACCACTTGAGCCACAGCGCCACTTTCAGTTTGTTTTTTTTCTGCTTATGTGGTGCTGAGGAATGGAACCCAGGGCCTCATGCATGCAAGGCAAGCGCTCTACCACTGAGCCACCTTCCCAGCCCCTTACTCCAAATCTTGACAAGGTTTCTTTTGTATTCATTTGATCTATTGTACCTATAAGGATAAATTATTATTTTAGACTATACTTATAGAAGAATTTTAATAGTTTCTAGGTCTACTTCAGAATTCTATTACATATAATAAGAATTTTCTTTAATCATATTAAAGTCATATGAAAACATTAGAGAAGCAACTTAAAAAAAAAAGAATGACAAGTATACTTAATCATGAGTTTTCAAAACTATAACTAAAAGCTATATCTGAGATTCTCTAAATATCACAAGTATTAAAAAGTAAAATTGAAAATTGGGAAGGGAGGACATTGTCCAAAAAGAAATTTACTCATTACCTGACTTATATAACTGTAACTCCATTGTATATAACCTTTATAATAACAATATACAAAAGTAAAATTGATTTAATCTTCTCTAACTTTTCTGTCTGATGATTTTTTTTTGAAGTACTGGAGTATGCACTTGGAGCGTCATACTTGTTAGAGAGGTGCTCTGTAACTAAGCCACACCTCCAACACTCTCTGACAATTATGAAAGAACATAAACATACTGAGTTTAAACTATAAATAAGTAGTATCAATGACAATATTTACTGATCGTCTACAATATGTTGTGTCAGTTACCACAGTTACCATGCTCTACATATGAAAGATCAAAATAAGCCCAGCAACAGTAATTAAAGAATTCCTAGTACAACATCAACTGTGGCTAATTTTGGAAGTGTGGAAAGATAAGCAAGTTATTGGCTGTGCTTTATATAAACTATTTAGGATCACAGCTAAGTTATTTTCTAAAAAAATACCCCATATAATGCTGCTTTTATCTAAGTAATAATATTTTTACACTTTTGGCAACAGCTACTAACGCATAAAAGTATTTTAAATATGAAGCTGAGCAGCAGAAACTTAAAACCTACCAGATCATATACCTATTGTCTAGGATTCATTTACTATGTGATATTTAAAAGAGATTCTTGTGAATCTGAATCATAAGAATGTTCTTTTTCTTTTTTTCTTTTTGTCCAAGCCCAGGTCTCAAACTTGGTATCTGACACTTTCATTTGTTGGCTGGCACTCTACTACTTGGGCCACACCTCCAATCCCAATCACAGGAATTTTCTATAATTAGATAACAACTATTACTATAACTCTCAAATAAATCTGGTTAATCTCAATTCAGTTCCATATCATGTTTCTAAAATTCAGAAATGCACATTTTCAAAGTGTTTTAGCTTTAGGTTGATTGATAATAATGAGAATTTATTCACGCCCCATGAAATGCTCTAGATTCGTATTATGTACTGTACAACTCTTGAGGTTAATAAACCATACCTGGTCTGAATGCAACATATCTCTGGTTATATTCAGGTAAGGCTGTATCCTGTTCTTCTACAGCCCAATTTAATGTATATAAACCTGGGCCTGAAGCAAGCAGATAAACTACCAAGTGTCAACTGAACTGTTATGAGTACTGATTATGTTTTTATGGTGGTCCTATTGGTATTATGTACCAAGTAGATAAAACAGCTAGGTATTCTATATATACTGAGTTCCTTCTTTAACAATTATATAAGTAAAATATGTTAATTTCCCATCTGAAGCCATTGTCTGAGTACAGCATTTATCAGCCTGAATCACAACCTGGCATGTGTTAATAAAGCAACCGTACAAAATTATTTTACTAAGTATCTGGTCATATGTATAATGGCGCTGATTTCCAGCTTTCCAAAACATTTATATAGAATAATGCTACCTGCTTCATGTATTTGAATGATTTACAAATGTTGTGTAATTAAACGATCATTTTCTAAACTAGTTTAAGTAAGCAGGTTTCCATTACTGGTTACTTTCAAACACAACCTAAAATGTGTGATGATACTTTTAACTCTTATTTTTTTCTTCTCATTTATTGTCAATTATTTGCCCCATTATACTAGTCTATGAACATATAAAGATGAATAAAACTAAGTTCTACAAAGGAAGTTTGTTTCAACATCTGAAAAATCAAGTTTAACTGATTCTGTGATACTAAACTTTCCACTTTACTGTTTACTTCATATACACTAAAACTTCATAGCTCATTACTTTTGCATTATAATTCACTTTTCTTTTTACTTTTATTTTGTACAATGTCACCACTTTTCTTGCTTATAGGTCATTATTCTCATCTTTTGAAGTAGTAAGACTATTAGTTGTATATACCAAGTACATATTTAAGCTAGTCTCATGAAATGAAAAGGAAATAGTTTATTTCTTACTAGTTATTCTATTCAATACTATTAAGAATTCATATGCAATTTGAATTTTCTAAAAATTAGAGGATGTCATCTCAATTCCCAAGCTATTTAACTGCTACAACACTTAACTATTATTACCATTCAATATCATCAAAATATTCCTTTGGATTACTAAGAACAACAATATAAGCATTATATAAAACACACACATGTAATAAGACAGTAATTTGGATAGTAAAATAGAAAGACATTAAAATGCATTAAAGGTGTTATATGACAGGAAAAGGTTATCAAACAATGATACCAACAGAACTACAGTGTTCTTTTGAAGCATGAAGAAATAGCAAGAATAGGGTGGGAAATCATACCTTAAATTCATGGTTCAAAGTTTTTTTTCCAAATTTTTTATTGTGATTAAGTGGTTATATAATTTCCCAAATTTCACAGTATTGTGGGATAGTGACGCTTAGTTAAAGTCACAAACACATTCTATCTTTCCTGGAGCAGATTGTCTATCATGGTCTGTAACATTTATGAGTTCTATGAGCTTTGCAATACAGTTATTTCTTCCACATTGGGTGATGTGTACATTTCTTTTGTTTTGCATAGCATCAGCTGTTCCCTCTTTCCCACTTGTTCCCTCCCTCCCATCGCTGCCATTGAGTTGCTTAGTTCATTTTGGCCAATGTCCAGTGCAGCTGAAGGGTCTTGCTGGTATATGTTTTTCCCTGATTCCCTCTAGTTCTGTGTCGTCCTACTGGTTTCCCTCCAGTGTGCACATATATACCATACATGTGATCAGCAGCATGGGGTTATTTAGTAGTGATTTGACCAGATGAGTGGAAATCCTTTGTTTCTTAAGTCCTGTTAATTTTGTCGTATCACCTAACATTTTGGATTTAACATCCACTTATCAGGAAGACCATGTGCCGTTTGTCTCTTTGCACTTGGCTTACCTCGCTCAACATGATTTCTTCTAGTTCCTCCATTTCCCTGCAAATGCCATTATTTTGTCATTTCTAATGGCTGCATAATATTCCATTTACACTGTGATTCTTAAGAAAGCTGAGGATTGGGTGGTTGAAAAGCAAAAGTAAATGTCTGAAAGTATCAGCTGACCTAAGCTAACAGTCATAAGAGGTAACAGGAGAGACTAAAGCCAGAAATAAGGAAAAAATGTATCTCAGAAATGTAGAAGGAAAAAATTTATCTACTGATATGCCAGAGGCAGAGTGATTGGCAAATTGTTTTACTATTTATGAAATTAAACAAGGTTATGCAATGGACAGGGGTATGGTAATGGAATATTACATTAAAAATCTGATATATTGTGCTGAAGTGTGGCCCCGTGGTAGAGCACTGACCTACTCTATGCACAGGGCCCTGGGTTCTGTACTCAGGCACACATAAACATATTTCTATTTAATAATGGACACCATACCCAAGTCTCATAATGAAATCTGTTTATTGGAAACAAAATTTCATGCTAACCTAAATATTGGCATTTCCTAGAGTATGTAAGGTTTACTTAAATTATTTCAGACTGGGCAGGGAGGGAAAGGAGGAGTAACAGGTATAAAGTGATGATGAATGGTTCAAATTTTTAACTGATAGGGAATAACTGAAATTTTTGAAGAATGATTATTAACAGAATATTTTAGGAAATATAAAACATCATAAAAATAGACATTTGTCTAGGTAACAAAGAATATTTGAGAAATAAAAACAAATCAGTATGGTTTAAGGTGTAAGAATTGGGTGACAGGATGAAAAGGGATAATAGGAAAATGATTACAGAGTTTGTTCCTTAAGATGCTTCTTCCGTTTAAGGGACATAATATCTATCTGATGAAATGGGCAGTTGGCTTTATCCAAGTTAAATAAACAATACAGAGAGGAAGACTTGGAAAAGAGTATTACAAAACTTAAATAATTCAACTCAATTCATTATTTAGTAGGTTTACATGGCTTTAAGGTCTCATGTTAAGAAGGTAGTAGAGAAGATGGAATTAAGACATAGCAAAGTTATGTTAGCCAGAGTTACTGGTAAGAAAGGAAACGGAAATAATAAATAATGCCCGAAGCAAACAGAGATGATCCAAAAGATAAGGAAGGATGTTTGAAATTTGTTTCAGTTGGCTGAAATTTGAGTTCAGGAAAAACAGGTAGAGAAGAGGACAATTTAAACAAAGATGCTATTTGCTATCATATACATTTGTCAACACTAATAGAACATCTCCTCTTGTCAAGAGGGACCCTAAGGTAAACTGTGGGGTTTAGGTGTTAACAGATCAATGCAAGTTTAACAATTGTAATAAATGATATAACTGTAGTGAGGATGTTGATAGGAGTGTTGCCAATGTGTAGAAATGAGATATAAGGAAACAATTTTCCACCTAATTTTGCTACAAATTTAAACTTGTTCTAAAATAAATTCATCAATTGAAAGTGTACATAACTAGAAAGATCAATACAAGATGACAACGTGGATGAGGTACTGGATTTAATCCCTAATACCACAAAGCTGCAGGCTCACAAGAGACATACATCTGCTTCACCATTCACCAAAAATATGCATGTGAGCCCGCAGCTTTCCTTTCTCAAAAACAGGAATAATCTATAATTAGCTTCATATTTCAGGCTTCTGTATATAATTTATGATGTATTTATTCATAAGGTACTCATAACATTTTTATATACTTACCTCAATTATTAATTATACTGAGGTATACTGATTTTTTTTAAATGTACTCAAGAACTCAAGTACATTTTAGTCATCTTTTATAATGGGGAAAGAAATCATAAAGAACTTTCTAACACTCTGAAATAGCAACTAAAGAAAGATAACAACTAAATTTCATAAAACATTATCTGCTTTTTCATGATTCATCAGAATATATTACAGAAGAAATGAGAAGAAAACATGCATTCTTAAGAAAAAAGCTATGCAAATCACAGCTATTGTCAATTATCATTATTAAATTAATTCAATGGAAAAATAAATGAAAAGGATCACAAAGAGGGATAGAGATGAATGTGAATATGAGAGAGATGAAGATAACGAAGAGAAAGTGAGCTTCTAAGAGATGAAGAGAGACAAAAATATTCCTTAGAGTTTTGTGAAAAGTTGGATTTTATTTAAATTTATGTTCTGATTTATTTAAAACAAGTGGATGAAATTCTTACCACCATATGTTAGCTGAAAGTTACCATAGGTTCCTTCATATAGTATATACAGTCTAAATATATAAATAAGCATAAAATGCCAGACTGAACTGAAGAGCTACACATTTGTCATGACGTAACCAAAGGCCAAGTTTGCACCTAAGAAAATTACTGCATCTATAAAGCAAACATTTTCTATGTAAACAATGGAGAAAAGAGCCACAGGTGTAAGCACTAAGCTATATGTGACAAAAGACACAACTACACACAAGGATGAATTCATGGATTGTCACAGTCCAACCTGTTTGTACTGGCTTGTTTAGACACGGCCTTCAATCTTTTCAAAGTTTTTCTAATATCATCAGCATCAGGGAAATGGTGATGACCTGCAGCCCCATTAGGAAATCCTGGACGAACCCCAGATGGAATTACTCTGTAGATAAATATGTACAGTGACTTTCATTACTTTCTCTGAAGCAAAGCATAATCAACTTCTGCAGAACATAGTTATACCTTTCTGGAAGTCCTTGACCACGCATTTCTCCTTTCCATTTTGCTTCGTTATCTCCTGCTCTTTGTTGTTGCATTTGATCAAAAATGGCATGGTAATGTTCATATTGTCCTCGAGAAGAACAAGCTGATGGAGTTACAGCTGCTCCACTGACAAAAAAGGGAGCCTAGAGATTAAAGCATTTGTTTTCCTTTATTAACAATAAAAATTCATATCCTTACTACTAACAATAAAGCATAATTTAATGTGACAAATAGAAAACATTAAAATGTCACTACATTCATGTAAATACGTAAAGTCTGTTCTTAATAAATTTTGAAGCAAGATTATAATATACATTTCATGAAATTCTGTCCTATGAAGCTTGAATATGTATGATTTAGAAGTAAAGCAGAGCCTGCTTACATAAAATTTATATTTAACAAAGACATTTTCACATAGCTCTAAAATATTCTCAATCTGTTCACAAAGTAGGTATGAAGGTCAAACATTACTGAAATATGCTTCATGTATAGATAAAAGAGATCAAGCATCATATCTGTCCTCAAGTTTTAAATAAGTAGGGAAAGAAAACATAAAAATCAAAAAGCGTTTCAATGCTGTAGTCCAATGAGTTATAGGAACTATACCAAGAAGTATGGACTAAGCATAGTCACAACATTGGGGGAAAAAGGTTAGTATTATGTAGAAGTAGAAATAACAGAGAACACAGCAGAAAAACTGCTAAATGGATTTGTAGGTTCTCCAAGAGAATGATAAAGGTAAAAACATATAAACTCAATCACAGAAGAGAGATATGTTAGAAAAAGAGTTAAAAAAGTAAATAAAAATATTCATCTATAAAAGTTATGATGAAAGAATTTCACTGAGTAAAAGACATCAACAATCTCAAGTGCATAAGTCAACAGCCCTGAAAAAAAAATACGATTAAAGTTGAGTGGTAAGCCTGTATAAAAATCTTATTAGAATCAAAGAAAAGAAACTTCAGTGTAATACAACAAAAGAAGATTTGTTGTAACATCTTGGCACAGTAAGTTGGAAATCACTGAGTGAGAAAGCATCTTTTTAAAACATCAGTTCAACATCAATATAATTAGGGTATTTAAATAACAAAAAATTTCTAGAGAAAGACAAGATAAATAAGCGGGAAACTCTGCCAAGTAGGTCTTCCAACGCATCTTCAAAATGTACATTTTTATGTCAAGAATCAGAAGCAGAACTACATTAAAAAGTAGTCATAGCTCCTATGAAGCCATCCACCCTAAGGTTAGCCTACTGGTACCGAGGCTTGAACTCAAGGTCGCCCACTCACTATTAGATTTTTGCTCAAGGCTGGAACTCTACCACTTCAGCAACACCTTTACTTCTATTGTTCTAAAGTTTTTATTAGGTAAAGTAGATAAAAATCTAGGCAATAACTGTACTCAAGAATTATCCTTATATACATTAAGGGCTGAATCTACCTTTTCTATAACTTCAGAGAAATGGACTCATACTCGTGTATAAACTTAGACTATTCATTTTTATTGATAAATAATTGTTACAATATATCTTCAAACAATATACTTCCCATATATTATAACAGGTAGATGATCAAAACTACATTTGTGAAACCTAATTTTTCCAAAAGTTCATTCATAAGACATTTTCAAAAGACAAGCCAAAATGTCTTAAAATTTCCAAACACTAAACAATGCAATCAGATATTTATATTGTAAAAAAAAAACCCTGCCTTTTCAGAAATATATTAATTCTGATATGTTTCCTTTAATGTTCAATTTTCATTTTGCCTTTATTATTGGTGTTTCCTCAATTTGATTCACCTTATATTGAGCTTCTTCATTTATACAAAATAGGCATAAATCTAAACAGCCTAACAAGATAAACATTTCAAACTGAGGAATAGGTACAGAATACTCATTAAAAGCATTATGGATGCATTTAAAGTAAATTAAAATCTATTAAGCACACAGTATATTAAACAATTGTGCAAGTTATAAAACTAGATTTATAAAACTGGACTTTTAGGATTAAGTATCACTTTAGATACAATAGGAAAAACCACTTTATTTCATTGAAGATATATGGAAGGGAGAAAGGAAAAAAAAAAAAAAACCACAAAACCTCAATGGACTGGCACCAAATGCTGGACTCTGTTTTTCACTTTTCTTTCAGGTAAGATATAAGATAAACTAATTTTAGGATAAATCAAATTCTGTCTGGAAAAAAAAAAAAAAGACTATTTGAAACTGGGTGCTAGTGGCTCACACCTGTAATCCTAGCTTCTAGGAGATTGAGATCTAAGAGTTGCAGTTTAAAGCCAGCCCAGGAAGGCAAGTCTGTGATACTCCTATCTCCAATTAACTACCTGAAAACCAGTAGCAGAGTTGTGGCTCAAAATAGCAGAGTACTAGCCTTGAGCTAGTTGGTGCCCAAGCCCTGAGTTCAAGCCCCACGACCGATAAAAAAATATTGATATATGATATGAAATAATACATCTCAAGAGACTGAAAAAATTAAATTCAAGACAGATTATATATGACTAAAGCAAATAAAGCATCTATTATTCAAATCACAACTTTGAGTAATAGAAACAAGAATAGTTAATTCAACTAGATAAGTTATGTGCAGTATTCTAAAAGACCCAAATTAATATGCACAGGTCAGGTGAATTTACAGTTTAAGGACATGTTGATTTATAATAGTAATTAAAATAACACACAGGAATAACAGTATATTTCTACTGCTTTGTAACAAATTATCACCACATAAATAATAAATAGCTTAAAACAGTACCCACTTATCATCAACCAGTTTCCCTGACTCAGGAAGGCCTCTAGGTGCATTCAGCTGGGTCTCTGGATCAGGATCTCAGGAGGCAGAAATCAAAACTGTCAGTCAGAACTACAATTCTCATTTCAGGTTCAGTATCTCTTGCAAGCTCCCTGGTTCTTGGTAAAATTTCTTTGCAGTTGTATGCTGCAATCATTTTCTTCATCTAGTTATTGTTGTTGTTCTTTTTGGATGTCAAAGGCATGGATTTATTTGTAAGCACTGAGAGGCTAGTTAGCTGTTAAAACAGCTAGAGTGAGACAAACTTGGGAATTTAATCATAAAACAAATGACTTAAACCGTTCCTTCCTCATCAGGTCAACATTCTGGGAGGGGCTCTAGCCTTGGGCCATCAGGCTGTAGGGTCCTTGTGTTCATGCTACATCCCCTGGAGAGAATGGGCAAAAGTGAGCCACAGTGTTGCAGCCCTGTGTACCGGAGGTGGGATGGGAATAGCAATGTTTACAGAGGATGAACTGCTTAACAGTAGTCACAATTGTACTTAACCTCGATTTTTTTTCAAACTAAATTGTAATATGTAAAATCTAGGGACCAACGTGAGGAAGGAAACCAATCTACTACTTCACGAGAAGTAATTTAAATATTTAAGGTGTAAGATATTGCATCTAACATGGTCATAAATAAAGGGCAGTAAGATCAGTCATCAAGAGCTCTGGAGTGAACCTGGCCTCCATGTTTTTCATCTTTGTCCTCAGGGTGTAATTTTATTAGATCATCAGTAGAAGATGGTAATTGCAGCTTTGGTGGCAAATGTCAAGCCCTTCACCTTAACAATGGTGGGTTCTAAAACCCCTGCTTGTTTGTAGTCTCAGGAGTTTGCCCTGGGTTCTGGGTTAACTTGAGCCTCATTATGAAATGCTCTTAACTTTGCAACCAGTCTTGAGCAACGGTAACTGCCAAAGTATTAGGAATCACAAGGAGAGATCTTGCAAATTCAGCTATGGCAAGCTGTTCCTGAGACCCCATGCTGGCTGCATAGCTTTCAAGGTAAATGGAAAGGACTGCTTCTATTGCCCCATCACCTGCCCCTGACGGACTCTAAAACCCCCTTCTCATCATCATGTGGAAGAGCATCAGGTAGGGAGCACTCCATCTCATCACACATGAAATCATTTGCCCCATGAAAGATAACTGATGCGGGTGTTCGAGCCTTAGTACTTTTCATTAAGATCAGTTCATCATCACAAATTCTTTCTTGTACCACCTCTTCTGTACATTATACCACCACAATGTCCCAATGTTGTAGCTTCCAAAGTTTTTTCACCTTCCAAATAGGCCAGGGTTGACAGAATACTTGCACCAGAAGCCTTAGCAATGTGTTTAAGGTCTCTCTTTAAAACTTTCCAAACTGCAGTAGCACCAGCTTCCACAAAATACTTCAGACACATGTCATCAATCCCACCAGTGATGAGAACAACATGAGTACCAGCCACCAGGATCTTCTGAATTCTCTTCTCAGTGACATCGGAATTCTCTCCTTGATGATATCTGATTCTTTCTAATTTGGTCCAATTTCTCAGGGTCTATAATAACCAATTGTACTCTTGGGCATACCCTGGGATCCCACCACACAGCTGAGTACATAGCTGCTGACCAGCATGCTTTCTGTTTGACTTCTCCCATAACTTTCAGAATATTAACAGAAGTGACTGGATAGTGTGGCTGGCCTCTGGAGTCTGTGTACTTAAAGCAAGTACAGCATCTGTTACCATGGTGGAGAAGAAATTACCATCCATTCCAGTAATTTTGGAGGACATGTTTGTCTTAGCAGCATTCATCAGGTAATCTCTTCCAAGTTCATTTGTGTTAATAATTAGATTTTCACTGATGTATCACATGGCTCCCTTGCAGGCCAGCCAGCAGTCACTAATAACTGGCATGGGATGAGTTTGGCTAGTTCATCTGCATTTTTCAGAAGCTCTGCTGCAATAATAACCACAGAAGTAGTCCCATCCCCAACTTCTATGTCTAGCAGATCAGCCAGCTCACAGAGAACTTCAACTGCAACAACTTCAGGATGGTTGCACCATCGTTAGCAATGGTTACATCTCCAATATCATCCACCAACATTTTGTCCAAGCCAACCAGACCAAGGGAACTTTTTATAATAGTGGCAATGGAAGGTGCAGTCACAACGTTCTGGGAGCAGACTGCCTCTCCGGGGCTGTGGTCTCTGAACATGGGTAAGAGCCCCTCTATCTTCTGACTTCAATGGGTTATCTCGGTTGGTAGGCCAGGTGGCAGAAACAAGCTAGGCAGCATGCAAAGGCCCAAGTGGCACCGCCAGTCATTTTCTTCTTAGTTTTTGGTCAATGACCATCAATGACATTACCATCACCCTGAGGTCTCCTACACTTTTATTGCCACAGCACTATTTGCTGTCTTCCAGTCAAGCAGAAGTATCTGCTAAGAGGAAGTCTTACATGTTAATGTAATCATGGGAGTGCACAAGGAAAGGATGCTTGCATTTGCCTATAACATAATCTAATCAAGGAGTTACTACATCCCCTATCTTTACTAGTCCTCCTTACACTCAAGGGGAGAGAATGAAAGGTGTGTTCATCAGGGATGGTAAACCAGAAGACACCTGGAACACCGTCTATCACAGACAGACATAAATATGGGATGACGTAAGAGCAAAGGAGTGCAAGGCTCAGAACAAAGAGATACAGGAAATTACCATCTGAGCTCTTGATACCCCAAACTATTCACATTAATGAAGATTAAAGCTTGAAGAAGTTAATTAACTTGCCTAAGGTTATAGTCTGGATCTACCTGAAAGGAATGTAGGTAAATGGCTAGCCTTTAGAAATCTCAGTAGGAGTACGGAGATCGGAGTGAGAGTGAGGAAGAAAGGAGGGGTGCTTAGAAGTAAACACAAGTGGAAAGATGGAGGGGCAATGTTCAGAAAGGATGAGAAGGTGTGTAGTAGGGAATGTATGGGGATCAATCTGGAGAAACTGACAGGAATCAGAATAACAAGAGTCCTATGAGAACTTAACTGTTGTTGGTTTTTTTTTGTGTGCCAGACTGGGGCTTGAACTCAGGGCCAGGGTATAGTCCCTGAGCTTTTGTGCTCAAGGCTAGTGCTTTACCACTTGAGCCACAGCTATACTTCTAACTTTTTTGTGGTTAACTTGCAATAGAAGTCTCATGGACTTTCCTGCCTGGGCTGGCTTTGAACCACAATCCTCAGATGTCAGCCTCCAGAGTAGCTAGGATTACAGGTATGAGCCACTGTGCCCAGCTGAGAACTTAATTTTTAAGGCTACATGAAAAGTTATATTGGAGATTCCTCTGAAAGGGCAATTGGTCCCATAGTCTTCACACGAATGCTTTTAAAGCAATTTTAACAGTTCACACTAGTATTAATATGTTGCATATCAAATACATGTAGGACAACTAAGAAATCATAATAAATGCTGAAGAATTCTAGATAAAAATCAACTGCACACAAACACAAACACACACGCACACACACACACACACACACACACACACACACACACACACACACAAGAAGCAAGTATTATATATTTTAAAGAGCAAGATGAAACTGGAGAGAAAAAATAACATCTCTGTATTGGTTATCAAATGCCTACCTTCACTTCACCACCTCCACCAGCACTTAACACATTTCTCCATCCTTGTTCCCTGGCCCTATTTATTCTCTCCAACTTTTGAGAAAACAAACAAACAAAACACCATTTCAACTACTTAATATAAAATACATTAAATACACTTAGTAATACAATGGAAATCAGTGCACTTTACTTTTCAAACAAACATGTCTATGGGGAGAGGGAGGAAAGCGGCATGGAAAAATGGATTGATGTCTTACCCTTTCTTTTTCATGCCTTTTCATTTGTTCAGCCTTCATAAAACTAATCTGCAATCATTTTAAAGACATATTTTTTAGAATTCAAAATGGTTATAATCTGTAGCTTGGTAAAGGAAGAAAAAGAAGAGTAAAAAGCTACCTGATCCTTTTGTTTCTTTTCCCTGTCAATGAATTCCAACCTTCTTTTGCTTGTTGGTTCCTTAAACAAAAAAGAACATTTTTATCAATAACTATCTCTGCTTTTTGTATTTTTATCAGGAAAGTAAGTCTACCGGTGGCAGAAGTATGCACAGGGAGGTTAAAAAAAATTAAAAAAGAAGTCATATGTATTTGTTTCAAAGAAATAAGGAGGAAAGGTTTGGAGGTTTCATATTATAAAGTTTCATTTTTTAAAAATTAGTTTTGTAAAGCTTTAAAATAAGCAGGTAGGTATCTTTGTACCTCAAACGCTTTCCTCCTTTCTTCTCTAGGGTTCATTCTCTTCACTGGAATTTGATGGGCCTAGACAAAAAGTAAAACTAGGGATTAGAGAGACTTCAAAGTGATCATTTGAAAACTCCAAATTTATGGAAATTTAAAATAAGAAAGAAGGCATGCAAATACTGCAATAACTCTTTCAAGAAATATTAGTTTTAAAAATAAAGATATTGTAGGTATTGATATGTCATCTGCGAACAAAGAGAAACAAAATTGTGGAAAAGGGCTTCCGTGGTCATCAACTAAATGGATTTGTTCTCAGAAATGGATGTCAATAGTAAGTTTTCTAGAATTATCACACATTTCTGAAGCCCAATAACGAATACAATTTTTTAAAAAACTTATACAATATATGCTCATTTACATAAACCTCATACAAGACTAAAAATTTATAGCCCATTTTACTCCATACTTTAGAGATAGTAAGTGTTGATATCCAGACATTTTAATGCACTTAAATACATATAAAATAGTAGCTTTTTACATAATGCACATTTTTACATAAATGTAATAAGAACTTGTTATTAGATGGAAAACAAACTGGCCTGCATTATGGTAAACAAATTAACAATGGCAATATTCTACATGAGTACTATAATTAATTTAGTCATTCTTCTTGGAGTAAGACATGGGGTTGGTATTGAATTTTCCTGTATATTCATCCTCTTGTCAGAAGCAAATCTTTCAGGAGGGCAATTTTTTAAAAAATTAGTGCAATTATAAAGTAAAAAACTAAATTGATTGTTGAAAAAATTGTCCAAGAGGCTGCACCACTCTACATTTCCACCAAAGCACTCATTCCCATATTCTTGCATAGTATCAAATATTATCGTCCTATCTTGATTCTTATCTGCTCCTTGAAAAGGCTAGTAATATTTTCCAGTTTGGTAGATAAGTACATTTCTTCTTCTTTTTTTTTTTGGCAGGGGGTGGGGTCCAGTCGTGGGGCCTTCACTCTGGGCCTGGGCGCTGTCCCTCAGCTCTTCAGCTCAAGGCTAGCGCTCTACCACTTGAGCCACAGCACCACTTCCGGCTTTTTTCTTATGTGGTATTAAGGAATTGAACCCAGGGCCTCATGCATGCAAGGCAAGCGCTCTACCACTGAGCCACCTTCCCAGCCGCAACATTTCTTCTTTTATAGGCTAAATATACGCATTCACATATCCTTAAGACTTATAAAGACTTCCTGCTCTTTACTCACTAAAATGATTCTGCCACCACTAGTGGACAGCAAGCTTCAGTTTTAAGGGTGTTAGAGCTCTGGGGTCACCATTGTTGAGGTATTAGAAATAAAACTTGCAGGTAATGTTCCTCATAGAATTAAACACAGTTAATGATTTCAGTTATGTTTTTTATACACTGGATGTAAAACACTGGATAAAGGGACTTCAATGTAGCTCAATGGAATATAGTGTTAGCATAGCATGCTTGAGGCCCTGGGTTCAATTCTCATATTTTTTTAACTAGTGGGAAATATTATCCAGAAACTTTGTAAAAGTACTTCCATAAAAATATTATTTGGGGGGCTGGTAAGGTGGTTCAGTGGTAGAGTGCTTGCCTTGCATGCATGAGGCCCTGGGTTCCATTCCTCAGCACCACATAAGCAGAAAAAAAAAAGCCGGAAGTGGCGCTGTGGCTCAAGTGGTAGAGTGCTAGCCTTGAGCTGAAGAGCTGAGGGACAGTGCCCAGGCCCAGAGTTCAGGCCCCACGACCGGACCCAAAAAAAAATATTATTTGGCAAGAAAAATTAGTTCTGAGATTAGTACAACACAGATCAGTGTGAAAATACTATGCTAAGTAAAACAGTCACAAAAAATCACATATTGTCTTTCATTAATGTAAGGTATCAAGAATAAGCAAATCTGTATAGCAACAGAAAATAATTAGTAATTTGTTAAGGCCAAAAGGATAGAGGAGAATGGGAGTGACTGCCAGTAGGAAAAAAAAAAAATTCTTTTTCCTTTCTCGTTGACCATACTGGGTTTGAACCAGGCCCTTGAATTTGTTAGGCTGGCATGCATAACTTCAGCCATGCCTCCAGTTTCTTTCAGCTTTAGCTATTCTTAAATAACTAAAATAGCATAGGCCTGAAGCTGGACTATGGATCAGACTGTAATACTTCTATCTATGGTTTTCTACATATCTGGGATAATAGGCTTGTGTTACCATGTCCACATTTAGAACTAATTTCTTTTTGGGATGATGAGTATGTGGAGACAGTTACCACACTACGGATCTATATTATGAACCATTAATTGCAATTGTTAATGTATGAGTTATAAAGTATGTAGATTATTTCTGAATAAGTCTGTTTTTAGAAAATGCATAACCCCAAGAGTTGATGAATAATCATCTCTGGATTACAGATCCCTACATTATATATTCTAACAAGTTTTATTGCTTAACTATTATGTAACCAATCTAGCATCTGTCTCAAGATTTATGTGGGCTGGGAAGGTAGTTCAATGAGTGATAGAGTGCTTGCCTAGCATGCATAAACCCCTGAGTTCGATTCCTCAGTACCACATATACAGAAAAAGCCAAAAGTGGCTCTGTGGCTCCAGTGGAAGAGTGCTAGCCTTGAGTAAAAGAAGCTCAGGGACAGTGCCTAGGCCCTGAGTTCAAGGACTGGCAAAAAAGAAAAAAAAAGATTTGTGCCCCACAATACCAAACAATTAAAAAAGTATTATCACTGTAGGGCATGATGGCACACCTGCAGCCCAAGCTTTCCAAGGGCTGAAGCAGGATTTTGAGTTCAAGGTCACTCTGGGCTACATATAGAATCATTGTCTCAAAACAAAAAATTAGGGCTGGGAAGGTGGCTCAATGGTAGAGTGCTTGCCTTGCATGCATGAGGCCCTGGGTTCCATTCCTCAGCACCACATAAGCAGAAAAAAAATTATTAATTTGAGTAATACAAAAACTTGATAGTAAATGACTAGCTTTTAGATTACATGACAGCATCAAGTGTAGGACAACAGAAGACCAAGACAACTACATACTTGGGATAAATTACATGGAGGCAAAGATTATACTCTTTTGGTCTTCTATATTGCCTTACATATATGATATTCAAATATTTCTGAAATAAAAATCTAAGTCAATATTCTGATAGCACATAGTATTTTTAGAACATTATTTCTATACTAAAGAAAACATGCTGCTGAGTGCCAGCTACTCAAGAAGCTGAGATGTAAGGATTATGGTTTGAAGCCAGCCTGGGTAGAAAAGTCCATGAGATTCTTATCGCCAATTAAAGACCAAAAAAGCTGGAAGTGCAGTTGTGGATCAAGTGGTAGAGCATAAAAGCTGAGGGACAGTGCCCAAGCTGAGTTCAAGCCCCAGGACAGGCCAAAACCAACAAACAAAAACAAAAAACAAGACAAGACAAACACTACAAAAATACCCCTAAATATTAAAAATGTGTTCATGGAGTGCCCTCTAGTGGCTCAATAATTACTCCTCTATTTCAACAACACTTTATATGAAATAGAGCAAAGTCTTATCACAAGCAAATATTTTTGATACGCTGAATAATAACTTAATACATGTTAGCTTAAATTTACACAAATAAAATATAATAAACTGTTGCCATTAATGGTTACCATTTTTCCTATACATTTCTCATTTTCAAGCTTGGAATTTTTAAGTTTCAACAAATCACTGTGAATTTAAACATAAAAGATGCTTTATACTTGCCATGATTTTTGTTGCTTTGGGTTTTTTTTAAATGTTTTTTATTGTGAAAATACCGTACAGAGGGGTTACAATTACATAAGCAAGGTAATGAGTACATTTCTTATCAAGCATTGTTTCCTCCTCCTTTGTTTTTCCTCTACCATCCCTGTTCTCCCATCTCCATGACTACACTCCCAACCAAAGTTGTAAAGTTCCTTTTTCAACATAGCATTTTGTATATTTCATTGTTGCAATGGGTCCACCGTTATCCCTATTTAAACAATTGTTTTTTCCCTTCCCCTCCCTAAATTATAACAACATCAAATACAGTGAAAACAGAGGTTATACCATGGGGGAGGGACATACAAAGCAACAAAACAATCATCTTATAAATATAGCAAGAAAGAAAAAACCACTTGTGTCCTTATCTTGGGGTTCATTTCGCCTAACATCATCTTATCTAACCACTTCTGTTGTCTCAGACATATACTAGTTATTGCAAATAAGGGAAAACATGGGACCTATGTTTCTTTGGGCCTGGCTTACTTCACTTAATATAATTTTTTCCAAGTCTTTCCATTTCTTTTTTTTAATTTTTTATTGTGAAAATACTGTACAGAGGGGTTATAATTACATGGACAAGATAATGAGTACATTTCTTATCAAGCATTGTAGCCTCCTCCTTTGTTTCCCCTTCCCATCCCATCCTCTTTCAACCCCACCCCCAAGTTGTAAAGTTTGTTTCTGACATAACGACTTGTACGTTTATCATTGTTGCAATGGGTCCACCTGTATCCTATTTAAAAGATTTGTTTTTTCCCTTCCCCTCCACAAATTATAACATCATCAAATACAGTGAAAGCAGGGATTATACCGTGGGGAAGGGACATATAAAGCAACAAAGAAATAATCTTATAAATGTGTTAGAAACAATCACATGAAAGTAAAAAACGTCGAATACATATCTTAGGGTTCATTTCCCTAATATCAACTTATCTGCAAGTCTTTCCATTTCCTAACAAATGGGGCAATGTCATTCTTTCTGATGGAGGCATAGAATTCCATTGTGTATATATACCACATTTTCTTGATCCATTCATCTACTGAGGGGCATCTGGGTTGGTTCCATATCTTAGCTATGGTAAATAATGCTGCAATAAACATAGTTGTGCTGGTAGCTTTAGTGTGGTCTTGTTTGTGATCATTTGGGTAAATGCCCAAAAGTGGGATTGCTGGGTCATAGGGGAGCTCTATGTGGAACCTCTTCTGAGGAACCTCCATACTGCTTTCCAAAGTGGTTGAACAAGTTTACACTCCCACCAACAATGCAGTAAGGTTCCCTTCTGTCCACATCCCCTTCAGCATCTGTTGTTATTAGAGTTCTTGATTATAGCCATTCTAACTGGAGAGAGGTGGTATCTCAATAATGAGAGCGCTGAGTTTAAACCCTAGTACTGCCAAAACTAACCAATAAACATCACAAGACACTGGCCTGATGGTTCTCCCTTAGCTTGTATCTGGCGTTTTACCCAAGTTAATACAATTAAAATATAAAAGATACTGTTGCTTTGGTGACTGGAATTCCTTTTCTCAATCATTTTACTCATTTGTTAAAAATGAGACTTATTAGCATTTTCTTTGTGCAAAGATGTGTAATACATGGTTCCTCACTTCAGAGAAATGGCATTCTAATAAAATAACACTAGGAGTTCTGATAAGGAAGAAGTTACTTTTTTTTTGGAGGGGGGAGTCCGGTTGTGGGGCCTGAACTCTGGGCCTGGGCACTGTCCCTCAGCTCTTCAGCTCAAGGCTAGTGCTCTACCACTTGAGCCACAGCGCCACTTCCAGCTTTTTTTTTTTTTTTTTGCTTATGTGGTGCTGAGGAATCGAACCCAGGGTCTCAGGCATGCAAGGCAAGCACTCTACCACTGAGCCACCTTCTCAGCCCCTGGAAGAAATTACTTTGATGAAGAAGTTTGCTATCTTAATGCCAGACCCTGAGAGTAGGAGCATAATTAGGAAATAAGGTCTATGTGGAAAAAAAAAAAGTATTTGAGGTGTTCCTACCTGTCCTCAGTCATTGGAACCTCCTAGTATGTCTATACTATGCCACTGTGTGCAGTGTGGCAAGGCCCAACATGGTATTTGTTAGTCAAGGAGAAATGTGTGAACACTCACTGCACATAGCTTGCTCCCCACCCCACCCCCCACCCCCATCACTTCTTTTTCAAGCCTTTATCCCCATGGTTGGACTCTAAGATTGAAGGTATAAGTGTCCTTCATTCTATCTACCAAGAGCTTACACACAGACACAGGATAGTAGCATTGTGACTCTGACAGAGAAATTTCAAAGAAAAGAACATTTGAAAGGAGAAAAGGGTACATATGAACAAAACTCAGGAGGCTGAGATCTGAGGATCATAGTTCGAAGCCAGGCTGGGAAGGTGGCTCAGTGGTGGAGCGCTTGCCTTGCATGCATGAGGCCCTGGGTTCGATTCCTCAGCACCACATAACCAAAAAGAAAAAAAGCCGGAAGTGGCGCTGTGGCTCGAGTGGTAGAGCACTAGCCTTGAGCTGAAGAGTTGAGGGACAGTGCCCAGGCCCAGAGTTCAGGCCCCATGACCGGACCCAAAAAACAAAAACAAAAACATAGTTCGAAGCCAGACTGGACAGAAAAGTCCTCATGAGACTCTTATCTCCAATTAACCAATCAAAAACTGAAAGTGGCAATGTGATTCAAAGTAGTAGAGTGCTAGCCTAGAGTGAAAGCCCTCAGGGACAGAGCCTAGGCCTTAAGTTCAAGCCCCATAACTGACTAGAACCAAGAATGAAGAAATCCAAAAAGAGAAGTGAGCATTAGGAAGAGTCAGTATTGGTGATTTAGCAGAGTGCGAATCTAGGTGGAGATGTTAAGTCTGGAGTTCAAATAAGGAGTCTAAGCTGAAGACAGGTTTGGAAGTCAATGTCTAGATGTTTACTTTGAGGAAGTATAGGTGAGAAAATGTTCAAGGACTGAGTCCTAAACTTCAGCATTTAGAAGTCTGGAAAATGAGGTGGATCCTGTAAAGGAAACAGAAGCAGTCAATGAGACAAGAGGAAGATCTGAAAGAGTACTTTGGATTTAAGAAAATGTTTAATGGAGGAGGTAACCAAGGGAGTCAAAGCTTCCTTAAGTAAGCAGGAAAGGAAACAGTACATAAATGATAGAGATGACTTTAGATGGGAACAGAAGGTCATCCCAAGTAAGAGTAAGCAAAATGAAATATTTACAAACAGGATGGTAGATGTGATAGTGGGAAAATTTTCTTCCAGATTCTATTTTCTTACTGAAGTAGGAAGCAAGCATTAGTCCTGTGAAGAAGAAAATTAATCATCTAGAAAGTGGGAGAGCAAATGGGCTAAAGACCTACCACAGGGCAGCCATTGTTGGATATAAATCTAGTGCTATTACCGGCAGAATAGTGGGAGAGAGGAATAAGGGACTTGAGGTATTAGAAATTATGAGTGAATATAGAATTTGAGCCAGATAAGGAACATAATAACAAGGAGAGAGATACTGAAAAACTAGTAGGAGTCATGCATCCAAATGTGACAAAGAAGTTTTTGACAGACTTCTAGAGGAATAAGCAAGAAACAGGAAGCAGTGTCAGAGAATGGGATTCTTATAAATGAAACTTCGGAAACGTTGCTATTACTGATAATGGCAAACTTAATAGCACAATTATAGATGAAATTTTAAGGTCAGGTGGGAATCAAGATAATTGAAAAAGAATGAACAAGAAAATAAAGGGTATAGGAAGTTTTATCTTTCTGGATATTTAAATCACCTAGAATTTTAACAATGGGAAGAATGTTAGTGAGTCAAATGTTTAATTTTTTTTACATGAGTATCTATAGAAAACTCTGATACAAAATGATAGCAGGTTATACAATATGGTAGCAAGAACATCAAAGCAGGGAGTGGGAGTGGGCTTGGGTTAGAGCAAGGAGAGTCTGGCATTAAGATGGCAAATATCTCCTTTATCTTACCTCTAGACCCAAAGGTACTGAGGGATTAAGGAGAAGACACCTACCATGGGAGGGAGTTACAGAATGTGAGTTCAGGAAGAAGCCAAGTTGTAGACTAAAGCAGGTGAAGATCATCTTTATCTAGTAATTACATAAGGGGTTTTTGCCAATAATGTATCATGAGTCAATGTGGCACAAGAGGTTAAGATACTGTTCTGGGAGGAGAGGAATATTAGGGTATGGCCAGTCTTTCTTACAGGATTTTAGTAACTAAGTAATGAGGGAAAACCTGGAGTCCTAGGTTTCTTGTGGTGACCAAAAAGAGATAAAGGATGCAATACCACTGGTCCACGTAGGCTAAGTAAATGTAATAGCAATAAACAATGATAAATAGAAGATGAAGCTGGTTCCAGTTATATTATCCTGCCTATGCTACTAGAGCTGACTTGATAAGTTTTCCTTCTTGCTTTTGTTTTTTGTTTTGGTGGTACTGAGGTTTGAAGTCAGGGACTTGCACTTGCTGGGTAGTTATGCCCAGTAGGCACTCTACAACTTGAGCCATGTTCCCAGCGCTGAGCACTTCTTTGCTGCTCCCATGATAGTAGGCTTTGCAGCAGATGGTGGACAGACACTGCAGAGGACAGAGCTGCTCCTGATTAGAGCTTCCTGTCTCTGTTGCTGCAGTGAGTGGGATGGCCACAGGGCGGCACTGCAGGAGGCAGCTTGCAGGAGAGTTCTCACAGTACTCTCCAGCTTTCCTGTGAGCTTCAGCAGCACCCCTGGGGCGCTACCCACAGGGTTCTGCTGGTGCCCAGGCTGCCCTCCCTGCCTGCCTTCCAAGATGCTCAGCAGCACCAAGTAAGTTCTACCTGCATCCCAGGGAGTTCACTGTGGAAAAACTTTGTTGTTCTCTAGGTACTTTGATCTCTAGGCACTAATCTGAACAGCTTTTCTCAGTATCTGCCATTTGCATTCTCTTTTACTATTTAAAGGCTAATTCCATAAATAGTCTCTCTCTCTCTCTCTCTCTCTCTCTCTCTCTCTCTCTCTCTCTCTCTCTCACACACACACACACACACACACACACACACACACACAAACATTTTTATTTATTTTTTTGGTCATGGGGCTTGAACTCTGGGCCTGGGTGCTGTCCCTCAGCTCTTCAGCTCAAGGCTAGTGCTCTACCACTTGAGCCACAGTGCCACTTCCATTTTTTTTCTGAGTAGTTTATTGGAGATAAGAGTCTCACGGTCTTTTCTGCCTGGGTTGACTTTGAACCCTGATCCTCAGACCTCAGCTTCCTGAGTAACTAAGATTACAGGTATGAGCCACTGGCACCCAGCTTATTTTATGATAAATTTTTAGCCAAACTAACTGATCATCCCTACTGTGAAGTTTATCTTAATAGCATTATATATATATATACATTATATATGTTTATTATATATATAAAATATGTGTGTGATGTGGTGTATGTATATCTAAGTATCTAAGGTGCATATCTGTACACCTGTAGGCCAGAATGAAACTGGGTCCCATATACTGAAGCATGCAAATACTGACACAAAGCAAATGTCAAATTCCCAGCAACTAACACTGTGTGTTCTTAAGACACTTAAATGCTACAGGCTTCTTTTTGTTGTTGTTGGCTGCAGATCTTGAACTCAGGGCTTGGGAGTTGTCCCTGAGCTTTTCTGGTCAAGGCTAGTTAGTGCTCTACCACTTTTGAGCCACAGCTCCACTTCTGGTTTTCTGGTAGTTAAACTGAGATAAAAGTCTCATGGACTTTCCTGCCAGGACTGCCTTGGAACCACGATCCTCAGATCTCAGCCTCCTGGGTACCTAAGGTTACATGTGTGAACTACCAGAACCTGGCTTCAGGCCTCATTTTTTCACATGAAACGTGATGGGCTTATATGATCGTTCCTTTCAGCGCTATGATTTTATTTATTTATGATTTCCCAAATACAAAAATTTCTCAGGATTTTACCAAGTGTATCTCAGGTATTCTTTTATGCACATGATCAAGTACGTCTACTTAGGACGTTACTTTTTTGTTGCACCAATCATTTACATGTTTACTTAAATGCTTCCATATGATTATGTAAGGTTGTACCCCTTCAAAAACTAGAGAATAGTACATGACTGAAGTAGAGCAATATTCTTTAGTAACAACTTTAAAAATCTTATACAAAGATAATTCAACTGAACAATAAAATGAGGTTAAATTGAATTTGATACAACTTACAGTTTGTAACAACATCATACCTGTTTATGTTTTTGGAGTGGTTTTTTTTCAGGTAATTTTTTCTCTCCATATTTCTTATATGTTAAAGGTACTCCATATTTAGCAGCAGGCTTTGTGATTTTCTGTGCTGGCACAACAGAAACCAAGCTTTGTCCTGAAGCTGGTCTCTTAGCTACATAAAAAGACAAAAATTTTTCTAAGAGCTTCTTTTATTAATTTTTTTATTTGAAAACTAAAAACACTCTCATAACGATTGATAGGATATAAACTTTCATCAAATATCTTATCCATTCCTTAACATTTCTCACTAACTCAAATTATGTTACACTAAAGTTATCTCATCCTTTAAAGATATTGATGTTTTTCATATAAAAATCATGTGCAGCTGGAGCCAGCCTCATGCCTGCTAAGGACCCCATTCAAAGCCTGCTCATGCAGAAAAACCTGTTATACTCTTATCTCCACCCAATTAACCAGCAAAGAGCCAACAGTGGAGCTAGCAAAGGTCTGGCTCAAATGTTTGAACACCACCATTAAGAGAAAAAGCTAAATGAGTACGTGAGGTCCCAAATCTAAGCTTTAGAACTGGTACATACACAAAAGTGTGTGTGTGTGTGTGTGTGTGTGTGTGTGTGTGTGTGTGTGTGTGTGTGTGTGTGTGTGTGTGTGTGTGTGTGTGTGTGTGTGTGTGTGTGTGTGTGTGTGTGTGTGTGTGTGTGTGTGTGTGTGTGTGTGTGTGTGTGTGTGTGTGTGTGTGTGTCCCATCCTTAGTAATATATTTGACGGCATAATTTACTTGAAACATTTTTAGAATATAAATTGTTTCTAAACACAAAAAATACTACATAATGATTTAGACATAACTGGACATTTTACAACATTCTCTGGCAATGTTCAAAATACCAAATAAGAAGACTGAGGGTGTGGTCCAAGTAATAGAGCTCCTGACTAGCTACTGAAAAACCTGAGTGCCAACTCTAGCACCTTAGAAAAGAAATGAATCAACTCAGTATTTGATAATGATATAGAATTTCACTTAAGTAAGACAAACAAGAAACAGAAATTTCATTAGTAATTTATCAAAACCCAGTATATATTATCATATATCATAAAACAACTTTAAAAGGAGACTCCCTCTAGGTTATATTTAGCCTACAATCATCTGTCTTTCTCTCCATCCTTCCATCCATGTTTCCAGTACAGTTAGGTGTGAGTATTGTCAACAGATGAAATGCCTCATATTTACATTTCATTTACCTGGTACAGGCTGTGCTCCACATTTTGAAAATGTTTTTAGACAAAATTCTTCTGCGATGAGCTTAGGTTGAGAGAAAAAAGTTAGAAAAAAACATTAAATTTCCTGAATAAAAAACATCCTATTCACTAGTCACTATATATTTTACCTTTTCTGTCACAATTATGCTGCCAGATATACTGTATAAATTAAAACCAAGTACTCCATTCAGCAAGTCTGTCTCATACTAACTTCCTCACAATCTTACCAATTTATTCCTTCCCCACCAGATTTTCTTCTGTAATTAAACTAATGTATAATCTCATTTTCTATGTGCACCAAACCCCTCAACCCCTCATTTACTTCAAAACTTCATTATCTGAATCATGTTAGCATTTCCTACGAGGTTACTCATAAACATGTTATTAGATATATATTTTTGGTGGTCCTAGGGTTTGAACGCAGGACCTCACATTTGCTAGACAGGTATACCACCATTGAGTCATGCCTCCAGTTGGATATTCTTACATAATTAAAGATTTTTGTTGTTGTTGGTCGTGGGGCCTGAACTCTGGGCTTGGGTGCTGTCCCTAAGCTCTTCAGCTCAAGGCTAGTGCTCTACCACCTAGCCATAGCACCACTTCTGGCTTTTACTGCTTATGTGGGGCTGAGGAATCGAACCCAGGGCTTCATGCATGCAAGGCAAGCACTCTACCAACTGAGCCACCTTCCCAGCCCCAATTCAAGACTTTTTAACAGTGTTTCAAATACTCCTTTGTTTATTCCTCAGTGACTATAGATTCTGAGAAACAAAAATAAGTTGCATATAATTTTTTCTTCTATTCCATCTTTTCAGTGTCAAACTATGATACCAACGGAGTTAAGTCAACTTAACCTTTATTGAGTTGGAAAGGAAAAAGCAAAAGGATTTTCCCATTTTCAATAGAACTGAGGGCCAGTAAAGAGCATATTCCTGTAAGCTATTCCGATAGCTCAGCAGCTCAAACTGCTCCATGGGCAAAAAGCCACCACTTGAAATACCTCTTTCCCATGAAGAATCTACTACAACACTAATCTCAAACCAACAGTATCGGTATCAGCTAGCCTTAATAAAGATGCAAATTGTCAGGCTGGCCCTAGTAAAGTCCTCTAGGAGACTATGCTGTGTGCTACGTTGTGAGGACCACTACACACAGCGTAAATATAGGTGCAAGTCTTCTCAAAGGTAATCCAGAGCAGGGATGTGAATGTGTTTCTCTCCTGAGCACACCTACTCCCACTCCCCAACCCCACTTATTTTTTAGAAATAGTGATCGTCAGATTACCTCCAAACTGAATCATTTCTTCCAAAACAAAAGTCTTCCTTTTGTTATGTGGACTGAGAGATGGGTAGGTACTTACAACCCCAAAGTTACATGAATTTCTAGGCTGGTCTATCCAAAATAAGAGCCACTGTCCATATAAAACTATATGCATTAAGATTTATGATAAAAGCCAGGCATGGTAGTGCATGCTTATAATCCAAGGTACCTGCCCTTGGGGAAAAGCCTGAGACTGCATCTGAAAAATAATGTAGCTTAAGTGACAAAGCACTTGTCTAGAACTTGAGGCCCTGAGTTCAAACCCATATCTTAAAATTAGAAGTTTAAAATAACTAAAATTAAATGTCAGTTGCTCATCACATCTCAAGTGTTCAGCCACTGTGGCTAGAGGACACAGTGTTATACAGTACAGACACAAGCCACTATCATCATCACAAAATATTCTGATAGACAACATCAATACTTCTAAGGAATCAGAGCTCAGCCTTGATTTGTCAACCTACACCCAAGAAGTTGCCAGACAGGATCGAGAACTAGACTTGAAAGCATTTTCCTAATGGTGCTGAGAAAATTTAGGTATTAAAAATAAAAATTATTCTGTAATTCCAGTCTTCAGGAAGCTAAGGCAGCAGGATCATGAATTTGAGGCTTGATGCTGGCTCTAAATAAATACATTTTTGCATATTTTAGGCTTTAGTGTTTTCCCTCTCATTGCTAGCTGTCTGAATTCCAGTGCTTTTGCCTTAAGACTGTATGTCCTAGCTGCTTGCACAAGGGGTGGGAGGTAGAACTTCAGCAAAGTTAAATGAAGTTATTGTTTGCATCATAGTAGTTGCCAAAGAAACTGCCCTTGCAAACATTATTTTTAACAAAGAAGTCTTATAAGACACCACATTTCAGAAATTGTTGCTACATTCTATACAAGTAACCTTTAACCTCTGAATTTTAATACGCTTTCTTATTACTAACACAGTCTTTTGGTATTAAGTTAAATCTAACTCTATGGTTGCTAAGAAGTATTTGTTCACAGAAATGTTCTGTTAAACCAGAAGGATATATAAGTAATACAGTTATGATTTTAACTATATTATGTTATTTGTAGGAAAGTTCAATGGCAATTATTTAAGTTAATAAAGGGTACATTAAAAATGAGAAGTAAAACAACTCCAATTTCAGGTGGTCAAATATTTGTAAATAATTGATGTCAGTTGATTTGGCATAGATTTATAAACCTTGCCCAATTAAATTTTAATTCAACTCATTTTAGGTATGGTGGTCCAAGCCTATAATTCTAGCTACAGAGATATGGATATTGGGAGGACTGAGAAATCCAAACTCCATCTCAACCAATGAGCTGGGTGTGACAGCTTAAGTTTGTCATCCATACTATGTAGAAAGTATAAAAAGGAGGATTCCAGTCCAGACAAGTCTCAGTAAAAACAACAAACAAATAAACAAGACTCAATCTGAAAAATAAGTTAAGCAGAAAGGGTTAGAGGTATGGCTCACAATCATGGTAAATGTGCCTGTCAATCATGAAGCCCTATATTTAAACCCTACATTTAAACACTAGTATACTTCCACACACAAAATTAAATCAAACCAACAAATATCTGTTATACACCTGTATTTGAAGAAAAAGTAGGAGATAATTGCACATATACTACATATATACTTATACATATAAATATATTTATATAAGTATTTATAAGTATATGTGTGCATATATTACATGCATATTACGTATGTATACATTACTATATGTGTATTATCACATATACATATGTGTATATATACATGTGTATATATATATATGTGTATATACATATATAGCATACACATATATGTAAATACAAATAATCACAAGTTTCTGAACATTTTCTGTAAAATATAATCATTAAAATTATGTTGATATTTGTAGCATAAATTATGCTGAATACTGAATATTTCAAATGTCAAGGTTTTTTTGAGTTACTAAGGCTTGAACTTCATAGGCAAGCACTCTACCACTTAAGCCACACCCAATGCTTTTTGCTTCCATTATTGTTGAATAGAGTGCTGCATTTTCTGACTGGGCTAGTCTGGACTGTGATCTTCCTTTTTGTTTTTCTAGGCAGTGGAAGGACAGGCATGAATCATTATACTAAGTTTTCTTACTAAGATGGGGTCTTAAAAACATTTTGCCCAGCCTGGCTTTGAACAGATCTTCCAATCACAGCTTTCTGAATAGGTAGGATTACAGAGGTGAGCCCCTACACCTGACTACTTGAACATTTTCATGCTTGACATTAAGCACTTTACATGCGTTATTACTTTTAAAAAATTCTCATAATCACCTCGCATTCATGCTCCTACTTCCCACAAGTGAGGACAGTGGTGACCACACGGGCTGGAAAGTGAGTCAAATCTCCAGAATTCACATATGCTTGCCACAAAATTGGAATACATGTCTTAAGTACTAATTTAATTTTAAAGATAAAATTTACAAAACATACCTGAGGTGAGAGAAATCTTTCAATACGTTTGGCTATAAAACCTTTCTCCAATATGGAGTTGACTGATGGTCTATCCTTAGGATTTCTCTTAAATAACTGAGAAAGCAAATTGCGGAGATCATAGGAATAATGTGAAGACACTGGTGGAAAAGATCCAGATATTATCTTCAGTACGAGGTTCTTCATATTGCCAGCTTCAAACTAAAAGCCAGAAAACAAATCAATACATAGGAAGTACATAAAGCTTGAAAGTGGGGATATTAGCAATGATAAATAGTTCTTTTCCTATTAATATAGAATAGAAATACAACCCTCTTCCAAATTATGAACATATGCTCTCTAAAGCAAACTTTATTTAGTTATCTATAAATGTACTTCAGAGAGGATATCACTCCTCAAAAATAACCATTATAACACACATGACTCATTTTTACATATTCAACATGTCAAGAGATGATATAGGTATTAAATATAGTAAGTATTTCATAAACCATGATAATAATTGAGTGTTCATGAAGTTTTACCTTACAGGTAGCAAAACCAGGGCCAAAGAACCACAGAAGGGATAAAAAACAGAAGACCTGCACTTAGGACATGACTTCCTTTAAATCTGTTATAATGATTAGAATAAGAAATTATAGAACTACAGCATTTGGAAAAATATATTAAATAAATATACTACATTTTTTTTCCTGCTAGACAATGTTTCTTATTATTAATTAATCTATTTATTTATTTATTATTGCCAGTACTGGGGTTTGAACTCAGTGGCTTGTCCTCCTGACTAAAGGTCGGCACTGTACTACTTAATAGAGTTAGTGTTTTAAAACTTTTTAAATATTTGCTGGTTAATTGGAGATAATAGTCTGCCTGGATTGTCTTCAAAGCCAAATACTCAGATTTCAGCCTGAGTAGCTAGGATTACAAGCATGAGCCATCAGTACCAAGATCACTGTTATTATTTTTTGTGTGTAATGCTGTTTACAGCTATAGAATAAACAATGTTGCAAATATTCCCAAAGGGAATATAAGCTATATTAACAGCTCTATATGTTTAATAATACTAATATATGTTTTAGGATTAAATACAATATAACTACTGCTATAAAAAGAATGTAGAGGTGAGATAATTTAAAGATGGTTTTATGCTAACGTAACAGTTGGGTTTTTTTATTTGTGTGTGTGTGTGTTTTGTACCTATACTAGGGATAAAACTCAGGACCTGAGTGCTGTCCCTCATCTTTATTTTCACATCAAACTGGCACTCAATCAATTGAGCTTCAGCTCCACTTCTGGCTTTTTGGTGGTTACTTAGAAATAAGAATCACATAGACTTTCCTGTCTGGATATCTTCCAACCATGATCCTCAGATCTCAGCCTCCTATTAGCTAGGATTATAGGCCTGAGCCACCAGTATATGGCTAACATGAATATATTCTTAATATAAACATCAAATAAACAAAATGAGCTATCAATTAGACATCAACGATTATACCACCTATTATAAAAGTTCACCTAGAACATTTAAAAATATCATTCAGCTTATAAAAATTTAAATAAATTTATTCTTATAAAAATATCTGTGCTCCTAAAAAGGAATCTTAGCCATGAAAAGAAGAAAAGATATTTTTCTCTAATTCCTTTATCTTTCAACTGACAAGCACTTCATGGACAAAGGTGAGGAACTATTTAGTTTTATGAGGTACTCAGTTTCATTACTTAGTAAATTCCAAGGCCAGGCATCTCACCTGTAATCCCAGCACTTAGGAGACTAAGGAAGAAAGATGGTGATTTTTAAGGCCAGCCTGGGCTACATACAAACAAAACAACAACAAAAAAAAAAAAAGAAAGAAAGAAAAAAGAGTAACTGATTCCAAAATATAGAGGCTATAGTGGCAGACATGATCAGTGTAAGATTTACCTAAATAAACAGTGGTTTAATCCCAAAATTACTGTCACAGAAAATGGACAAATTTGTTTAAATACAAATATATCTGATAACCACAATTCTGTATCACTTCAGCATCTTGTTTTTCTTAAGAAAAATAAAATTTAAGACAATACCAAAGTGTATGTAGCCATTAAAAAGAAATTCAAAGAAGGCACACTCCAAGTATTATCAAGCAATAAACAAGCTATAAAACTACATAGACAGTATAATCAAACTATTGGGAAGAAATAATCCAGAATTTATTTTATAAATTAATCTATAACAAAACTTAGAGGAAAATAACAAATAGTATAGGTTGTTACAGCTGGTTGGAAGAACTGTTCATTATATTTAGTTACTTATTTATAAATGTATGTATTTTCTGAAATTGTGTGTAATGAAAATATTTTGTCAGTCAGTGGAAAAAAAAATTTAAGAAGAGATTTTAAAATGAAAAGTGATTAAGACTACTCAGGACAAAAATTCTCCTTTGTTATGTTTCATGCTATTAAAAAAAGTCTCAAACTAAAACAATAAAAAAAGAAAAGTTAGAATTATACTCTAGGAAGCACTTAAATTGATAAAATTCATTTTGAGGGCTGGGAAGGTGGCTCAGTGGTAGAGTGCTTGCCCTGCATGCATGGGGCCCTGGGTTCGATTCCTCAGTACTACATACACAGAAAAAGCTGGAAGTGGCGCTGTGGCTCTAGTGGTAGAGTGCTAGCCTTGAGCAAAAGACGTTCAGGACAGTGCCCAGGCCCTGAGTTCAAGCCCCAGGACTGACAAAAAAAAAAAAAATTCATTTGAGCATATTGAACAAACTTCCATAAATAATTTTCGATTCCGAATTTTAAAAAAAAATGTAAGGTTTATTTTTTTGTTATTTTTGAGACAGTCTTACTATGAAGCCCAGGCTGGCTTTGAACTCAAGATCTGCTATCTCACACTCCTAAGTGCTGGGTTTAAAGGCATGTACCACCATGATCAGCTTAACTTGGGTATTTTGAGACAACTTGCTAAAAGGAAATTCAAAGATGGATTTACATTAAGAGGAAAGCAACAGCAGATGCTGGTAGCTCACACCTATAATCCTAGGTATTCAGGAGACTGAGACCTGAGTTCGAAGCTAGCCCAGTCAGGAAAATCCATGAGACTCCTCTCCAATTCCCCCACCAAAAAGCGAGAAGTAGAGCTGTGGCTCAAGTGGTAGGGGCACTAGCCTTGAGCAAAAAAGCTAAGGAATATCAGCAGGCCCTGAGTTCAAGCCCTTCAACTGGCACCAAGGAAAAGAGCAAGTTTGTGTTTCTATCAATAGAAATACTTTAATAAAGTATGAACTATAACATCAAATATGTAACATGCAAATATGCTAGGAGTAAATCAATTTGGATATACACTCAGAAAGTAAATTTAAAGTAAATTTAAAAACTAAGAGAAAAATTTCTAGTCCAAAAGAATCATCTGAAAGATGATGTAATTAAAATATATTCCAGAAACTTTTACTTACTGCATGTTTAAGTGTACACATCTCATAAAGGACACACCCCAGAGCCCAAATGTCACTAAAGAAGACAAAAATGAGAGTTTTATTTTCACCATCAGAATATACTTTAAATATTTTCATTTAAAGGAAACAGAAGTGGCACAGAAATGCATTGGAAAAATATGTGGTCTGTAAAGCATTTTCTTTAAAAATCAAAAACTAAATGACAACAATAGCTGCTCAAAATTAGACAATAAGTTGCCTAAGCAGTTAGTTTAAAATTTCATTTAACAAATTTAATATCTGAATATAAGTGGTAAAGGAAATTCATATCTATTCCATTTATTTGGTTTTGTTTGGTAAAATTCAACTTGCTTTATTCAATGATTTGCAAAAAATTCTGGCATTTTAAAATATATACAAGGAAAATATGGTCTCACATTACTATGAAAAATACAAATTTACAAAAGAAAGAACTATATCAGCAGCAACTAATAAAGGTACTTTGTTGAAATTTTTTCATCTGAAGGAGGAAGAGAACATAAAGGGTCACTGGAATTCAATGGCAGACTTTCACATTCTTCTGTTTTACAGCATCTTAGTTGTAGTGGAGCTCAGTGTTAAAATATATGTTTGGAAAGCACTTAACAGTGTCTGGTATACAGTATGTGTTCAATAAATACTAGCTACAATTCAGTAGGAAGTGACCAGTTCAAAGGGAAAGACAAAAGAAAGTACTCTGCTTCCAATTACAATGGAATTGTAAATAATGGAATTCTTCCTATATCTTCTTCAGTAAGATACCAAGAAAATAATCTTTATGTACATGTACATTGCTGATTTTATAATAGTATTCTCAAAGTTAAACATAATGGAACAGTTCAATGAAATATATCATATAATGAATGTCTTTTTAAATACCTTTTATTATTATAAGGCTTGTTTTCACAGATTTCAGGTGACAAGTAGTATGGGGTTCCTATACAAGTTCGAGCCAGCTCTACAGTACTAAAACAACAACAAATTATTAACAAACTTCATATAAGAAAATAAGCAATAAATTATCACAAACATATCATGATGAATTGAAATTTCAGTAAAGAAATTATATCAAAATAAACTTCAAGATAAGTATGTTACCTATTAAGAACTCTAGCAATTCCAAAATCTCCAAGTTGTATCGTACCATCTTTGGTTAGAAATATGTTCTGCAAAAGATAGGAAAAAAATCCCACAAATATTGCTGCAGTCTTACCTGTATGAGCCAACAATATATTTATTCAAAGTCTAGTTAAAAAACATTGAGATTACAAGATACCCACATACAAGAAAATAAATGTAGTTTCCTATCTCATACCACATGCAGAAATAAACTCAAAATGGATTCTAAACCTAAATGTAAAACCTAAAACCACAGAACTCTCAGAATAAAATCTAGGAGGAAATTTTCACACCCTTGATAGAAACAATGGTTTCTTAGACATGATACCAAAAGCTCAAATGAATAAAATAAACAAAAAATTAAACTGAACTTCATCCAAATAAAAAATGTGTATCACCTTTGATGCACCATCAAGAAAACAAATAGGGCCGGGCACTGGTAGCTCACACCTGTAATCCTAGTTACTCAGGAGGCTGAGATCTGAGGACCATGGTTCAAAGCCAACACAGGCAAGAAAGTCCATGAGACTCTTATATTCAATTAACCATCAGAAAATTGGAAGTGGTGCTGTGACTCAAGTAGTAGAATTCTTGCCTTGAGCTGAAGAGGTCAGGGACAGTGCTCAGGCCCAGGGTTCAAGCCCATGATCCTCAAAACCAAAAAAAAAAAAAAAAAAACAACAACAAATAGGTTATCTACACAATACTGTGTATTGTGGCATAGCATGTATCTGAAATGACACATATCTAGAAAAGGAACTCTTACAATTCAACAACAGAAAGTTTAAATTAGGAGAAAGGCATCTACTATGTTAGTTCCATTTAAATAAAATGTCTAGAACACAAAATCTGGACATAGGAAGTGGATTAGTGGCTATCACAGTCTTGGTGGAAGAGGAATCAATGAATGTATGTAGTTTCTCTCCGAAGTGCCTAAAGTGTTCTGGAATTAAGACACTACACAATGGGATTTGCTCCATCAGAAGGAGGGAGTTAGGGGGGGGACTATAAAAAGTAAGAAGCCGTTTTCAACATAGTGTCTTGTATATCTCATTGTTACAATGGATCAACCTGTATCCTTGTTTCAGCATTTTATTTCCCTTCCCCTCTCCAAATTAGAAAAATGTATATACAAAATGCAGGGCACCAGAACCAAATACAGTGACAACAGGGGTTATACCATGGGAGAGAGGGAGGAGTTGGGAAGATAGGAAGGAATAGTAGGGGAAAAACTAAGGCGGGGATAACAATGCTCATTAGGAAATGTACTCATTTCCTTACTCATATAACTGTAACCCCTCTATACAGTATCTTTACAATAAAAAATATTTAAAAAAAAAAAGAGTAAGGGGGCTGGGGAGGTGGCTCAGTGGGTAGAGCGCTTGCCTTGCATGCATGAGGCCCTGGGTTCGATTCCCCAGCACCACATAAGCAAATGAAAAAAGCCAGAAGTGGCGCTGTGGCTCAAGTGGTAGATCGCTAGCCTTGAGCTAAAAGAACTGAGGGACAGCGCCCAGGCCCAGAGTTCAGGCCCCATGACTGGACCTCCCCCCCCCCCCACCCCCCCCCCCCCCCCCCCCCCCCCCCCCCCCCCCCCCGCCTAAAAAAAAAAGAGTAAGAAGCTGGGCACTGGTGGCTCACGCCTGCAATCCTAGTTACTAAGGAGGCTGAGAGGATCACCGTTCAAAGCCAGCTGGGGCAGAGAAATCTGTGAGACTCTTATATCCAATTAACCACCAGAAAACTGGAAGTGGCACTGTGGCTTAAAGTGGTAGAGTACTAGCCTTGAGCAAAAGAGCTCAAGGACAGCATCCAGGTTCATGTCCCATGACCAAAAGAAAACAACAACAAAAACCAAAAAACAAAACCAAACTAAGCAGAGATCTAACATACAGTGCATAAAGAAGATTCTAAGATCTGGGTCAAGGGGGACCAAGGAAAGAAAAGATAGACAATTCCTCATACACTGCTTTCGGCCCAAAAGCTGTGGCTCCAGACAACATGGCTCCATGTCTTTATCCACTGACAAGTTATTAGTGACAGAAAGAACAAACCTGTGATTTTATGTCTCGATGAAGAATTTTCCTATCATGTACATGTTTCAGGGCCAAACATATCTGAACAAACCAGTCCAAAATCTAGGGAGAAAATCAAATAAAAAAATTTCAGAAACGCTCTGAAATATTGCTTAAGTCAAAAAGTATGAAAAGAAACTTGAAGAGGCAATTTATACCTTGTAATATTTGATAGTGTATAACTTGTTCATTTTTAAATTCGGCTTTTTTTCAGTAAAAATAAAAATCACATGAGTAGAAATTTGGAAAGCAGGCCTGACCTATGCTTTCCTGTGTTCACTACAAATAAACACCTTCTCAGGAACTGGCCATTTGGAAGGAAGTAAAGCTTAAATTCTACCTCATGCCTAACACCAAAATAATTCCAAGTAGAGGGCATTTAAGCTAGTTTAAAATATATATACATTTTAAAATTCATATAAACTGAAAGCAGCAATTTTGGTTTCAAATTTATTCTACAAACATAATACCAGAAATATTAAGGTGGGTATACAAGGATGTTTGCTGTAGCACAATTGGTCAGATCAAAAACAATAAACAACACAAATATCCATTAGGAGGATTGATTCAATATGAGAGTATATACAGGCAGCCAACAAAAAGAATCACTTCTATGTGTATTTGTGCATATTAGTTGAACAAAAACGTTGCAGAATACTATAGTATATACTCCTGTTTTTTTAAATATATGCTTATCCCATACAGCTGCATTCTGTATATGTGTGTGTGTGTCTATGTGCACATGCATGTAGGAAGGAAAGAAGGAATAGGTAGGGAAACAACCAGTACACAAGGTTTATCTCAAGAAAGTGGCTTTGCAAAAGGTGGAATAAAAAGTAATAAGCTATCCCTGTTTTCCTCTGTTCACTATTTGTGTGTGTGTATGTGTGTGTGTATACGCATGTTCATGCTGGGGCTAAATTTAATAAAGTTGCTATTCAAAAGCTGCTAACCTCCAGAGCTGGAGTTACTTGGCAAGACTACGTTTGGGGAACATAAGTCTGGAAGCACTGATACCATACAGGTTAACTATTTGTAATTTCTATACAGAGCTATATGTATGTATAAAATATACACATAGAATATAACACTTAATTACACAGGTAGCAATATATTATTACAGACCGGAAATGCGCTAAAGAAGCTGACCAAAGGTTGCAGTGAATTAGAAAGTGACCAATATATTGAATATGATACCAGATCACTCTAGTATTTACAATTAAGATTTGTAGCCAGATAACATACATAATCAGACTTTTTAATTACTTCTTGATAATGTAGTAAAAATTAAGCTCCTACATGCTAACTTACCTGATCTTCTTGGAAAAATAAGCCCTTCTGAGCATTTATACGTTTGAACAGGTCTCCTCCTTCACAGTAATCCATTACTATGTAAAGAGAGCCATTTTCTACAAAATATAAACACTCTATTATATTTCTTTTAAAGCTTTATCAAGTGCACAGTTAATTAAAGGTACTTAAAGCTACACTAAAAAGCAGCAGCTAGACAAATAAAAGCAGAAGTATACTCAAAGAATTGGAGCACAAAATCAAAGTATACTGGTAATATAGACTGTACAATGACCTAGGTTACAAGCAACTCCACCTCAACCAATTAAAGAAAAAGCTAAGCATGATGGCCTGTACCTGTCATCCCAACTACTCAAGAAATATAAATAGGAGAACGTTATCAAATTCATTTTATTTAGTCAGTATTACCCTCATTCCCAAACTAGAGAATTACAAACCAATCTGTTTAATGAACATAGATGCATAATTTCTCAATTAAGTATTTTCAAACAATTCAACAAAACATTAAAGAGATCAAACACCATAAACAAGACAAAGTTCAAGAATGAAACATGCAAGGATGGTTCAGTTTATTAAAGGATGAACTATGTACAATGGTTTAACCTATTAAATGTAAAACAGCACAGAAATAAATAATATCAGGGACAAAATTCATACAATCATCTCGATTAAAGCAGAAAAAGTCTTTGGCAAAATTCAACATCCTTTATGATAAATGTTCTGAAGAAAAAGGTCAAGGGCTGGGAAGGTGGCTCAGTGGTAGAGCACTTGCCTTGCATGCACGAGGCCCTGGGTTCGATTCCTCAGCACTACATAAGCAAAAAGAAAAAACCCGGAAGTGGCGCTGTGGCTCAAGTGGTAGAGCGCTAGCCTTGAGCTGAAGAGCTGAGGGACAACGCCCAGGCCCAGAGTTCAGGCCCCACGACCGGACCCAAAAAAAAAAAAAAAAAAGAAAAGAAAAAGGCCAATATGGAGGTGTTACTCAGCTAATCACAGGAGGACAACCAATCACTCCAGTGCGGAAGCAGATGTCCAAAGTCTCTGGAGTGGTACAAGGATGCCCCAGAACCTGGATTCTGAACATAATGTACATCATTTAGGTGTGGTTGGTTAGCTGACTACTTGGTGAACAGATTTACTTTATTTTGGAGCAGCATTCCTCCCATAATTGTGTTTCTGAATCTTATGAGTTTAACAGCCAAAGTGTGTACCTTTGTGTTCCTCCCCTAAGAGTATCCTCCTTTGGTTTTACTGTGTGTGAATACCTAGAGTCCTGTATACTTTATCAGGTATTTTAGATCTACCTTCTGGATATGTCTCTCTGAGCATGGCTTAACTCACTTAACATGATTTGTTCTAGGTCTATCCTTTTCCCTGAAAATGATGTAATAGTCTAATGACTGTGTAAAATTCCATTGTGTGTAGGACTCATTCATTTATTGAGCATCTGGGCTATTTCTATAACTTTGCTTTTGGGAACAGTCACTCTGCCCACTCTTATTCAATAGTACAGGAATCACTAACCAGAGCAAAAAGGCAAGAGAAAGAAATTTATAAAAATTCAAAGGAAAGTATCCAAATAAAAGGAAGACATCAAATTATATCAAATAAAAGGAAGACATCAAATTATATCAAATAAAAGGAAGACATCAAATTATGTAATTCTATGATATGATTCTATACTTTAAAGACCCTAAAGTTTGCACCAAAACTCTACTAGAAATAAACACTTGGCAATGTAGTAGCATATAAGATCAATATACAAAAATCAGTAGCTTTTCTATGCAATAAACAAGCTGAGTGAAAAATCAAAACAAGTCAGGAAAGCAATTCCATCACAACAAAATAAAACAAAAAATCTAGGTATAAGCTTAACCAAGGTGGTGAAAGACCTTTACAATGAAAATTATGTAAGCTTAAAGAAGACACCAGAAGACGGAAAGATCTCTCAAGTTCGTGGATTGGCAAAAACAATACATAAAAATGGCCATACTGCTGAAAGCAATCTACGGATTCAATGAAATGTGCATCAAAACCCCCATATCAGTTTTCACAGAAAAAAAAATTCAAGTTCAATTTGCATGATAATACCTGCAGTGCTTTACTATTCCTAAACCAGAGATATAAAGCTCTTAAATACAGTTCTCTTTACATTTTAATGAACAGCATTAATGACTGACAGGTTAAGTGGGTTTGTTTTTATCAGCAACAAAGGGTGGCAAGGATATAGAGGAGAAAGAAATGTAACTAGTAAAACCACTAAAGATAGCAGTATGGAGGTTCAGCAATAATCTAAAAATGCATTCACAAAGTAATTCTTTATAAAGAAAATACCCCCAAATTACAAGTGGCTTAGGGCTTATCTTGAACTTGCTTGAGAATGTTAATCTGACCTTCAAATGATTCTCTGTACTGGACAATATTTGGGTGCTTCATGTTTGCCAACACTGCAACTTCCCTCCTTGATTCTTCCCTTTCTTTACTTGACATCTTGAATGGGAGGAAAAAAAGAATACAATGAATTTAATTGACAGAAAGTCCTAAGTCTATCATTAATAAAGTGATTAAATATGGTAGTTATATAGTTCAAATGACAAAAACTAGGAAGAAATTAAAAGTGATGACTCTATAAGCAAAAATATATCTAATCTACATTCAAGAATAGTAGGTAGATCTTTCTAACTACAAAAAACATATATATCAGAAAAGCTCTGAAAGAATATACACAGGGCATTATTATACATTGCTATAGTTTTTAGGGCTCTACCAAAGAGCTCTAATTGTGTATGAAACATTGTGTAATGAAACTATAAAGATACTTACTTTTGAGATGTTAATTTCCTTGATAACATACTGTCTGCCATCCTCTGAAGATTTAACAAGAACTGCTTTACCAAATGAACCTTCTCCAATCTTTTGTAGTCTCACATATTTCTCCATGTTTCTTTTTTTAAGGCATTTTTATACCTATGCTAGATATTAAAAAGTTAATCAAGATAAGTCTCATAGCAATCAGGAAGTTTGATACAAATTCTAATTAAAAGGCACTGGGTTGTTTCATACCTATAATTCTACTAGGATACTACTAACTACTCAAGAGACTGAGATCTAAGAATTGTCATTCAAAGTCAGCTTGGAAAGCTAAATCCATCAGACTCATATCTCAATTACCCAGCAAAAAGCTGAAAGTGAAGGTGTAGCTCATATAGTAGAGTGTTTGCCTTGAGTGAAAAAAAAAAAACAAGAAACAAGAGTGAAGGTCCTGAATTCAAACCCCTATACCAGCACTAAAAAGGATTTTAACATCTTTACTTGGAATTTTAAACTATTTCAATTCTACTCATGAAACGTATTTATAGAGAAACCAAAACCAGTGACATTTCCATTCTATAAGAATGTTTTGGGAAAGAAAAAGAAAGGTACAATGCCTATGTGCATCTGATTTTACAAAATAATATTTATCAACATGAACTCCAGGAAATGAAAACAAGAGGTTTTTTTCTTTTTTGTTGCTTTTCTTTCCTTTTTGTTCTGTTTGTTTATATGTCTTTGGTAGTGTAAGGGAAGACAGAGAAATGGAGGAACAAAAGGTGAACACAGGGAGCAATAGTACTCACTGCACACTATGTTGAAAATGAACTACACGACTTATGGGTGGGTATGGGAGGGGTGTCATTATCCAAAAAGAAATGTACTCATATATAAGACAAAGGGTATGGGGCATAACCAAAGGGAAAAAAAAGAAAGAACTGCAAACAGTAAAAAAGTCATTTCCATTTCTTGGAGTTTGTTTCGATAAGCATCATTTTATGTGGTCATATGCACATAGCTATTGAGCTATTGTGATTCTCTGCTAAGAATATCCTAGACATATTTTGTTATTACAAATGAGAGAAATCATGCAGCCTATGTTTCTTATGCTTGCTTCACTTAGTTTTTTCCAAGTCTTTCCATTTCCTTACAAATGGGCAATGTCATTCTTTTTGATGGAAGAACAGAATTCCAGTGTGTGTGTGTGTGTGTGTGTGTGTGTGTGTGTGTGTGTGTGTGTGTGTGTGTGTGTGTGTGTGTGTGTGTGTGTGTGTGTGTGTGTGTGTGTGTGTGTGTGTGTGTGTGTGTGTGTGTGTGTGTGTGTGTGTGTGTGTGTGTGTGTGTCACATTTTCTTGATCCATTCACCTACTGAGGGGTATCTGGGCTGGTTCCATATCTTAGCTATGCAATGAACATGGTTGTGCTGCTAGCTTAAGTGTTGTCTTGTTTGTGGTCATTTGAGTAAATGCCTAGGAGTGGGATATCTGGGTTACAGGGGAGCTCTATGCTTTTTCATTTCTGTACCCTTTGTCTTGTTTGTATAAGTTTATCTGATTTTCAGAAGGAAAGGGGAATCACAGAAACATAGGGAAAAAGGGTAAACCAATGTTACAGTGATATACATTAGACCCTATGTTGGAAATAAACAATTTGGGGGAGAGAAGATGGGACGGGGACTGGGGGGACAGGAGGAGCATATGAGGGAGGGCATAACACTGCTCAAAAAGAAATGTACTCATTACCTTACTTATGTAACTGTAACCCCTCTGTACATCACCTTTACAATTTAAAAAAAAGAAAGAAAATTAGCAGTGACTTTATAAGCATGTTTCATTGCAGAACTAGGAAAAAATACCAAAAAAATTTTAGCTTCCAAAAAAAAAAAAAAAAAATACTCTTGCTGGGTGCCAGTGGCTCATACCTGTAATCTTACCTACCCAGGAAGCTCAGATCTGAGGACTGTGGTTTGAAGCCAGCTCAGGCAGTAAAGTCTATGAGACTATTATGTCCAATTGACCACCAGAAAACTAGAAGTGGTGCTGTGGCTCAAAGTGGTAGAGCGCCAGCCTTGAGTGAAAAAGCTGAAGGACAGCGCCCAGGCCCCAAATTCAAGCACCAAAACAAAAGCAACAACAAAAAAAAAAAACAAAAAAAAACAAGGAATGTACACTTTACCTGAGTTATGTAACCATAATCCCTCTGTAGATTACCTTTATTATAACGATAAAATTTTTAAAGAATGTTTTTAGAACACCAAATATTATATATGCTTACGTACATGCAGAGAAGGACAAACTTTTCCCTACATGAATTAATTATTAACAGTATTTTATTGTCTCTGATAAGAATGCAAGCTTGTTAAAATGCTGCAAGTTACTGATGCTATTGCTTTGCTATTATAAAGCAACTTCAGGTAAAATGTCTGTATCTATATTTTAATGTACTTACTGCAAAAATTTCCTTAAGGGGCTGGGAAAGTGGCTCAGTGGTAGAGCACTTGCCTTGCATGCCTGAGGCCCTGGGTTTGATTCCTCAGCACCATATAAGCAAAAAGAAAAAAGCCAGAAGTGGCGCTGTGGCTCAAGTGGTAGAGCACTAACCTTGAGCTGAAAAGCTGAGGGACAGCGCCCAGACCCAGAGTTCAGGCCCCACAACTGGACCTCCCCCCCAAAAAAATTTCCTTAAGGGTCAGGTGTTGGTGGTTCACGCCTGTAATCCTAGCTACTCAGGAGGCTGAGATCTGAGGATCGCGGTTCAAAGCCAGCTAGGGCAGAAAGCTCGGGAGACTCTTATCTCCAATAAACCACTCAGAAAATAGGAAATGGCACTGTAGCTCAAGTGGTAGAGTGCCAGCCTTGAGCTGAAGAGCTGAGGGACAGCGCCCAGGCCCAGAGTTCAAGCCCCAAAACCAACAAAACAAAAAACAAAAAAAAATCCTTATGGTTTGTAAACACATTATTTAGGTGTTGCCCATCAATTTATATTCTAATCTGCTCACAAATCTCCTTATTAACACTAGCTATTATTTATTAAAATCTGAGAGGTAATATAAGCCAATAAAGGGCATATGCCATTATATGTCTTTATGAGTCTCAGTATATTCACTTGTCAAATAAACATATACGCCTACACAATCACTGGGAGAATTAGTTAAGTAATATATTAAGAACTGTCTGGCACATCTGTAGCCCCTGTTTGTTATTTTAATCATTATGTTGGTTAAGAGATGGTGTTTCATTTTTATTTGTGTGTGAGGGGGTGGTAACTCAGGGCCTAAGTACCATTCTTTAGCTTTTTCCACTCAAGGCTAACACTCTACAACTTGAGTCACAGTTCCACTTCTATTTTTGGTGGTTAACTGGAGATAAGAACTTCATGGATTTTCCTGCCTATGCTGATGTTGAAACATGATCCTCAGATCTCAGTCACCTCAGCAGCTCAGCTTTTGAATTTTTTCACCTACTATTGAAATAAAATAACATCCACAGTAGTTAAGCATTTGTTAAACATGTCTTCTCTTTTAAACTATTCCCATATCTTTGCCTGGTTCTTACTAGCAGTCTTTATTAACTTTCAAAATGTCTTTATGCAATGAAGTACTTATCTGTCAACTAGACTTTTCTCCTTATATACTACATACCTTTCAATTTTATCTGAATGCAAATTGCATTTGAAACAAAGTAGCTACATTGGCCTTGAACTCAGGTTTCCCTACCTCAGCCTCCCAACTACTAAGATTACAGGTGTGTGAACCATCATGACTAGTTAGATGTGAACAAACTTATTTTATATATGTTTTGCTTTTGGTATCACATACTCTTTTTTTTTTGGTTGGTCGTGGGGCTTGAACTCTGGGCTTGGGCGTTGTCCTTGCGCACTTCAGCTCAAGGAGAGCGCTCTACCGCTTAAGCCACAGTGCCACTTTCAGTTTTCTAGTGGTTTATTGGAGGTAAGAGTCTCATAGACTTTCCTGCCCAGGCTGGCTTTGAACTGTGATCCTCATATCTCAGTCTCCTGAGTAGCTAGGATTACAGGCATGAGCCACCGGTGCCCCGCTCAACATACTCTTATTTATTTTGGGGGCACTGGAGTCTGAACTCAGGTCTATGTGCTTGCCAAGCAGACACTCTACACTTGATTCTGATCCCCAGACTTTTTTTTTTTTGCTTTAGTTGTTTTTCAGATAGGATATTGAAATTTCACCTAAAACTGGTCCCAGACTGTGATCCTCCTACTTATGCTTCCCACAAAAATGGGATTACAAATACACACCAACATACTGCCTTATTTGTTGAGGTTTTTGCTCTTTATTTTTTGAGATTTTGCTAACTTTTGCTACAGTAGCCATGAACTGTACTTCTCTAAATCTCTACCTCCTGAGTAGCTGGGATTACAGGGACAAACCACTTCCCCTAGGCACAATTACACATTTATAAACTGCACAGCTTTATAGTTCATCTTATTATAGACAATACTAAGCTTGGCTTATTTAATAAGATGTGGTCTTGTTAAGATTTTGCCCAGGCTCGTCTCAAATTGGGATCCTATTATACCTGCATTCTAAGCAGCTGTGATTAAACCCAGCCACACTTTCACTGTTATACAACACTCCACCATACTTAAACTCTTATACCAACATAAATGATTAAGGTGATCCAAGACAGTGGTTACTTAAGGAGAAGCTAGAATACATTAGGTAGTGAAAGCTTAGAAAATGTGTATGAATGTTGGTGTGTGTAAAAGAGAAAGAGACAGAGAGAGACACAAGAGGGGGAGGAAGATTACTACTTTATTACAAAAGTAATAGACCAACCCATTCACAAGATCCCCCTTAACATGGATATATGTGAATTCACTATGTTAATCTGACTTTTCTGAGGCTTAATTTCTACATCTAAAAAGAGTAAAGATTAAAATATAGCCAGGTGCCGGTAGCTCATGCCTGTAAGCCTAGCTACTAACGAGGCTGAGATCTCAATATCATGGCTCAAAGCAGCCCGGGCAGGAAAGTCAGGGAGACTCCTATCTCCAATAAACCACCAGAAAACCAGAAATGGTGATGTGGCTCTAGTGGTAGAACTAGCCTTAAGCTGAAGAGCTGAGAAACAGTGCCTAGGTCTAGAGTTCAAGCCCCATGACCACCAGCAACAACAACAGCAACAAAAAGATTTAAATATAATGTGTCTTAAATTTCTTAACAAAAAACAAAGTAACCTAGATTAGAAACATCAGATCTAAGCCTTCTGAATAGTTAGGATTACAGAAAAAAAATCCTTTAACAATTTCCCATTTCTAAATTCCTCACTGTGACATTTAAAGTTTTTCTATGGCACCAAGCAACTTTTCAAAAATGATAATTATGCTCCAAAAATAGTATCTCAGCCTCTAGTGAAATTAGATTTTTCAGATGGTTTTTTCCTAAGAATTTTCTTTGAAGTCACAAGCAATGTTAGACAAAACAAAAGACCAGGACCAAATATGAAAAATGACATTATATGAAAGAAAACTTGCATCCTCATCAATCTGGAAGACAGGCATTAAGCCTTTTTTTCAGATTTGACAGAATGATCTGAAGAGAAATAGTAAAAAGATGGCAATAGATTTTAAGCAGTCTTTTGCTACAATCTGTCTCTACAATCTACGCAGTTCTCCCAAAACAGTACCAACTCAAACTATAGAAAGTGGTTTAAACTACCTTCTCAAAGAAAACCTCTTATTTCTCATTGCTTAGAAAAAGTAGAAAATGAAAGCAGACCCCTAACAGACTTTTTCAAAATATGTGCTTTTCTGTAATATGTGATTTTCTATTCAGATATAGACTTTCTATTTGTGAAAAGGTATCATGTTCATGATGTAGACTAGAAGGGAGGAGATAAGACAGTAAAAATTATTTGGAACACAACACTAATGTATTATTAACACTGGCTCGAAAGAACTCCACTCTCAAGTTCTCTAACCTTTACCAAGTTTCTAACAGACTCTTACTGTGCAGAAACCAGTTTCTTCACAAAATAGGCTCCTTACTTTTCCTCTAGGACAAAGGTGGTTTTATATTAACTAGAGCTGTAGATCCTCTACCATCAGACAAATCTAGCCTAGAAAGAACTTCTTTTCTTTCATATTTGGCTTCCCTCCACCATCCCTACAATACTCCCACATTATAATAAGAAGCCATCATTATCATAAGTTGGCTAGAAGTTTTAAACCTTCATAAACTTTTCTGATGTAATTTACCAAGACAATTGAAAATATTTCTACCTCTTGGAGTGGATTCTGCATGAGAGAATAAAAACAGGCACATATTTAAAAGTTAAAGGGGTTGCGTGTATAGAGAATTTGCCTACCTGGGTTCAATTTCCAGAAGCACAACTTTTATAGTACAACTTCTAACATATGAAAACTGCATCAAATCATTGAAAGAGACATGTAAGATTGTAGGATTTCTAGTTAATTGCCGTCCACTTTGTCCACCCAATTAAATATATGCAGGTCATATAAGATCAAAGATAGTAATACAAGTAACTGAAATGACAGTTTAGCCTATTCCTTTAATTGCATTGCCGTTCTAGTTTTTAAAATAATGAATAAAGGTTTCTTTGAAACGCAGTTTCCTAGAAAAGTAGTATTTTGATGAGAGGAAGGTGTTTTTACCTGTGAACACTGAAAGTGAGAACGCATGCAATGTCTACACGAGCCAAGGGTCGGTACTCCGCGGGTCACCGCTTTCCCCGCCGAGTGCAACTCACCTCAATGACACAGGACTTTAGGAGGAATAACGGTGATGCTCGACGACCACCGGTCCAGAGCTGTCAGTCTTCCCACGGGACTTAAGGCAGAGGCTTCTCCGTGCATTTAAAAACATGCCATCCTGAAAGAGAAACCAAGGCAGTCTAACCTCACTGCAGCGTCGGCGGGGCGCTGGGGCTCTCGCACACCTGAAGCCTCAGGCTTGACCCCGTTCCACCTGATGCAATGCCCAAGAACTACGCTCACAGGACCCGGACGCAGCGAACGAGCGGGCTCCGACGCCCCTAGACACGGAGGGAGGGCGGCCGGGGGGGGGGCGCCCCCGTTACCACGGCGCCCCCGTTACCACCGCTCCCCGCCACGCCGAGGTCGTTGCTAGCGGCCTCAGCAAGGCGAGGCACCGGCAGCATCTGGGACAGGGAAGATACCTGACTGCACGCCCCAAAGCCTCGCAAGGGGCTCTAGAGGCCGAGGTGTGAGGACAACCGCACAGGACCGCAAGGGAGAGACTGCACACCCGAGCGCCCCCAAGCCCGAGAACTAGTGCAGAAGAAGGGGGAGCGGCCGACGCGTCGGCGGCGCTAGCATGTGACGTCAGCGCGCGGGAGCCGGCGCGTAGCCGGAGGGGCGGGGCGTATCTGCGGGCGGGGCGATACTAGGGGGGCAGGGTATAGATCTGGGGGCGGAGCGTATCCACTGGCGACGCGTGGCAGGGCGTTGCTAGGGACGGGACATAGCTCTGGGGCGGGGCGTAGCCGCGGACTAGGTAGAGCGGGGGCGTGCCCCTGGGAAGGGGCGGGGTCGGGAAGGGGCGTGGCCTGTAACTGGTTGCGGGAGGACCATAAGGTGGGGTTCATGGGAAACTGAACCTGGCCTTCCAACTGTGAGTAGTAAACTGGCAAGGGAACGAATGTCCTAGAAGACTAAAAAGGAAGCTGAGGAGTGTGAAGCCGGGGGCGGGGAAGGCAGAAATGAGGGGGAGATTTCACTCCTGGAAACCGATTCTGAATAAAGCTTGTTTCCTCCCCTAAACGACATAGAAAAAGACTTGTCTTGGTTTTGTTTCCGACCGGAGTGCTCACTGCTCATCAAAGGATGTCCCTCCCCACAGTTAAAAAAGGAACTTTGTGTCAGAGCCGATGGCTCCCACCTGTAATCCCAGGTACTCAGGTGGCTGAGAGTTGAAGATCATGGTTCCAAGCCAGCTGGGCCAGGAAACTCTGTTAGACTTCTGTCTCCACTTGAGCACCCAAAAGCTGGAAGTGGAGGTGTGGCTCAAGTGGCAGAGCCAGCGTTGAGCAGAAAACTAAGGGACAGCGCCCAGGCCCTGAATTCAATCCTTAGTACTGGCACACATAAAATAATTTTGCTTAAAAGGAATTCTTTTTCAATATATTTGAGATGATTAAAACAAGGAAGTATTAGTTTTGACTTTTTAAAAAATAATAGGGTTTTCTATAGCTTTACATTTACTATGTATATAAATTACCTGTGTATTGAAAGCCTCAGCAGTGTATAATAGTCTAAGTACCTTATCCTTCACTGAAAGACTCCAGAAGATACTTGAGGACAGATTCTTCTGAAATTAAATCTCTTAGGTCTGTGGGCTAGGGCCAGTGCAAGGGGAGTGAAAGAATTCACCAAGAGGCAGCGTGTCAAGCAGGGAAGCAATGGTTTATTTACTTTCGAAGCGAGGAAAACACACTATGGGTAGTGCTGGCCCTGAGAGTGGGCTGGGCTGGCGTTTCTATGCATTGAAGATTGAGAAGGTGGTTTGTTTCCTTTTGCAGTTCTAGTTCAGCTAGCTGTTCCAGGAAGCTTCTCAGGTGGCTAGTTTCTCAATGTGTTTTGTTTTGCCAAGGTGGTTTATCAGCTTGTACAATCTTTTCCAGGAATATGTTGTCAAACAGGATACAGGTAGAGTTCTACTTCAACTCAGAAGAGTTGCTGCAAAACAAAGCCAAAAAGCCTTTCTGCCATACAGAATAGAGTCCATTGCACAATGGAGTAGGTTAAACTAGGAATTTGAGTAGGAGGACTTACAAAATCTAGTATCATCATCCTGAGTATTCCTACTGAGTAACATAGAGACCTACTAGATTGTTTTACTTAGAGTAATGTCAAGATAGTGGAGGCCAAACCTGAAGCTATAAGATAGTGGCTTGAATTGCTTTCTTAGTACTGTTGACTTGTAAAGTAGCCACAATGGAAGGACTACAGACTTTGCCGGAGACCTCAGAGGTTAAATGTTTTAGATGTTTACTTCAAGGAAACCCACCTCTTTCTTTCCCCTCTGCTCTCTCATGTAACACTGGAGACAACTTCTCTGGGTTCTGACAGCCTTAGATTGCAAGGTGCTGCTAAAGAATACTTCATTCCTTTCATGGAAGTTGGAAGCTTGACAGCGTCTTGGCCAGAAGATGGCACTGTAAATCACTGTAGCTAGCACACTGGAGAAAATGCAATTCCAATGCAGTACAAGTGACTTTATAATCCTTTTTAAATTTCTAGCAGAACCTCTTGTGTCCTCTCCCACTCCCAATTAGGAATTTTGGTATCTGAATGCAGGAAGAAAGGTGAAACAAGTTAGAAAATAATAAATTACAAAGACGGTTAGGGGTAGAACTATGTATTTTCCTTTTCTAAAGTTTTTGTGTACGTGATCATTAGCAGACCTTGAATTTTATGTATTTGGATAAACAATCTCAACATAGAGCAATCTTTTGCGAAGAAAAGTGTTCCTTAAAATGCAGATATTTTAGTCAGGAAAGAAAAAAGTCAGTGTCTTTCATTTTAGTGTTCCAAATCATTACATTCCAGGCAGGAATTTTTTAGTTTGAAACTACATTATTGAAAGTTTGCCCTAACTGTTGGTACTTTGAATTAGTCATTGGCTATATATATCTAGAATGTAGAAGACAGTTGAATTTCTTGGATCTATTTGATAGCCTAGCTCAATATGCAGAGATAAAACATTACCTAGTTTGTTCCTAAATTACTGTATTTCTGGATTTAGTCACATTTAAGGGCTCATGTTTGAAAAGGGGTGGACATTTTGATAAATAATAAAAGGAAATATTGAGCCTTTAGTTTGGCAGAATGTGAGAAAGTGGTTACTTCATAAGATCGGTTTAAATTATTCCAAAGTGTATCAAGAAAGTGTATCGAGTTTCCCAAGGCTGGGCAGAATTTTGTGAGAGAAAGGGGGGGGGGGGGAGGGGGGAAAGGAAGGAAAAAGGGAGAGGGAGAGGGAGAGAGGGAGAGAGAGAGGGAAACAGAGAGAGAGGATATTACTTGAAACTGGAAAATTTAATGCTCTTAGGTTCAGGGGTAGAAAATGGCTCACAGGACATACAGAAAGCCTGAAAAATCATTTTGTACATGATGGGACAGACACATATGATGTTTGTATGCTTCTTGTTCATTGCTCGACTGTCTAACAGTATTAATAATTTTGTGTGGTCTGAGAATGATGTTATAGATATCCAAATGGTCCTTGGCAGAAAAAATGGCCCCCACCCATGTTAGGGGAAAAAGATAAAGAACAGGAAAAGGTCAGTTTTAACTACTTCCCTGGTGCTGATTGTATCAGGAAGGAATTTTAGAGGGTACAATGACAATATTTTCTTTTTCTTTTCTTCTTTTTGGTGCCAGTCCTGGAGCTTGAACTCAAGACGTAGGCACTGTCCCTGGGCTTCTTTTTGCTCAAGCCTTGCACTCTACCACTTGAACCACAGTGCTACTTCCAGCTTTTTCTGTTTATGTGGTACTGAGGAATTGAATCCAGGGCTTCATGCATGCTAGGCAAGAACTCTACCACTAAGCCACATTCCCAGCCCCTACTATTTTCTTTAAAAAAACAACAACAAAATTCTATGTTTCCCAGGTTGGCCTCCTACTCTTGGGCCCAATTAATTCTCTATCTTCACCTGCAGAGTAACTGTGACTAAAGCCTGTGACTAATAAACTTAATCTCTTCCCAATGTAAGCTCTTTTTCTGAAGCAAGGTCACAATTGCATGAAGAAGATCTATATAGTCTTGTTTGTTGCTCCAATTTTCTGTGGAACTTTAAAAAAGGTCTTAGATTGTTATGGGAATTAATCCCATTTTCCTCACTCCCATGACTTTATGGTATTGAGGTAGACCCCAGAGCCTTAAACATGATAAGCAAGTGCTCTACTACTAAGTTGTGCCTCTCCCCAATCTCCTAGTGGAACTGCTAAAAGAAAAAAGGTGCATCCTATTCATTGGTCATGTGCACCATTTATTTATTTGTTTTTTTATTTGTTTGGTGTCAGCCCAGGTACCAGAAGGATTAAGAAATGAGGTGTCTTAGGCCTGTTTGAAATAAGCTCGTTCCAGTGTGAGTTAATCTTTTTTTCCCCTTTCCTGGAGATCTTAAGGATTGTTGATTGGTAGGTATAGGAGCATTAAAGCTAATCTGAATATTGGTAGAGGGTTTTTTTTTTGTGTGTGTGGGTGGTGGGGCTTGAACTCCAGGCCTGGGTGTTGTCCCTGAGCTCTTTTTGCTAACGGCTAGCACTCTACCACTTGGATCCACAATGCCATCTCTGGTTTTCTAGTGGCTAATTGGAGATAAGAGTCTCACTTTCCTGCCTGGGCTGGGTTTGAACCTCGATACTCAGATCTGAGCATCCTGAGTAGCTACGATTACAAGCATGAGCCACCAGCACCTGGCTTGGTAAGGGTTTTATTATTATTATAGAAATTTCTTTCCAAAATTGGTTACAAGTTTGCAGTGAGAAGACATAAAAATGTCTACAAATCTCTTATGAAAATAACTTAGTTCAGAAAAGGTTTTGCTTGGTTTTCCATATTTTTAAAAAAAAAGTATTCTAAGAAAAAAGTATTCTAAGAGTGTTTCGAGCAAATGAAAATTGTGCTTTGACACGATCATGGTCTCTCAAATTCTTCCTTGATGAAAGTAGTGCAAGTGGCCATAAGCAGCTTGACTGAGCTGTGAGCACCCCTTTACCATTGTGGCACTTTACCAGCCTTGAAGCCCAGGTATGGAGAATATGCAATTCTACCTTACAAGAAAACAAAGAATAAGACTGGATAAAACGGATACATGTTCAATACAGACCCATAAATACATAAAAACCTAAGATACAAATTCAGTAAAGTATACACATGTGGAGATAGAAAGTCTGGAAAGATTTTTCGTTAAAGGCAGTTAATATTCAGAAACACCGTTTATATTTGAAACATGATAAATATACATGAAACACTCAACACGCGCGGGTCTCAATTCTGCCATGCAGTGGTGGCACTCATACCGATCCCACAAGTCCTGCCCACCAGGCCTTTAAGCCACACCTGTGGCCACTGCCTCTTAACCCCACCCTTCACTCCCAAGTGGGAATAGAGCTTTTTTAAAAATCTTTTTTAAACGATCATATTAAGTAGTTGTGCAAAGCGGTTTCAATTCAACATGTCAGTGTCTGAGTACAACTCTTTGGAAGACAGGGATTAGGCTTACTGAATTCTGTGATCAAGACAAGAACCTGTAAATGCAACCGAAGATAATTCGGATCATGTTTTTTTTTTCCCCCTCCACAAGACTTTTGCATTTCCATGCATTCTCTTTCAAAGTGCATTTTGGTTAAAACTAGGCTCTCCGTTTTCCTGCCTGGGAACGCGAAGCACGTAATGGGAGACGATGCTTTGGACCGGATGACGTCATTGCAGAACCTGCCCACGACCTGCAGGCAGGGCAGCATGGGGCGCCGGTCTAACTCAATTCGAAGGTTCACACGTCTTTCGATCGAAGTTCTGGAACGAATGCGCTGGCTGACCGCTTCTCCGGAAGGCTGGGATTCGCCGCAGGAGGGGAATTGGGGCGACCAGATGATGGCTGGGGACGCGTGGCCTCGGAGCGTCCCCTTTCGGGCCTGCCCCCTCCTGCCCTTCCGAGAGGTCGCCGACGGGGCAAACAGGAGTGCGTGAGTGACGTGAGCTGAGCGCCCGGCCCGGGCTTCACACCCAGTGCCCGCCCCTCGGCACCTGCCAGTCCGCTTGCTCCGCCCCCTCAGACAGCTGAGCCCGCCCACTGCTTTCACGCTGCCCAATCGGCGCCGACGTGGGCTCGGAGAGTGGTCCATAGGAAGGTGCGCCGGGGCAGCCGGATGCTGAGCGGCCGTTCACGTCAACGCGGTGACGTCACGCGCCGACGCTGGGGACGTACCTGTCGGGCTTCGGGCTCCTGCAGCTTCTTTTTTTCCCTTCCCGTGGGTTAAGGGCCGGTCGGGGTCTGGAACCCTCGGAGTCCCCGTTCGCCCTGGGCCCGGAGTGTGGCTGGATGATGAGGAAGGAGAGTGCAGGTGGCTTGAAAACCGTTCTCCTTTCCTCCCGAGTTGGAGCATGGATTCCATTCTAGTCTTGTGAGGGGGAAGTGAGGTTGGAGGTTTCTGGTTTGAATTTGGGGACCGAAGCAAGGTGGACTCTGGGGCCCTTCCACGCCCGGGTTTGCCGGAGGACACAACAGACAGACAGACAGACAGACAGACAGAGGTGCCAGCCTGCAGAGGGACTTTTGCAGCGCCTCCAGGCTCCCTTTGAGAAGTCGCCACGGTGTGCAGCTCTCTCCAGGCGGAGCTCCCGGGGCTCAGCTGCGGTGCCAGCCTCGAAGCAGATGCAGAATCCAAAGGCAGCGCAGACACCAGCCGGCGATTCTGCTATGCCTCTGAGCTGCCAGGTGAGTGGAACGAGGAGAGGTTAAAGGTGTCGTGTTCACCGCCCCGGGGCCGACCGTGCTGTGAAACTCAGCCCGGCGATGCGAACCTCCTCCTACCTTGTCACCCGCTTCGAAATGGAAACCAAGTAAAAGATTAACCTTGCACTCGGAGAGTGGGATTTTACTTCAAATGTGCCCACATTGCAAAAAAAAAAAACAAAAAAAAAACGTGATTTTTTTTTCCTCTGAGGTTTAAATTCGTAGGTGCATTCAAACTTTTTTTTTGTATTTATATTTGTGCTTTGATGCGAAACTGGTTAGACCAAGAACTACTTTAGAACCTTAGGAGTTAACTTTCATAGCGTGCTGTGTGTTGTCTAACCTTTTTAAAATTAGAGCGCATGAAAGTATGTGTTAGAGACTGAGATTTACTTCCTTTGGAATTGTTTTTAAATGAGAGCTGAATCAGTATGCCCTTTGATACACACACTCACACACACACACACACACACATATTTGTAAAATTGAAAGTTTAGTTTTGTATTGTAAACTTTTTTTTTTGAGTCATGCAGTTCCTGTGGTTGATATAGTTGTTGGCTCGAGAGATGTTCTTCCTTTCATCCATAGTTAATTTAGAAGATTTTTTTTCATCAAGTCAGGATTGAAACAAATTGTTAATTCGACATGTCTTTGTATGTTACATTTATTTTGTTCAAGAGTGCATTTAACATCACAGGTGCTTTGCTATTGATGGTTTTCATGTTGTGTAGTGTGACTTAGAAACAATGTGTGTGACCTATAGATACTTTCTCAAGTTGAAAAGTTTGGATAGCCGCTGGTTTAAAAAGGACAACTACTGCTGGCACACAATCTATCACAGATTGCATTTCATTCCCATTACTTTCTCTCCCTTGTCTACTTCAAAGACTGATAGCATGAAGGAGCAAGTTATTTTAAGAAGTCATTATAAATATATAGTATTTATATCTTTAATTAGGAACTCTTAACATGTGTGGGTAATCATATGGCCTGGTTTTGGACATGCATGATGCAGTTCAGGAGAACAGATTTGTTGAGGGTAGGGATTTATGTTATAAATTGGCAATTGTCCAGGTCATGTTGGTGATAGACTTTCCATTTCCTGACCACTCAGGAAGCCAGATTTGATCTCTGTGGTGGGTTATATATCAAAGAAGTATCCTGTGGGGGTTGGCTGCTATCCCTGGTTTGTAGAACCTCCAGCTTAGTTTGTAGTGAGATTTGTCAGCAGGCATCTCAAATGTATAATATGATATATAATATTACGTGTTTCATAGCTTGCAGGTTATCTCAATATTCAACCCAACAAAATACTTAACAGATACTTAACTATTCTCATTTAGCAGATACGGAAGGAAACCGAAGCACTGAGAAACGAGTTAACTTGTTCCAGGTCCCATGACAGTGTCACAACTAATCTCAAGATATCATTTTGTAGTTAATGCTCTCAAATGTGCTGTATAGTAGTTATATTGGTATAGTAGTAGTTTATGCTGGTAGTTTATACCAGCTGAAATTTTGTAGAGAAAGCATTAGAGACATAGCACTAGAGTCATTTAACTGCAAGAACTCTTGAAAATAGTTTTTCTTTTAAGTAGTCTTTTTAAGTCTTTACTATTTGTTTTTTTTGTAAGTGTATTCACATTGTTGCTAGCATAAGGTTCCTTTTGATTTTTAAAGATATCTCTAATTAAATATAAAATGAAGGATGACCCCCAACTGCCTTACTTCCATTGAGGAAATCTAGAGCTTTGTAATGGAGCCAAGTAAATATAGTTCTTACTGAAATAATTTCAGTCTTTGAAAGTCTTGAAAACTATTTTGTTTTCAAAGACTCAGTCTTCCATAGCATCTTTTTTTTTTTTTATTGGATTGTTTTGTCATCCTTGTTATAATTTCAGCCTTATATTTGTGGATTTTTTCCTTGCCCCTTAAAGTCATTTAGTATTTAATTCTGAGTTGTGTTTTTCTTTATTTTTTAATTGACAAATAATGATTATGTGTATATACTTAGGGAGTACAAAGAGATGCTATGATGAACGTACACATGTAGATAAAGTAAACGATGCTAGCATGTGTCTCTTTCTTTTTTCTTCTTCCCCCCACCCCCACCCTGTGAGGCTTGAACTCAGGGCTCTTGGGTTTCACTCTACCCACTTGAGCCACAGTGCCACTTCTGGTTTTCTGGTAGTTATTTGGACATAAGAGTCACATGGATATTCCTGTCCCCGCTGGCTTTGAACCATAATCTCAACTTCCTGAGTAGCTGGGATTATAGGCATGAGCCACTGGTGCCCAGCTTGCTTATTAGTTTTGAGCATTGTAATACATTAGTTGATCACCAACATTTATTCCTTCAGTGTAACAGAACCTTTGAATGCTTTGGTCAATACCCTCTCACCTTTTCCCTGGTAACTACCATTCTATTCTCTCCTTCTGAGTTTCACTCTTTTAATTATGTGTAAGTGAGATCATGAATTATTTGTTTTCTGTGTCTATCTTATTCACACTTAGGTTGTTCTCCTATCTTGGCTGTATGGACTATAGCTCATAAAACATTTTGAAATTTTAAGAAGTTTTCTTCAGAGAATGAATTTCTTTAGTAGGTTATTCTTCTATTGTTCTATGAAGAAGAATAAATGACCCAATTTAGATATACACATGCCTAAAATAAATAGTAAAAATAGTATATCAGTTACTCTTACTTTTGGGAGAGATCAGTTGATTATTGTTGTTGTATGGAATAAGTTCTTTCTGCTTGAATAAACCTGAAAATCTAGTTAGTAAACAGACCTTTCTTGCATCTGATCTTGCTCTTTCCATCTGCCCCTTTTCCTTTTTAGAAGTTTTATTGTGTATATGTCTTTTACTATAATACATACTTCATGGAAATAGGTGAACTTTCATAAACGTGCTTAGGAATTTTATTTGCTTGGACACAGAAAATAGGTTTTTTTTTTTTTTTCATGTCTATATTACAAAATTTTACCTGCTTTTCTGATAGAAATCAATGACCAATAGGTAATGAGTATTTCTATGTTTACCACAAGTGCAGTAGAAAATACATCACCACATCTGAAGAAAGAAAACTAATCCTGTGAAGCAGTTTAAAATCAGGATTTTAAACATTTAAACTTTCTTTTTATTTTTGGCGACTGAAAAGTCTTTTATTTTCTTTTTTGGAGTTCATTTCATAGAATATTATTTTTTATTTTTATTTTTTTATTGTGAAAATACTGTACAGAGGGGAACATTTAAACTTTCATAGGATTAGTTACATTAATTTTGAGCATTATAAGACTTGTTTTAAACTGAATACTGCTCGGTGCTGATATAATCCTAAGACTACATGTAATTGCTGTTGTCTAGTAGTGACCTAAAATTTTAAAGTCTGAATTTTCCTAAAAAGACTGAGTATTAGACTCTCTCTGAATTATTCTAGTTATCAAATTAAATTTCCTCACAAATTTATACAATTTTTCTTCTTCTTGTGCCTGTCCTGGGGGCTTGAACTCAGAGCCTGTGTACCAAGCTTTTGTCCTCAAGGCTCATACTCTACTGCTTGAGCCACAGCTCTACTTCCAGCTTTTTAGTGGTTAACTAGAGATAAGAGTCTAACAGACTTTCCTGCCTGAGCTGACTTTGAACCATGATCTGCAGATCTCAGCCTCCTGTAGGAGGATTACAGGCATGAGCTATTCCATGCCTGCCTACATATGATTTTATTGTGCTGTTTTTGTATATAAATACTGTCTTCAGTGCCTCATGAGTTTGATACATCTCACATTAGTATTTAAAATGTTCCAGATGTGTACATTCCTTACACAATTGCGATTTTACTCTTCTGTTGCCTTTACCCAAAAAATTGGTGGTATTCTTTTGCTCAGCCTTCTTCTACCTGCATTTAATCTGACATTCTAGTTCTTTTATGGTTAGGCTGTGGGTTCTATTAGGATTCTAAGTAAGAGTATGATAGATTGCTTAAGCTTGTTCACCATGGAACCTTTTTATATATTACCATTCTGTGCACATTGTCGTCACCTCCCAATGTTTTTATTGTCTCTGCTCCATACCTTGACTCATGCCATTAATTTTGTTTCAGGTATTTTCTCCCATCTCTGCTCCATAAAAAAAAATGCAGTTTTCCTTTTAAGGACTCGCATGCCTTTTGCAAAGAAAGCTTCTCATCATCAATCCCAGTGAGCTCTGTTCTTTTCCCGGAGTTTTCATAGCAGTCTTTGCATCTTCTGTGACAGCTATCAAGTACTGTTTCCTATTGATAAGATATAATATGATTATCAAGATATAAATGATCATTTTTGACATTCATAACATAATTGTCACATTTTAATGTATGACCAGTAGCCTGCACAAACTTCTTTTTTTTAATTTCTTTATTGAGATTAAATGATTATATAAATTTCACAAATTTCACAGTGTTGTGTGATAGTGATAATTAGCTAAAGTCACAAACACATTTTAACCTTCATAAGATGCATTATCATTATCATGAACTCTACAAACTTTCAAACTACAACTGTTTCTTCCAAATAGGATGATATGTACATTTCTTTCCTTTTGCTTAGTACAAGTTGCTCTGTCTCTCTCTCTCTCTCTCTCTCTCTCTCTCTCTCTCTCTCTTTCTCTTGCTCTCTCTCTTGTTCAGATGAGAATTCCAGAATGCTTCTTACATAGAAATGCCTGGATCTCTCAGGGTTTTTCCCTCCCTTCCATCAGTGCTCTTGGGACTTTTTCATCTTTCTGGTTGTGGATATTGAGGATTTCTATTTATTCTTTTACCCAGGATGTGCTCTGCTATTCTGTTTTGCTTATTTGCCAAATGTGGTTGACTGTCACTCCTTTGGAACATAGCCACTATTCTTCATTATCCTCTGTCTTCCTTAAGGAGAGAGAAAGCTATTGGGAGCCATGAAAAAGTAGGTCCTTGAAGTCACTTGTTTCCAGGGGCTATAAGAGGTAGG